TTTTTTTTTTTTTACCGTAATGCAGAGAAATGCATTGCGTCTAATTCAATGACTGACCCATAGACATGCATTTTGAGCAGTAAAGCGTGACTATTGTGTACCACTGCAAATCAGTAAGTAGAGTTAGCAGATGTAAAACAAATATGCCTGCCCCAGTGTACATATCTCATGACATACTATACATAGAAACAAGAATTCTAAAGCTGGTCATAGATGGATTTAATCTTGGCCAGTTGAGCATGATATTTTATACATCTATGGGCAGGTTGGTTGTACTGAAGTTGGAGTTTTTTGCATGTGATCATTGCAGGTAGCTATAGCCACTAGCAGTAATCAATGTGTTCTGCTGGCAGGGAAGGCTCCCCACCGGAAGAACACAATAGAGCTGTGGGAGGGATTCCCCCATCAACACTGTGTTGATGGGGGAATCAAGTGAATTTCTTTTCTGCAATATGTGGTTGAAGGAAAGAAAATTGCATCATCTACGGATGAGATAGAGATAGAGTATCTTTAATCAGATACAATGAGGCTGATATCGGAGTTTAGAATATTCACAAAATACAGTTGTGTTCAAAATAGTAGCGGTAAGACATCACTAAGCTGATCAATCATTGTTTTTGGTAGAAATTATATTTCTACATGGCAAATAATTTACTAGCAGTTGTAGTAGAGTAATAGGAATCCAACAGACCCAACAGTCATGACATGCATGCTGCTGATTCTGTGTAATTGAATCACTAATTGAAAGGGGCATGTTCAAAATAATAGCAGTGTGGAGTTCTATTAGTGAGGTCATTCATTCTTTGAAAAACAAGTCGCAATTATTACCCTTATTTAAGGAAGGAAGGCAGCAAATGTTGTACATGCTGGTTACAGTGCATTTCTCTCTGAAATTCTGAGAAAAATGGGTCGTTCCAGACATTGTTCAGAAGAACAGCGTACCTTGATTAAAAAGTTGATTGGAGAGGGGAAAACATATATAAGAAGTGCAGAAAATGATAGGCTGCTCAGCTAAATGCTATAAAATGGCAACCAAAACCTGAAAGACGTCGAAGAAAGCGAAAAGCTGCCATTCGAATGGATAGAAGAATAGCCAAAATGGCAAGGACTCAGCCAACAATCGGCTCTAGGAAGATCAAAGAAGGTCTAAAGTTACCTGTGAGTACTGTTACAATTAGAAGATGCCTATGTGAAGCCAAGCTATCTGCAAGAAGCCCCCGCAAAGTCCCACTGTTGAAAAAAAGACATGTGGTGAAGAGGTTACAATTTGCCAAAGAGCACATTGACTGGCCTAAAGAGAAATGGCGCAACATTTTGTGGACTGATGAAAGTAAGATTGTTCTTTTTGGGTCTAGTGGCCGGAGAGTTTGTCAGATGACCCCCAAACACTGAATTCAAGCCACAGTACACTGTGAAGACAGTGAAGCATGCTTGCGCAAGCATCATGATATGGGGATGTTTCTCATACTACGGTGTTGGGCCTATTTATCGCATACCAGGGATCATGGATCAGTTTGAATACATCAGAATACTTGAAGAGGCCTTATGCTGAAGAGGAAATGCCCTTGAAATGGGTGTTCCAACAAGACAACGACCCCAAACACACCAGTAAACGTGCAACATCTTGGTTCCAGAGCAACAAGATTGACGTTATGGAGTGGCCAGCCCAATCCCCAGATCTTAATCCAATAGAAAACTTGTGGGGTGACATCAAAAATGCAGTTTCTGAGGCAAAACCAAGAACTAGAGAAGAATTGTGGAATGTAGTCCAATCATCCTGGGCTGGAATACCTGTTCACAGGTGCCAGAAGTTGGTTGACTCCATGCAACACAGATGTACAGCAGTTCTCAGAAACAGTGCTTATACAAACTAAATATTAATTAAGTGATTCAAAGGAAAGCAAAATCTTCAAACATTTTTCAGTTTATATAGTGAATGTTTGAGTTTGTAAAGAAGAATACAAACACTGCTATTTTTTTGAACAGTCTAATATTTACTTTTCTTCAATATTTTTAGAGGAACATCACAACTTTGATATATTTGTCATCATGTTTTGATTTGGAATGGAATGTGTAGTGTTCCCAATGCATTTGTGTGTATGGAAATAAAAGCTATTAGAAGGATTTTGAGCTTTACTCACTTTTTTCAACACACTGCTAGTATTTTGAACACAACTGTATATGATGTGAACAGTCACTTCAGTTATCCAGTCACGTTTAGGTAAAAAAGGCAAACATGGATTTTTGTCCAAACTGAAAATGCAATGTGATTTGTGACTGTAATGTATCACAATAGTGTTAATTAGCACACATTTTCGTAATAATGCATATCAACACATATCACAGACTTCTAATGGCAAAAGGCGATTCCATACTGTACACAGCCAACTTCCCAAATACTACAAGAGAACAAACATGGCACAAAAGAATATGCAAATATACACAAGTGATCACTGACATTTTCATTGTCCCTTGTTCATTCCCTTTTATTTGTTTTTTGTTGCAGTGAAAAATAAGCCATTATGCTGTAAAGCTTTTTCCAAGGAAAGGGAACATTGATGTTATTATTGATTTTATATAATCAAGTTTTATTAATATTGATTTTGTTTATTATCCTATATTTTAGAATTATTAGACATTGACAACAGCTTCATGTCACCCTATCTGATATGCTTCACTTACTTGCTGCCTATAACTAACAGGAAAGATTTGGAACAATGTGGTGTTGACACATATAATGTAGAATTCCATCTTGTGACATTAATGATCTTAGTGACTCGAGGTTCTCAAAGCATAACCTTTCTACAGGATCCTAAAAGTGCTATAAAACTAAAATGTAAACCTTTTGTAATCGAGCACAATGTTTCTTTATCTACAGTCTATCTGGAAAGAGCACTCATTCGTCAATGCATGCCTGACATTCTCAACATCTACCAGCATGACATCTATGTTACAGTACTGTAAAAAATGTGCCTTTACTCCTTCCACCCTTCACACACAATTACCTTTGAATCTTTTCTGATCATCCTTGGCCAGCCTTGCTGCAATAGCCAGTCCTATTCCTGATGAGCATCCAGTAACGAGTACATTTTTCATCGCCATTCTTGTTTTTCCTGGCCTGTCTTTGCTACAGGTCTCAACCAAAGACCATCAACGTCGGCGAAATGTTACTTATGGGGCTTAAGCCGGGGGCCTCGTACTGTTTTATCCATGCCCAGGCTGCGTCAGCATGTCTAAAAATGCAAACCTGCACAATTTGTGGCTAAAGCTGGATAATCTCTTTTCTGACATTAATGGGGGTGAACAGCATTAATGATAATCTGGATAGAGAGCTGCACTGGAAGGCTAACATGGTAAAGCGGAGGTTGATTTAGGTTATAGCCTCTACAATTCTTTGACAGTTCATTACTATTAGATTACCTTGTGTCAGTTGTTGCTTATAAACAATATGGTATTTAGTTCTGACGTTTTATGCTCACAGAGCATAGAATTATCATTGTGATGCTTAAGCAATTTTTGATCCAGGTTTCACATTTGTAATGACTGTTTCATATTTCATATGTGTTATATAAAGGGGTCTTTAGATTTTCTTGTTAAGAATTCACCCCCAGACATTTCCCTCAAGACAAAACAAAAAAAATTGATACTTTACAACATATACCTCACACACGTTGATATTTTTTTTGGCATAGTTTTTATTAAGGAAGGACATCTCCCAGCTGCATATGTATAGCTTTTGCCTGAACATAATATTTTACACCAAGAAGTTCATTTTTGGTCTTCACAGACAAAATGCATTTTGGCAAATGCCAGGCAGGGTTTAATTTTTTTACATCAGTGTCTTTCTTCTAGTGAATCTTCCATCAAATCCAACTTTGTAGAGCATCTGGATTACAGCTGTCCTATGGAGACTTTCTCACCTCTCAGCTGTAGATCTGTTCAGCTCCCTGGTCATTGTAAGGTAAATCACCTGAAACCAGTCAGAAAAACCCACCAATCTTTAGAATTTTAAAGGATTAGGCAACAGAGTGGACATAGTGATACTTTTTTTCCTATTTCAACCATAACCAGATGGATTGAGCAGTTTTTTTTTTAATCTGTTGACAATTTCTGCTTTGTAGATAGGTATCATTTTATTAAGTCTTAAGGAATGGATAAAATGGAACTAAAGGGGGGAGTATCAGGACATTGCAATCGCTGTGCTACTAACCAAGAAAGCTACGTAACCAAAGAGCAGGCATAGATTAAAGTCCAACTGCAATTTGCGAAGACCCATCCTTTGGAGAGCATTTCCCCCCCCCCCATTCCATTCCTAAATATGCCATGTACACAGGGGTTGATTTACCAAAATTAAAGAGTGCAAAATCTGGTTCAGCTCTGCATAGAAACCAAGCAGCTTCCAGTTTTTTTTGTCAAAGCTTATTTAAAGCAGAACTCCAGTTATATTTTTTATTTTTCCATGCAGTGGGGCTGTGCCCGCAGTGCATGGGTTAAACTGCTCGTTTTGTCGCGGGGCTCAGGGAAAAGCTATAATTACCTTGTCCTTTGTTCCTCCTAAAAATAAAAAAAAATCACACTCCCCCACATCCAGCGGTGGACTGTTCCTGCTGTCCACATGGCCGAAGCTGGTCTATGGGCGTGATGACGTCAGGAACAGCCTGCTAACGTGTGGGGGGCAGGATCGGCGAGGACCAGTCTTGCATTCAGAGAATTGGTGGATTAAGCAAGTATATCTCAGCTTTATAAACCCCTAGACAAAAGCAAGCATTGAAACCCAAGTAGAGAAGGCACGGCCTCACTGCATGGGAAAATACATTTTTTGCCCAGATTTCTTCTTTAACCACTAGCCGACAGGGCACTTATACCCCCTTCCTTCCCAGGCCAATTTCCAGCTTTCTGCGCTGTCACACTTTGAATGACAATTGCGCGGTCATACAACATTGTACCCATATAACATTTTTATCATTTTTTTGTGACAGAGCTTTCTTTTGGTGGTATTTAATCACCTCTGGGTTTTTTATTTTTTCTTAAACAAACCAAAAACCACTGAAAACCACTTTGAAAAAAAAAAAAAAATGTTTTTTTTTCTTAGTTTTTGTTATAAATTTTTGTAAATAAGTGATTTTTCTCCTTCACTGATGTGCGCTAATGAGGCTGCACTGATGGACACTGATAGGTGGCAGTGATGGGCACTGATGAGGAGGCACTGGTAGGTGGCACTGATGGGCATTGACAGGCATCACTGACGGACACTGATAGGCGGCACTGATGCACACTGATAGGCAGCATTGACTGGCACTGATAGGTGGCACTGAAAGGCAGCTCAGATGGGCACTGAAATGGCACTGATGTGCACTGGTAGGCACTGATATGGGGCCACTGACACAAGGCACTGACAGGTGGCACTGCTGGGGCTACACTGATCATCAGTGCCCTGATGATCAGTGTACATGTCCCCTCCGCGGAAAGCCGATTTCCGTCTCTCCTCTCCTCTCGAGCTGTCAGCGTGACAGCTCGAGAGGAGAGAAATGCCGATAACCGACATTTCCCTGTTTACATGTGATCAGCTGTGATTGGACACAGCTGATCAGATGACCGAGCCGACATCTTCGGCTCTTTCCGTGATCGGTGATCCGCCGTGTCGGAGGGACACAGCGTACCGCCGATCGCCGCGCTGTGCACTCCCGGAGCCGCACATGCGCAGTGAGAATGGGAGGACGTCATATGACGTCCTCACCAGAACGAGAGAACCACCTTGCGCCCGTCATATTACTATAGGGCGGGCGGGAGGTGGTTAAACAAACTGAAGTTAGTAGCTGATTGACTACCATGGACAGCTGTACCAGATTTTGCACTCTAATTTTAGTAAATCAACCCCACAATGTCCCTGAATCCTTTATTAGCAGTAATGATATGTCTGTTTCCTGTAATCACCTGCTCAGCAGCACTCAGACTGGACAAAATAGGGTCAGCTCTAGGAGCCAGTCAAGCTCTGCTACAAAACACAGTACTATCAAATCTATTCCAGTCTTTTGGTTCCAACGGTTCCTTCAGAAGTTGCTAGGGGTTCCTAGGGCAATAAGTTATTTCTGTCTGTTAGATATGTAACCACTGACAGTAATCAGCAATAATCTTTTGGATATCTGAAAGCATTATTTCCACAGACCACTAATGTAAGGAGCATTGTTCCCAATGAAAACCAGAGTAATGCATCCCTTCTCCCACTGACCACCAATGAAAGAAGGCACTTCTGCCACTGACTATCAATGCAAGGTGGACTCTTTCCCACTCACCACCAATGTAAAGGGGACACTTCACTGACCATCATAGAAAGAGAACACCAGTTTTACATGTTTGCCTTCCTTTTATTGTCTTTTATTTATATATATATATATATATATATATATATATATATAGTTATTATTACTGAAGAATGTTGTATAGCGTGGGTACCAAATACACAAAGTATGCCACTTGCCTTATTCTTTTATTTATTTTTATATATCAATTTACTGTTCTAATTAAAGATGTGCGAAGCAGAATTTTTTTTTCCACTTCAGATTAATTCGTTAATTTTTTTTGTCATATTTAGGCAAAGTTTCATCAAATTTTTTTATGTTAGAATGATTCGTTTTAGGTATACGTTTCACATTTTCAGATTTGGTTAAAATATTTGTTATTTTCTAACCGGTTTGAATTTTGGAAGGTGGCTATATTTATCTTAACTTGTTATTTTAGGAGATAATAGTTATGAGCTCTGTTTACGGTGGATGGAGGTGGATTAAGCACAATCTCTGAATCAAAACATAATGAATAAAACTAAATTAATTTTGGATTGATTCATTATGTTATTATTTGGAGAATCTGATTGATCCACCCTAAACACAATAAAGGCCCTTTCACACTGATCAGTTTTTCAGTTAAAAAAAGTGGAGGAAAAATGCATTTATTTAAATTCTATGGAACTCTTCACACTGGCCCTTTTTGTTTCAGTTGTGTTTGCAGGCTGCTTTCACACTGCTCTGTTGCAAAAAGGCATATGTGTTTGCTTTGCGTTATTCGCCTGGACATGTGACTGGAAAAAAGTACTTCCCACAGGTGTATTGCGTTTTTGCCATGTTTTCTATTCATTTTAATGGAGAGGTGCGATTTTGGCATTTTTGTTTACCGCACCAAACGTACCAAAATGCAGCAAGCAGGAAATGTAAAAATGCAATTGAAACGCAACTGAGCAGTGTGAAAGGTTCCAGAAAAGGGATGCATTTTTCTTCCACTTTTTAACTAAAAAACGTGCTGCAGTGTTGATGCATGTTTGGTGTGGTAAAAATGAAATGAATAGAAACAGCACAAAAAGGCATTAAAAATGCAACACACCTATGGGAGATACTTTGTCCAGTCATGGGTCCAGGGGAAAAACACAATGCAAATGCAGCAAAAACATATAAAAAAATGCAATGCGCCACAGCAAAAATGAGACAAAGAGGCAGCAAAAATGCATATACGTTTTTACAACAGAGCAGTGTGAAAGCAGCCTAAGTAAGAATCATCATCTTATTCCACTATTATACCTTACTGTATTTATTGCTATATGTTTTTATTTTGAATTTGAATAATTCATTATTTTATGTTATTTTGTTTCATTTATTTGTTTCAGATTAGGTAAAATTCAGTACTATTGTGATTTGGAAATTCAGTTACATCCGAATCTCCAAATAACAAACATTTTGTCCGAATTTTGATTCGGAATGAAATGATTCACAAATGTCTAGTTCTAATGTATCATGAGATGTAGATAAAGTAATTAATTGCAGGGGGTTCCCAAAACCTGAAAGTTGTTTCCAAGGGTCCTCTATGTTAGAAAAGTTAGAAAGCATGCTAACAGGAGTAGGAAGCAGATTGATTTAGTGTCCATCAGTGTCTTGATCATACTTCATTGACTACTCAGCAAGTTAGAGCTGTACCCTGACATAGGTTGCATATGTTTCATCGATCTACTTCCCTGGAGTTATACTTTACCAATAACTAAAGTAGAAGGAGCAACATTTAGAAAAAAAATAGAGAGAGGGGATTAAACACAAACCGAAAACAAACCAGTGCCAAAAACAATCAAAAGCGCATTCTAACTAAGCTTCTTAATAGCAGACTCAGCCAGGTTGTTCGTAATCTGATAGACCCAGACCAAACAGGTTTCATGACCCACAAGTCTACAAATATTAATATTCGCAGATTGTTTACGAACAGCCATGCACCACATAACCAGAGTACTAGAGCAGTTGTCTCTCTCAAAATTGAGATGGCATTTGACATGGTAGAGTGACCTTTCTTATGGGAGGTTTTGAGAAGGATGGGCTTTCCGCTTAGATTTATGCACTGGTTACGTACTATGTACAGCTATGAAGCAGACCTGTCATCAATATTCACACTAAATGAATTGATAGGACACTTGTCTGCATGGCAAAATCATATTATTTATTTTCAGTATAAAAGTAAAACAAGAAAGAAAGAAAACTGCAACTTTCAATGCAAACTAAAGCCTAGGCAAAATTGTACCTAGTTACCAGCCACACTGGGGGTTCCACATCCCTCGAGGTTGTCTAAAGTATTTTGGTTTCAGTCACAAAGGTTCAGGCAGATTGCTGTGAGATATGAGATTCAGTAAAACAAAAACACTACTAAGCAGAGCCTTCATATGTAATGATCAACTGTGGTGCCCCCTTCTACATCTATAATTACAAACTGTACATAGTGACCAAGTTTCTAAGACATATATGCATACTGGTAAGCTTATCTCTTTCACTGCACTCAAAAAAAAAAATATAAAAAAAAAGTTCCCCTTAAGGGTAGATTTAGACATGCATCTAAATTTACTTTTGCTCTGAAGCATGATCTGCGTTCGTACTGCACTTCAGAGGTTACCGACAGGCAGTGAGGAAGCAATGTGACACCTACCCACTACCAGTTTTAACCCCATTTTTGCCGAAAAACATGGAATTTCATGTGGTTGCAGGGTTTTTGCTCCGCAACCCTGTTTGCCTATATGTGTGGAATTCGGTGGGCTTGTAGCATGTTGATCGCTAAATGTTAGACAGACTTTGCTGTGGACACAAAGGGAAGTATCATGATTGCACCATGTAAACACTCTATCTGCTACCTACTGCAGCTTAAGAGGGGGTGGGGGCGATTGGTAAGCAGCAAACATGCAGCTCAACCGCATATTTTTACCACCTTCCAACTGCACTTCTAAATGAAGCCTTAAGCCAGCCATAGACTGTTTGAATCTTGGCTGCAAGGACCGGCTGAGATTCTAACCACGTATGGACAGGCTGAATGTACCCAAGTTTATCAATCGATCAACTTGGGTACAACCAGCCTGTCAGATGTGAATATTGCTAGTAGCTATTATGACCACTAGCAGTAATCAATGTGTTCTCCTCTCCTGGCAGGGACAGTAGGGCAGCTCTCCAACCCCCCCCCCCCCCCCCCCCCCCCCCACTAGGAGAACGCAATGGCACCAAAAAGGGATTCCCCCCATTAACACTGGGGGAAATCGAGTGATTTTCTTAAATGTTGTATATTAAATGTAATAAATGTTATATTCTGACTATGGAATGCTGACAGATCACTTTAGGATATGGGACAACCTGTTGGTCTTATAAAGAAGAACCAAAAAAGGATTCTGTTTCAGTACCCTATATACAGAGGATTCCTACATTACATTTTGTGATTTTGCGACCCAATTAGAAGCCACCTATGAAAACAGAACATCACGTGTTTGAGTAACAAAGGAAGCAGTTAATGAAACGTGGTTATCTTAGACATCATGTAATATGATAAAGAAATCCATTTATTTTACCAATACACTTTACCAGACAGACAAACCATGCCAAAAAAGGTTTAACAAGACTCAAGCTTTGCTTTGGTGTTCTATTTTTATTCCTAAATCTAAACAGTCTTTTTTCACATTGCCCCCGACTGAGATCCCCGTGACCAGTGAACACGCTGCTCAATAGGATAGAATTATTCACAGCAAAGATTGAGACTCATAACTAAGCTGCCTGCATGACACATAAGAAGATTACAGCAGCTTTCCATTTTATTGTGGTTCCATGCTTGGGAATGCCGCCTGCGTGAAAAATAAACAACAAAACCTTTCAAACAAAAGATGGTCACATTTCTGTAAATCTTTTTATTTCACGTGTAAATGAGATTTTCATTATTTTAAAATTCATCCAAATATCAAAACGTAAAAAAAAATATTTAAACTACATTTACAAAATAAATAAAGACATGTACAAATATAAGATATATACAAGCCAGGCTTTGTCTGCAAGGTTCATTCTTGTGTAGATTGTGGGATATAAGTCTGGAAAGAGAGAATAGAAATATTTAATGTTGTGGTCACAAAAAAAGGTGAAGAAATGTTACAGATGATCAACATAACCATGACATGCAAATGCTGAATACAGTGAGATAGTAGCAATGTTACTGGCATGGAGAGATAGATTACACTAAAACTGGCCATAGATGGACTGACATTTGGCTAGTTCAGCAGGAACCAGCCAAATTTCGTTCCATGTACGATCATTCCAGTTCTAAAGAAGTCGATCGTTAGGAATGTTGGAAAATGGTTGTCGATCAGCGACTGCAGCTCCTGATTCGTGTGCTGTGCTGCAGCAGCAGATATACTACTTGGAACATAAAAGCAGAGGTTTCTAAATGACTGAATTGTTTTTATCTTAGAGGAAGCCCCAGAACAAATTCTGATAATGATGTTCTATGTTGTCTCATCAGCTGTACCCTCATTAGTCTGTTTCTCTACGATATTCTACAGAAAAATAGGGGCTGGAAATTCATACTGAAGGAAATTATCTGATCAGTAGCCAGGCCTATCAAGTTAAATGCGCATCTATAGCAACTTTGACAAGGGCCAAATTATATTTTCTAGACGACTGGGTCAGAGCATCTCCAAAACTGCAGCTCTTGTGGGATATTTCTGGTCTGCAGTGGTCAGGACCTATCAAAAATGTTCCAAGAAAGAAAAACAAGGAACCAACAACAGGGTCATGGGTGGCCAAGGCTCATTTATGCACGTGGGGAGAGACGGCTGGCTTGTGTAGTCTGAGCCAATAGAAGAGATACTGTAGTTCAAGTTGCTGAGAAAAGGTTAACGCTGGTTCTGGCAGAAAGGTGTCAGAACACACAGTGTATTGCAGTTTGTTGTGTATGGAGCTGCGTAGCCGCAGACCCTGTCAGGGTATCCATGCTAACCCGCGTCCACTGCCAAAAGTGCCTACAATGGGAACATGAGCATCAGAACTGGACCACAGAGCAATGGAAGAAGGTGCCTGGTCTGATGAATTCAAGAAAGTTTTGAGAACCAAAACAATGAGTTTGGGTATATTGGGTATATGTGCGATGAGCTGGAAAAACAAGTCCGATTCGTGGAGGCCCCACCTCACAACTTAGAGGACTTAAAGGATTTGTTACTGATGGTTTGGTGCCAGAATCCACAGCATGCCTTAAAAAGTCTAATGGAGTCCATGCTTCCACAGGTTATGGTGGGTGATAATAATGTTATGGCTGATAGGTGTACATTACCTGAACCTTTCACAAATTAAACATGTAGATTGATGGCCATTAAAAAGGGAATGTCAGAAAAATTGGAATGTTTCCCGTTTTGTCTCAGAGCCTTCCATGCAGGCTCTCCGTCTCTTAAAGTGCCTCTAGATTTCATCTGCAGAGTCACATTGGTAAGATCTGGATTTGAAGTATGACCATGAAATATAATGGTTCTAAATGACAACTACTGTATTTTATGAGAGGCCCTTCTGAGACTCTTCAACATTTGAAAGTGGTAAGCCTAATACATATTTGACACTGTGTATCAGTAGCCAAGGACATGAGCACATAGTCAAGACAATATGAGTGCTGTTAATGCAGAATAAAAACAAAAATGCTTAAAGGAATGTTTTGAGTTTTTGTTGACATTTTCTTTATTTATCACTGAAGAATGTTAGATGGCAAATCAGTATACTCCAAAGTGTAGGTCTTTATTAGCTACATATAGAATACAGAGTAAAAACAACTAGCGCGTTTCCACCCTGGTGGCCTTACTCATAGCTATGAGTAAAGACACCAGGGCCGAAAACGCATTAGCTGTTTTTACTGTGTATTCTATATGTAGCTAATAAAGACTTAAACTTTGTAGTATACTGAATTGCCGGCTAACAATCATCAGTGCTAAAGCATTAAGGGACTGCACATCCCAACCAGAAGCACCGGTCTTCAGCTGCAGATGAGCCAATGAGCTTTGGTATTGAATCTAGTGAGTTCCTTTATTTATGTTCAGCATTAAGAAAAAGACATTGAAAAAAAACCTTTAGCTCTTGCAAATATGAAGTATACATATGAATATTACATACCTACCACCTGCACACTCTGTAGTTTTTGTACTCAAATCTATTTTTCACTATTTCTGCACAGTCATTAATTGCTATGCTAAGAATAGCCTGACTAAGCTGCATTTCTAGACTAGTCACCATACAGAGTTGAATAGATCAGGAGTTCAAATAACATTGATCTTCAGTGGTTCCTTTTGGATTTTCACTTAGACATAGGCAGTCAAAAAGCAAAGCTTTCAAATTAGAAAGCCCAGTATGCTCTGTAAACACAGTGTCATGAAAGCACCCATTATTGAAGGTTTAAATGTAATCTAAAGATTCTATATAAGTAATGAAAAAATAGAAACAAAAAATGGTCTAAAAACAACAAAATGTCTCTCAAAGGAATCTGTCAAAAGCAAAACATCTCTATGAGAAACCTCAGATAAAAGCTGTTCTTCTCGTCTCCCTGAATTTCAGGCAGTGAACCTAAACCTTTGCGCTTCTTGGTAAATGATGCTACTGGCTCAATAAGTAGTAAGTAGCTCAGGAGTCAGAAAATAACTCACTTCTGAGGCTTCCCGCAGGTATTTTTGCTTTGCAACTATTTCTCTTTCAGACATTTGATACTATTACCAGGTTAATGAGTTGCTTATAATACGAAGCAGAACATTTCTACTTTATTGATGCAACCTGACTTATAAATCACTGCAGTAGTTGGATATCATCCAAATACGGGACCTCAGCTGTCCTCTTATCTGTGAATAGAGGAATATACAGCACCACCTACTGAAGACAGTGATATACATCATTTAGTGAATGTGTCTGCAAACACTACAACACAAACACTACTGCAAAACATTTTGTGGGCGTTACATTTGACCCAGGGTTTATAAGTGTGCAAAGGACACACTTGTGTATTAATACAGTAAAAATTTCAGTAATGTGCAGAAGTAAGAGAAAAAAAAAGTAAAAGTAAAGACAAACCTGTTTTTCTTGGCAACCCTCCTCACTCCACAGATTCTTGTCTGGGCTGTGTGCCTGGGAGGCTTCAGATAATTTCATCTCTCGTTTAATGTATTTCAGCATTCCACTGAGTGTGCCTAGATCATGGCAATCTGAGATCCTATCACAGTGATCATCTACTGCATACGCAAGAGGATTGAATGAAGTGTCATTCAAGCTTTCGCTGCTGTAGGTAGTCGTGTCAGTACTTCTTCCTAGTGGGGAATCCTTCATGGCATCTATCGTGTTTTTAGGGAGATCTAATGAGCTGATGTCTGTAAGGCTTAGGTCACTCATGGAGTGCTGTGTCCTCCAGTTTTTCAAGTCGGAGGAATCAGGGAACTTGCAGGATTCAAGCACTTCATAATCACCAAGTAAATCAGGAGACAGAGAAGATGTGGTTAACTGTTGGTTAAGGCCAAGCTTTCTTTCCCATCCTGACATGCGAGCTTTCAATCTGGTCAGCTCAGATTCCTACAGGATGAAGAAAAAAAAATTCAAATAGAGGGAGTCTGGTCTAAAGAAAAACTTTCTATAATTTCTAAAAGCACATTCAGATCTCCAAATCCTAATTAACAGTATTGAGGCTGATTTACTAAAGAAGCTAAGACTTGTCAGTCAAAATTGTTTGATTATTCACGTCAACTATTCAGTCATGTGAAAATCAAAAAAGCAACTTATGGCACATTACTTCCACTTAAAAAAAAAACTCCCAGGGCAGAGTAGGATTGCAGGATTCTGAATGCCGGACAGTGGCTGCTTAGATGTATGCAAGTGATCCATTGCGGATTGCTTTTCAGAATCTGCCCAATTATGAACTTTCTTCAAACTCTAGTGATTTTAAACACCCACAATGATATGGCAACAAGATACCACAGGGCTGATATAAAACTGAGCGTGAATACCGTTATCCACTCTACATTATATTCTTCACCACTTACTGCAGCCAGTATCTTACGGCCCACTAATAAAAATGCAGGCCACTGTATGTAGCCAGTTGAGTTGCATAGAGTTCTCTCTGGTTATCACAGAAGAGGAAACTCTGTGATTGTTGGTCACATGACTTTACTTGACAGGACTCATTACTGTGCTTTATAAATGTGCGGTGATTTTTTTTTTTTTTTTTTTTGTAGCACAGTTGCAGAACTGCTTTTTAAATTAGCTCCTTGCCAAAACTAGTAATGGATGGTGCTCAGTCACTGACCAGGTAGAAGCATGCACAAATTAGGTAACCTTGCTCACACTAACCCTCCCTAATAAAAACACTCCCATCAACAGCACTAGGATCCTTTGTGCCAATGTCTTTCTGCCAGTACTGGGAGCCCAGGCTAGGATCTAACGTTTCAAGTATTTTTAAAAAGAAACTTCAGTAAGTCAGCCTACGCATTTTCTTAGTACTGGTTTCCTTTAAGCATACCACTTGAGGCATTTACCACCCCATATAAAGGGTCTACTGAAAAACACTGATGACATGCCAATACATAGGATTGTATAAAAAGACATAACTTACTTTCAGGATCAGTACTTCATTAGTTGCTTTGATCACCTCATTTCTGGCTTCAAGCTCAATTTTTAAATTGCAGATTGTATCTTCTGCTTCATCCAAATCTTGTTTCATCTGCTGCAGCTAGTGATATAAAACCAAGAAGAACTGCTATGAATTATCATACCGGAGGAAGTCTTTCATCTCTGAGGTATATATGCTGCCTTCTATGTCTCTCCTCAGATATTTCAGTCACTTAGTGTTACATACAGTATGTATTGTCTGACAAAATAGTGATTATAAAATAAAAACAACGTGTGTTCTTGTTGGCTGCAGTTCACATATCTACTAAAATTAGTATAGTAATAAAACAGTGCGAGAATATTCGTCTTAATAGGACAAGAGTAAAGTGGCCATTATTCAACCTACAAATTATACTTATCTTAAGTCACCATCACAAACTGACAATCATTTCAGCCCGCAAGCATCACAAGTAGAATCAAAATTATGTTAAACAGATGCCTTGTGATAAGGCAATAGCTATGACACTAAACTGCATGTGAGATTCCAAAGCCAGTTAGGGTCTGGAAACTTTTGTTATCCCAAGATTCTTACCAGAATAGTAGATAGTGTATTCTCTGGAACAGCAACCACTTTTAATAAATACTTGTGAAGTTTTATACACTGCAAGGAAATTACTTCATACTGATGTGCAACACGGGTTCACAATTTGGAAATACAGAACACACAACAGAATTAGGCAAAAAATATTTAGCTATAAGCAAATTGTTCAAAGTTTTTTGTTAAATGGGAATTCTAGTGTATATTCAGTGAGTACACAGTTTAAGATATTATTGTGCCATTTACTTTAAAGCAGTTTTCATTTGACTTTCACATTTTTACAAGTTTGTTCTCTCATATTTTGTTTACTGTATGTAATAAATCTTAATAAACCCCTTCACAAAGTGAAAAAAGGCAAGTAAAAGCAATTCCAAAACTTATTTTCCATTCACTTGCAATGTGCCATGGAGATTGCTAGCAAATTTGACTTCTCCAGGAAGAGTCAATTCCCTCCCACTTTGTGCATCATAGTCCTCTCGTCTTCTGGGAGTTTCGAATTGCTCTGTGCTGGCCCAGATCCTTTGCTCCTCCCCTCACTGCACCACATAAGTTTTTATGAAAATGCCAGGGGAGGCTTGAAGAACACTACAGAGTGTCACTGCTGACATCACATCCAAGATGGCAGCACACAGCAACAGTTTTAAGCTTTATAAAGGTCTACACAAGGGAGGCTTTTATGAAAATAAACATGCATAAAATTAATTAAATGTGTATATCTTACAGGATATAGTTTTAGCTGGTTTCTTTACATGAAAAATAAATAATAAAACATTGAAAAAACTAAACTTCATTTAATATCACAAACATATGTTACACATCTATCTTTTATCAGCTTTCTTAAAACCCTTAAAGCACCCTTTAGTTCTTAATGTCAGTTCTACAAAGTTTCTCACAGCCACCAATTTGATTAAAGAACCAGCAAACACAAAGGCTCCTGCGCTTGGGGATGGACTCGATGCAGGCTACAACCACATTAAGAACGTCCTGGAACATGCACACCTTGCTTCCCTCAATAGCTCGGGGAAATCCAAATATACTGAATGAGGAAAGAACAAACAGAGGGCGCACAGGCCTAGTGCATTACCATAAAATTTTTTTTAATAAGAAATAAAGTATGTGTTGTACTCACAAACGACAATAAAGTCAAGGCACGTTATAAAAGAACAGCTGGGTCTGGGGAAGAGGCAAGCCCTCGAAACGCGTCAGCCTATTGGATGTCTACACTCCCTATTGCGGACTGTTACGCAGTGTTGACCCAGCTGTTCTTTTAGGATGTGCCTTGACTTTATTGTTGTTTGTGAGTACAACACCTACTTTATTCCTTATTAAACATGTTTTATGGTAATGCACTAGGCCTGTGCGCCCTCTGTTTGTTCTTTCCTCATTTACCAATTTGATTAAAACCTGCTTTAAAAAATGTTATTGTAATTGTTATGACAGAGAGCAGAAGTTACAAATTACAGACTTTTGGAGGCTTCCTCGCTACCGACCCTTTTAGATTATCTGCTTTGCTTGTTGCCTGTAATTGCTACTTAACGAGAACTGTCTGTAGCAAAATGCCTCGTACACACTATATGTACCAATTACTGAAGTTTTTGCATGTATGCTGACATTGTTATTGAACTGTTCAAACAAAAAAAGAAGTATGTAAAGAGAAAAAACTTAATAGCCCGTTAAAAGATTAAATAAAAACCCAGCTTTTTTTGCATTAGCCCCCTTTAATACCTTGCCAAGGTATGTTTATAAATGTCCTGTAGTGAAGAGGTTAAAGTATGCTCCTTAGCTAACATCATTCAACCCACTATTCAGTCTGGGAGGTCATGGATCCACCCTCCTGGATGTGAATGGTCTGCGAAGGAGTAGCAGAACAATGATGAGCTCACCTTTTTGTCACTCTGCTTTCTCCTCCTATCAGCATACTCCCTGTTAGTAAATTAATTGATTGGCTCCTTGTGTTGTTCTTCCTCTGCCAGTCTTCGCTCTACTACACGATGAGACCGAATTCAAGTTTTTATACTGCATACACTTAAAAAATGCATTTAATGAAGTAGTAATGAATTCAGAGCTGCATTCATTTGTGTCATTTATATCAGCTTTAACTTTCAGGCTGGTTTGTTGCGGATAATCTCACCAAAGAACTGAGACACTAGGCCTAATCTAGTTAGGCCAGTGACATGTGTGACTAAATTAAGCCTTAATCCTCTTGTGTGCAACTTAGGCTGAACAGCAGGATTGGCCTGTACAAGGGCAGGCAACGAATTACGGACCATTAAGTTACTTGCTTCTACTCATTTACTTGCATTTACTCACTTTCCAGCTTAACGGGAAACTATAATTAGGTTTGTAGCTTTATATGTGACTGTAGCAGGCATACTGTAAATAACTGCAACAATAAGTATTAAAGCCTAACTCCAGCCAAGAAAAAGCTAACATTTTTGTCAGGTTTTTATTTCTATCTGTGACCCCATTGTGGGGATTTTTCATCACTTTCTGTCCTTATGACATCTGTACAAAATGGGAAATTAAGTTGTCACTAGGAAAAGATGGCAAAAGCAGCAATAAAAAATTGTCCTTCTCCATGCTACTAAAAATGTATATGTGTTTTAGTCGGTGTCTTCATTGAAAAGATTTCCTATATGTTCCTATCCTGACAGGAAGTAGGAGAAAATTTCCCCAACTAGAGTACTAAGGCCATATTTATATTTTTATATGATGTTTTAGCTTACAGACCCTTTTTCTTGCAGAGTAGTGTTGCAGGGTGATTGCACTTCACTATTTCTCTGGGATCCTCTGCTTTCCCAGGATCCTATGGTGAAGTTTACTGTGCGACATCACCAGCACCTAAACTAGGGTAATGAAGAACTTTGCCTTTTTTTCTCAAAAATATATATTTTTTCTTTTTTCAAGATTTAAATTGTCATACAAGGTCCACTTTAAAATTAGCTCAGGTAAACTCATTTCACCTTACAGAAACTCTTTGCTGCAAGCAGGTCATATGTATAAACAAGAGAGAAAAGCGCCATAACTAAGTGTACCATTTATTTAAATATATCAGTGAAATGAAAAACAAATATGCACTTACATTTAAAAGATACTTAAAAAGCATATCAATAAGTCTCTAACAGGTGACGATCTTCCAGATGGTCAATGGTGAACAAGTCCCTCTGGGTGCATGTGAGTGCATATTTAGTGTTTTTCATTTCACAGATATGTTTTAATAAATGTTACACTTAGGTAGTGGCACTTGCCTCTACTCTTTGTTTATACATGGTTTGCTGGTGGAAATCTCCCCAGATCCTGCTTCGAAGAAAGACCGCTGATGCTGCCATAATGTAAATTTCATGCCACTGTGTTTTCACATGGACTTTTCTCAAGGACTAAAAAAAACTCTTTTCATGTCGTTTATCATTCCATGCCTATTGTTATTTTTGGTAGTTGCACCAGTGCTCCCTGTTTTGCGCCTGTTTACGTTTAGGGTGTTAATGCCCCTTACAAATCTTTTTTTAGTTACTTTTCAATCAGGTCATAGCTGTGGCTTAGACTTGCAAAAGGAGATATGAGCAGTGAAGTACAGTCACTGTGCCGTACTACCAAACTGGAACCCAGAGCTAGCAAATATGATTACCCAATATAACATACTTATAAACTATACATAGATACATACATACAAGTTTATAATATCATTCAATAAATAATTTCGTTTTTTTTTTTTTTAAACTGGTCAAATTCACATAATTATTATTATTGTACAGTATTTATACAGCGCCAAAGGGTATGCTCAGTGCTGTACAGTAGCAAGGGGGACAGAACATGAGATAAGACAGTAACAGTACAATACACGAGGGGTTCGAGGGCCCTGCTCTTTCAAGCTTACAATCTAGGAGGGAGGGGAAGGTGGTACAGGAGGAGATGTGGGGGATGGAGTGGTGGGAGGAGTGGAGGAGGTTAGTTGTTAGGTGAGGTCGGGTGTTAGGTGAGGTTGGGGTAGGCTTCCCTGAAGAGGAGGGTTTTCAGGGTGCGCCTGAAGGTGAGGAGGGTAGGTGACAGTCTGATGGATTGGGGTAGGGAGTTCCAGAGGATGGGGGAAGTCCTGGAGAAGTCCTGCAATCGGGCATGGGAGGAGGAGACCAGGGAGCTAGAGAGTAGGAGGTCCTGTGAGGAGCGGAGGGCAGGGGTAGGGTAGTATTTGGGTATCAGGTCAGTTATGTAGTTTGGGGTGGCATTGTGAATGGCTTTGTAGGTCAGAGTTAGCAGTTTGAATTTGATGCGATGGGCAATCGGGAGCCAATGAAGGGATTGGCAGAGGGGGGAGGCAGATGTGGAGCGGCTGGTGAGGTGGATGAGTCTAGCCGCTGAGTTTAGGATCGACTGGAGTGGGGATAGCGTTCGTTTGGGTAGGCCAGTGAGAAGGGAATTGCAATAGTCCAGGCGTGAGATGATGAGGGAGTGTACAAGTTGTTTGGTGGTGTCTGGGGTGAGGAATGTGCGTATCTTGGAGATGTTGCGGAGGTGGAGCCTGCTAGATCTAGATAGCAGTTGGATGTGGGGTAGGAAGGAGAGGTGGGAGTCCACGGTGACACCCAGGACTTTGGTGTGTGGGGTGGGAGAGATGGTGGCGTTGTTAGTAGTGATGGAGAGGATGGGGGGGGGGGCACGGGGTGGGTGGGAAGACCAGGAGCTCGGTTTTGGATACGTTAAGTTTGAGAAAATGGAGCGACATCCAGTTTGATATGTCGTTTAGGAGGTGGGCGATACGGGCAGAGAGTGAGGGGGTGAGGTGGGGGGTGGAGAGGTAAATTTGGGTGTCGTCGGCATAGAGGTGGTAATTGAAGCCGTGGGAGTGAATAAGTTTGCCAAGGGAGGAGGTATAGATGGAGAAGAGGAGGGGCCCGAGGACAGAGCCTTGGGGGACCCCTACAGAGAGGGGGAGGGAGGGGGGGGGGTGGCAGTGTTGTAGGTGACGCTGAAGGAGCGTTGGGAAAGGTAGGAGGAGAACCAGGAGAGAGCCGCATCCTTGATGCCAAGGTAGTGCAGTTTGGCAAGGAGGAGAGGGGGGTCAACAGTGTCGAAGGCTGCGGAGAGGTCGAGGAGCAGGAAGATAGAATAGTGGCCATTGGCTTTGGCGGTTAGCAGGTCATTGGTGATTTTAAGTAGGGCGGTTTCGGTGGAGTGCAGGGGACGGAAGCCAGACTGTAGGGGGTCAAGGAGATTGTTATCAGTGAGGTGGGCGCTTAGGCGATTGTAGGCCAGGCGCTCAAGGAGCTTGGAAGTGAAGGGCAACAAAGAGATGGGTCTAAGATTAATTACCTAAACAATGTGCAAAAAGAATATAGTTTCCCTTTAAGGCTAAATAATGGTTTAAGCAAATATAACAATGAACAGTGTTACATCCATATACTATAATAATTACACAAATAAAAAATCTACTACATCCAGAATTGGAAGTAGCAGAATTTCACCAGTTAAAAGATGACCATCAACACTGGAACAGATACACATGTGATCACACTGCTCTAAAAGCAACAATCAAAAGTAGCTTGGGAGACCTTTTGCTGGGTCAGACTGTTACCTTTTCTCTGGAAAGACGATCAATTCCGTCCAGCTTATGTGTAAGCCTGTCTGATTCTTTATTAGCTTCGGCCAGCTGCTGTCGGGTTTCCATGAGTTCCTGGTGGGTTAATTGCATCCGTTCTCGGGCTAGCCGTACTTGCTGATTTAGCTCCTTCTCTTCTTTCTGCTGTTCTGAGATGCGGCTCTGCTGCGACTTCAGTGTCTAAAAAAGCAAAACAAAACAGAATCATATTTTTCCATCTTGCATGGAAGTAAAATGAATATATAATGTAGCATTTTTTTCTCTCAGTAAAGATTTATTGACATTTTTCTATTTAAGTGAGAAAACAGACATCAGAAACGATACATAAACCTGATCACAATACAATGCAGATGACATTTACTTTCTACATTTTCAGGCAGCTTATTGTGGAAGAACCAAAGAAATAAACATCCCATAACAAAAAGCGGGAACAAACATGCAAATATTATACATATAGAAACAAAGACAAGGAAACATAGAAGTGGGTGTAGAGTCTTTGCCATTAGTTAAGTCAACTATTGCCTATTGTTGCTAGTGGTTCATGTAACATGTTCTACTGTATTATGAGGTCTGGAACTGTCTCCAGACCTAAAGGTTGCTGTGTTTTTGAAGTGTAACCAGAGCGGCCAGATTTTCTAATATATTTCATAGTCAGCTTTTTGGATAATTCTAATCTCTTCCATTAAATGTATCTTTTTGACTTGTTGAATCCATTCTGCTGATGGTGAACCCAGAGTTTTCTATTTTTTTGGGATCAGGCATTTGCCAGTGTTCAAAAGGTGATGTATCAAAAATTTTTATTATTTAGGGGCAGGCCAAGGTGTGTTACAGAAAAAGGAGTCCTGTGGAAGGGTCACAGTTGTGATTCGCTCAGTATGTCAATCATTTGTTCCCAGTATGGTTTAATTAGTGATAACTGTTCCTTAACATGGGAAATGTCTGCATCTCCAGCGTAGTTCAGATGTCCCAGTGACTTTGGAGCACTGTATCTGTGCATCACGGTGCTAGGAGTTAAATTGCTCTCAGATATAGTAGTAATGATACAAGAGTTATCAGTTGGAAGAATGATTTTTGAACCAGTCCTTATCAGAAAGGGTGTGAGACAATTCATGCTCCCACTGAGCCAAGTAGTCTGGTGAGTTTACAAGTAAAGCTGTTAGGAGCACTTTGTACAACAGTGAAGTACCATGGGGATCAGTTTTCAGCAAGAAGACTTGTTCTATCAAAGTTAAGAGTCTAAATTTTGTAATGGCTTTTTAAAGGCTCTTAACAAGGTTGCAAAATTAGAGCCATATGTAGAATTCTGGGGGTGTTTGCCCCATTTGATTTTCATTTCTGCAAGGACAAGTACCTTACCACCTTTAGTGACATTGTGCGGCTGTAATGTCGGAAAGCCCTCTCATCTAAACTGTTTTGCCTTTAAGTTTAGTTGCCAATATGGCATGTTCATACCAGGTCCCAAATGCTCAAGTGGCAGTCGTGGGAGCAGTGGTGAAAGCCAGCTTCCTATGGGATTTATGTATCCAGGGCAATATGAAAAGATTTTGAAAATAAGGATATAATACTCATGCTCTGCCAAAAATAAATGATACCCAGCTGCAAGCACCTAAATGTGTTCCCACATCAATAAAAGTCCCCAAGAATAGTGCTGCGCTGCCCCCTAGTGACCCAAAAAATAAATAATAAAAACACCCTCATGAGCATCAAACCCAATGTGAAATTGAATAAATCTGTGCACCAAAATTTTGGTGGCCAAAACGCTTGGCCGAAAAGTACCGATACAGGTGCCGAAAATAACCCGCCCCCCCTCACCCGCACCTGGGTAGTTCTCAACCTTACCTGAGAAACCACAGAACGATTCCGGTGCTGGGCATAGATAAGTGAAGGAAAGATGGCCTCCACTCATCTTTATGCCCTTGGAGGACCGAAGCGATGTCCCTTCCGCTTCCAGCACCTTGTAAACAAGGCCATTTTTTTTTTTATAAAGCACTACAACAATGCTTTCTTTGATCTAATGCTTTACATTGTAGGAGAGATGTCGGGTCTTATTGACACCATATCTGTCCATAAATAGGACCTGTCACTATATATTTCTATCACAGGGGATGCATGCATTCCTTGTGATAGGAATAAAAGTGCTAAAAAAATTTTTAAACGGACAGTGTACAAAAATAAAGTTTAAAGTGCCCCTGTCCCCCCATGCTCGCACGTAGTGGTGAACACATACGTAGGCCACGCCCACATATGTAAGCGGTGCTCTAACCACACATGTGAGCTATCGCCACGAACGTCAGAGCAAGAACAATAATTCTAGCTCTAGAACTCCTCTGTAACTTTACGCTGCTAACCTGTAGAAAATTTTAAAATGTCACCCATGGAGATTTATTTTAAGTACCATAGTTTGACGCCATTCCACAAGCGTGTGCAATTTTAAAGCATGACAGGTTGGGTATCTATTTACTCATCGTAACATGCTCTTTCATATTTAAAAAATTGGGGTATATATATTTTTTTTTTTTTATCATTAAAGTGTATTATTTTCCAAAAATATATATAAATTTTTAAAAAACTGGCCATTTAAGTAATGCCTTAGCTCAGCCAGGTGTTTATTACAGCTCGGTCAGGTGTTTATGGCTATTGTGATCATGTTTTATTTCAGATATACGCTTCACATATTTTACTGTTCTTGTTGTTTTTTACACGTTATTCTTCAACTCAGCCAGGTGTTTATTGCTACTTGATTATGGTTTATTTTTGAGATATGTTTCACATATCATTTGGATTTAGTGGCTCAGCCAGTTTTTGATTTACTATTGACTTTATTTGATTCACAGAATTATTCAATTACACATTGGGTTTGATGCTCAGGAGGGTATTTATTATTTGAGGGTGTTTATTTTTTGGGTCACTAGGGTACAGCGCAGCACAATTCTTGGGTAATGCATAGATTTTGGCCAGTTAGAGTCTAGAACAGAGATCTCCAAACTTTCTAAATAAAGGGACAGTTTACGATCCTTCGGACTTGGGGGGGGGAGGATGTTGTAGACTGTGCCCAATGGGAGTTAACAATATCCCATCTTTTGTTCCCCATCGTTGGTGTCAGAGGAATAGTGCCTCTTCACTGGTGTCAGTAGAAAGAAAAGTGCCTTATTGTTGGTGTCAGTAGGAATGATAGTGCCCTATGGTTGGTGTAGCGGCAGGAATTATGCCCCATTGGTGATTTCAATGGGGGTAAAAATGCCCCAAGGCCAGATATAGGCAAGCAAAGGGCCACATCTGGCCACAGTTTGGAGACCACTGGTCTAGAGTTTCCTCATCATCCACCCACTGTTCTTGAGATATCTAAGAAGTCGAATATGCTGGATTTATCTTGTCGACGGTCCTATGCTTTCTAAGGTTTATTGAGTAATGAGGCTTTATAGTATTTCCTAATCTGGGAAGCCCTTACCACTGTTGGTTTTAGTTCTAGTTAGAACTAGAAATGAGATTAAGGGTTTTTATAAGATCAGATAAAATCAATATATCTGAGGATTTGAAGAAGCTTGCAGTTAGAGATATCTGTGACATCTGAAACACAAACAAGATATGAGGTAATACAATCAATTCCCATATGGCCTTCCCAGGAGATACTGGGGTTGTTCCATCTGCTCAGATCGTTTACAGTTTGGTTGTATAACACTTGGAATTTGTATTTGAAGAGATCCAAGTAGTTAAAGTGGCACTAAGGCAAAATAAAAAAAATTACACTGCATGTGATACAGTCTGTCAGAAGCATTAACACAGCACTCTTGTTTTTCTGAGATATCCCATGACTTAGTTTTTTCCGGTTGATTCTGCTGTTATTTCTCAGCTTTTCAAAAAACATAATAAATGCACATTTTTTGCAGGTAAAGAAGCCTGCAGAGCATCATATGATCTGAGAGTGCAATCTCAGGCTCCTGTAGACTTTCAGCATAGCTGTCTGTCTGTACCCCATATGCACAGGCAGTTACCTGAGAGCAGAAAGATCAATGGACTATGAGAACACTCACCAGCACCATCGCAGTTCAGGCAAATTAAACATGTTTTTTTTTTTGTTTTAAAATAACAAATTTAGTTGAACCCTAATAGGAAAAAGATAGTTTCCCCAAAAGCTTGAGAAGTGTTAGCTGGAGTTAGGCTTTAATTTGTTACATACAATAAAACATCATTTGGATAGTTTATGGCAAACTGTGCTATGTCTATGCCAGGTATGTGTATTATCATATAATATGGCCAGGAAGGGTTCTAGGGAGATGACAAAGAGCAAGGAAACAACAGTGTTTAATAGAATTGGGCAAATGGTTTTGCTATATTTTAAATCAGCCCAATAGCTGACTGATGCTAAAAGACATCTTCATGAAACCCCAAATTCCATTGCGCAATCTTCTGGTAACTCTTCCAACAGATAGAGTCATAAAACATTTGTTACACTTATGTCAGAAGCATTCATGCAAGCTGAACAAAATATCACCATACTTTTTCTAAGAGATTAATGCCTATATCTTTAGTGTCATCTAGTGGCCAAAATGTGATATAGCTTTTCCAAAAAAGAAATCTCAATGACAAACTATTTAGCATTTTGGCCACTAGATGGAGCTAATGATACAGGAATTTAGCTCCCAAAAGATTAGTGATTTTGTTCAGCTTCCACAAATGCTTCTGACATTCATTCAAAAATGTTTTAAAAATAGACCCCTTGATCTGAAAGTGCATGTATCTGCAATCAGAAAGAGATTACACCAGTTTAACCTGCATGGTATGGGTGCCAGGAAAAAGCCTTTGCTGTACCAAAATAACATTAAAACAAAACTACAGTTTGCCAATATTTGGTTGTGCTTTTCGTCAAGTATATTTAAGTCTCAGTAATGGCTTTGCTATAAAAATGTCAGTAGTGTGCAGCCAGCATTAGCCTTTATACTAAAACACAACTATTGGCACAAAAAACATTAAAAGGCCACTTACATGTTCCAATTCAGTTATAGTCACTTCCTTTTTCTCAATTTCTTTATGTAGGTGATTTAAAAATTGATCTTTATGAAGCAGGTCAAGGTCTTTTTCTTGAAGCTGATCCCCCATTTCTTGTAGTTTTTCTTGCAAGGATGAAATCTGGCAAAGATCATGGATTCATGTAACAAATATGATTCCTAATATTAGTAGAAAGTTAGTTAATATCTAAATGGCTGACTTTATATATGTGTTTGTGCATGTGATCAAGACAAAGTGACCCCACAAGGGATACACTCATTTGTAAGAATAAAAAGATTCTGACTACTTAGTAGTAACGTACAGTCCCTTTTCCCTCATAAACAACTGTTTTGCCTAAAGCAGGAAAATTCAGTATGCAATATTAAATTCAGCCACTATGGAGCCCAGAATAAATTTTACAGAAACTAGCGACTGTTTAATAAGAAAATGAAATCCTAAGAACTCAGACTCCATCTTAAGAACTGAGGGAAAAGAACCAGCCATTATTCTCTGAAGCATGTGTCAGGACTGAACTTACTTACCTACAGGCAGCATCGCTGGGGAACATGGACTTATTGCCATATACAGCCTAATCATTCACGGTGTTGGTATATTTCATATATTGATTATATGTACAGTCAGGTTCATAAATATTGGGACATCGACCCAATTCTAACATTTTTGGCTCTATACACCTCCACAATGGATTTGAAATGAAACGAACAAGATGTGCTTTAACTGCAGACTGTCGGCTTTAATTTGAGGGTATTTACATCCAAATCAGGTGAACGGTGTAGGAATTACAACAGTTTGCATATGTGCCTCCCACTTGTTAAGGGACCAAAAGTAATGGGACAATTGGCTTCTCAGCTGTTCCATGGCCAGGTGTGTGTTATTCCCTCATTATCCCAATTACAATGAGCAGATAAAAGGTCCAGAGTTCATTTCAAGTGTGCTATTTGCATTTGGAATCTGTTGCTGTCAACTCTCAAGATGAGATCCAAAGAGCTGTCACTATCAGTGAAGCAAGCCATCATTAGGCTGAAAAAACAAAACAAACCCATCAGAGAGATAGCAAAAACATTAGGCGTGGCCAAAACAACTGTTTGGAACATTCTTAAAAAGAAGGAACGCACCGGTGAGCTCAGCAACACCAAAAGACCCGGAAGACCACGGAAAACAACTGTGGTGGATGACCGAAGAATTCTTTCCCTGGTGAAGAAAACACCCTTCACAACAGTTGGCCAGATCAAGAACACTCTCCAGGAGGTAGGTGTATGTGTGTCAAAGTCAACAAACAAGAGAAGACTTCACCAGAGTGAATACAGAGGGTTCACCACAAGATGTAAACCATTGGTGAGCCTCAAAAACAGGAAGGTCAGATTAGAGTTTGCCAAACGACATCTAAAAAAGCCTTCACACTTCTGGAGCAACATCCTATGGACAGATGAGACCAAGATCAACTTGTACCAGAGTGATGGGAAGAGAAGAGTATGGAGAAGGAAAGGAACTGCTCATGATCCTAAGCATACCACCTCATCAGTGAAGCATGGTGGTGGTAGTGTCATGGCGTGGGCACGTATGGCTGCCAATGGAACTGGTTCTCTTGTATTTATTGATGATGTGACTGCTGACAAAAGCAGCAGGATGAATTCTGAAGTGTTTCGGGCAATATTATCTGCTTCTATTCAGCCAAATGCTTCAGAACTCATTGGACGCCGCTTCACAGTGCAGATGGACAATGACCCAAAGCATACTGCAAAAGCAACTAAAGAGTTTTTTAAGGGAAAGAAGTGGAATGTTATGCAATGGCCAAGTCAATCACCTGACCTGAATCCGATTGAGCATGCATTTCACTTGCTGAAGACAAAACTGAAGGGAAAATGCCCCAAGAACAAGCAGGAACTGAAGACAGTTGCAGTAGAGGCCTGGCAGAGCATCACCAGGGATGAAACCCAGCGTCTAGTGATGTCTATGCATTCCAGACTTCAGGCTGTAATTGACTGCAAAGGATTTGCATCCAAGTATTAAAAAGTGAAAGTTTGATTTATGATTATTATTCTGTCCCATTACTTTTGGTCCCTTAACAAGTGGGAAGCACATATGCAAACTGTTGTAATTCCTGCACCGTTCATCTGATTTGGATGTAAATACCCTCAAATTAAAGCTGACAGTCTACAGTTAAAGCACATCTTGTTCGTTTCATTTCAAATCCATTGTGGTGGTGTATAGAGCCAAAAATGTTAGAATTGTGTCGATGTCCCAATATTTATGGACCTGACTGTATGTCTCATCTGTTTTTTCAATAGTTTTACACATTCTGTTTTGTTAATAAAGCTTCAAGATTACATTTAGTCTGGCATATTGCAGAATAGGAGGGTTTAGCTGCATGTCGAGCTACACACAAGGAAACGTGTAGCGAGCACAGAACAACAAGGACCCTTGTCTCTTTTTCAATTACAGCCCAAAACAGATTTAGCATCATGATTATATACAAAAAGCTGTTCCATGATACAAGATTTCACCTGCACATGGCTCCTTATCATTATACTCCAAAACCATGGTGAAATTTTCAACTGCCTTACAAAATCCTTTTAAAGCCCAATCGTAGTTTATGGGAAATGCTGCTAATTAAATCAAGGCGGCTCATAATAGTAAATGCTAAATTTAAATTTACTTACGGTGTTTTATTATTGTACACCTCTCCTAAGCCAACAGAAAAACTTTGACAGTATGCTGTAAAAAAGAACATTGCACTGCAGCATTCTCTTTTTAGCGGCCTGACTCCCCCCCCCACCTAAACAGAGCTACAGCTCATCAATCAGCAAAGTTCGATCCCTGCCCATTGCAGCATTATGAACTACATTTGGGCTTCAAGATAAACAAGCAAGTTTAGTTCAAGGACTGCTAACCTGTGACATACGATCTTTTATTTCCAGTTCAGAATTCAATAAGGCAGTTTCCAGATGAATAATTTTCTGCTCCAGTTCTTCTTTGTGTTGCCGAATAGTTGAGTCCAGCTGGGTTAGCTACAGCATGTAAGAAATGAGCAAAGTGAAATTCCCAAAGAACACTATCTCTAGGTTTAGTGACAGCACAGGCCTTCCCTCCCAGCAGTGCAGAATGACCGCAATCACACAGAAAGCACCTAAACACAATAATGACATAATAGAAAGCTTATTGTGATCCCTGCAGGTACAAGGGTAAAGAGAGGGTCACTGAAAATATAGAAATGCGTAGTATCCTTTAGAATTCCTTTGGTTGCCGACAGTAGGGGTAGAAGAATGGACCCCAATGAACTTTTAAATAAAATGTGCACAGATTTTTGCAATCAGTAAATGCATATTAAACAAGCCCTCATTTACTTCTGTAGCTATATGCATCAGGGGAAAATTTGTTTTCAAATTTCACAACAGAAGCACAGAAACCTTAGTTTTTATTCTATTACTACTACTTTCTATAGCTCCGGAATCTCGGCAGCTCTCTAATGTAAACACATAGTAGGTCTTTCTAAAGAGCTAATTTACACTATATGCAGTGACCTGTGTTCTTTTGCACAAGAAAAATGCAGATCACTGCTGGACCACATAGAGAACAAATGTTTTCTTTTTGCCCTATTTACACTACAATGCAGTGGTGATGTACAATGTGGTGTGGAAAACTGCAGATATGCGGCATTTGTTTGACAGTGCAACACACTGCACTGCATGTCACCACTTATTAACATATCATAGCTCAGCTGCACATAAGCTTTGGAGAACAGTCAATCTGTGACAACTTAAAGTTAAAAAGGAAAATAAAAAATTGTGTAAACATTGTGATGTGCTTTGGTCACAACTGTACATACAGAAAGACAAAAGAGGGCATATAAAAGAAGAGCTCTGAAGAAGAGGGTGCACCCTCAAAACGCATCAGGCCTTGGTGGCATCTTCCCAGCCCATATGGAGGCATGTACAGTGATCCTGGTAATTTCTTCATGGATATTTAGAATTCCCTTTTTTAAAGTCAGTTTGTGAGTATAGTCACCTGTTTTTATCCTTTGAATAAATAGTGTTTTGGTTAATGCAAAAAGCTGGTGCTCCTCTTTTGTCTTTCTGCATGTAGTGCTTATGGAGAATTCCTCTCTTAGGAGGGCGGCAAGTCTTAGTGGATACCGAAGCACTGAAGTTATGTCCAGGGACTTTAGATACCTGAATTAGAGAGTATCTACTTGCAATATTGGTGCCACACTTGAGCACAGAGGACTGTTTGTTGTTATTCTTTGTAAAATAGCAAACTGTCCCCTCTTTCTCCTACTTTTCCCTCTGGCAGTTCATTCTCCCTACTGAAAAGCACCTCAGTAATGATGTGAAAGCAATGTTCAGTACAGCAGTGCTTTCTATCAGTGTGGAATAATGATGTGCCCAAGGGGTGGGTGTTTTTCAACCTGGAAAACCAGTGGCAACAGCAAGAGGCATTGGTGAATCTTTGAGGGGCTGCGCTAGCTGAGTATTGGAAGCGAGTATTACAGAAAAAACTGCCTTTTTGTTTTAGAGAAAAACTGTAAGACCTTTTGATTTTGGTGAACCTGGGATGTATTTAACCGATTTAAAATGAAAGCAGAACTACACAAACTATTTTCTATTTTGTCCCTTCCGTCTCCTTCTTACACAAATGCGAACACAATGTATTCTATTTTTTACCCTTTCATTGATTTTTGTGCTGCAAGGAAGCACTTCCTGGTGTCCAGTCTAGATCGGGCTCTACTGCCTCCTGGGATTTCTAAATTAAAGCTATTTTAGGAGACAGTGGGCTACTAAGCTGCAATTTTGCAATGCATGTGCATTGCACAAATGCCATTGGCTGCTATATTGCCTATCTACCGAATGTTGGCGGCATTTGTTTGCATTCAAAGAAATCTGCAGAGTGTGTGCTGATGTGCTGCCAGTCTCTTTCAGTTCCCAAATGCCTGAAAGAGACCAGCGACACATCCGCACCCACGTGGGTCCTTTGAAAATGTCAGCATGGAAGAATGGTGGTGTGGATGTAATTCAGGAGTGGTTATCTCCTTTTAACGTTTAACAGGGCTTTAAAATACTGAACTATATTAGCAAGTGATTAGTGCAAGTTCTCACAGCATGAAGAGATGGCAGGCTTACCTGGGCTGCCCTCTGTTTTAGTTCCCAGTTCCTGTCTTTCAGGGCCTGGTCCATATCCAGCAGCTCATGGTCTCTCTCATCCAGTTCATTCTTACATGTCCTTCATTTTAAAAGATGAAAGGTAGGTTTACCAACCAATAAAACGTCACTTTAATACATTTTATATCCTTGGTAAGGTTAGGAAGTCATGGCACAATAATGTAATTATGCATAGCGGTTTGCACTGTTCTCTGTAGGAAGCATAACTCTTTTTTCTTTTTTTTTTTTAAGAATCACTGTGGATGTTTTACTGAACTGCAACAGACATTAAAATATCTATAAATGAAATAAAGTGCAACAGCGCTAGGTGTCTAATAATTATTCAAGTAGATATATAAGTGTGTGGGTTATTGAAATAATTAGTTGAGCTGCTGGCATAAAAAGTAAACCTCAAAAAACTTCGGATAGTATGTCATAAAAATATGCAGCGCTCATAAATTAGAGATTAACCAGATCTCATATATTAGAGAAACCTGATCGTATATAGTGAATCTGAATTAGGTAAAATTCATAATAAAAATAAACATTAAAATATAAAACATATTAAACTCGTGACTTCTGTGGTGCATCCAGGGTTGGAAAACCAGAGGAAAGTTCGTGACTCTTGTGTTGAAAAAGCTGAAAATAGCTTGCACTAACCAGATGTCTCAGCACATGGAGCATGGAGTAATTAAGACCTACTCCTAGTAGTGAGGCCCGCCGATAAGGGAGGAGGGGTTGTTATAATGAACAGACTTAATTACCTTACACTAGTAAGTAATATCCTGGAAGATAAAGAAACTTACAGGCCTCTTAACAACAATCCGTTATTTGCCTATAAAAAAAGCATTAAAATCTTTGATTAACACAGGGTATGAAATTGGAATCCTGAGTAAGAAAGAGAAAGATTATCTATGCCCCACTGCCCCAAAACTGCCTGTAATTTATTGTCTTCCAAAGATCCATAAGGATCCTATTAACCCCCCAGGCCGCCCTATAGTAAGTGGTATAGGGTCACTTTGCGCACGGGTTGGAGAGTATATAGACGGTTTCCTCCAACCTTTGGTGATAAATACTCCAGCCTTTCTAAGAGATTCAAAACAATTGTTATCTGTTATTAAGGACATTAGATTGACTAAACCAACTTATTTAGTAACTGCGGATGTCTCCGCCCTTTACAGCAACATAAAACATGAGGATGGACTTCAAGCTGTTGATTATTACCTGAAGGGTGCTGCGGATGTCCCCCCATTACAGAAATGTTTTATATTAGATCTTCTCAAATTTGCAATGTGTCATAACTACTTCTGGTTTAGCAATAATTATTATCTTCAGATCACCGGAGTTGCAATGGGTGCAAAGTTTGCGCCGAGTCTTGCCAATCTATTTATGGCTTATTGGGAGGAAGAGATCATCTACTCCAGGGACTGGCCACATCTCTGCTTATATTGTCGGTACATCGATGATATTTTCTTATTATGGGATGGTGATGAATTTTCCCTGACTAATTTTTTCACAACCCTGAACTACAATACCAATAACATCAAATTGACCTTTCAATATGATTTTCAGGAAATTAATTTTCTAGATTTAAACATTTTTAATAATGGTACAGGGTTATCTACAAAGACTTTCTTTAAACAGACCGACCGGAATAGTTTTTTATTCCAATAAATAGTTGTCATCTTCCTAGATGGTTGAACAACAACATACCTAGGGGCCAATTCCTAAGGGTTCGTCGCAACTGTGATAATGTTGAGGATTTCATCCAACAATCAAGTATCCTTAAAAAGAGGTTTGTGGAAAAAGGCTACAATAGTAACACTCTACAGACAGAAATTAATAATGTAAAGAACACCAATAGAGAGTTGCTTCTCTCTACTGGGCAAATAAATAAAAATACAAATAAGGACAATAGGTTCTGTCCGTTCATTACTAATTTCTCTGCCCAGTACAAACATGTAGCCAAGATCATTAAAAAACATTGGTGTATCCTCAAAAGTGACCCAGTACTAGGTAGCTCGTTACCTGACCTACCAGAAATCACCTATAGGAGAGCTTCTTCTCTTAGGAATAAACTTGCTCCAAATGTGGTAAACCCACCGAGACAGCTTACGTTTTTTAATCGAAAAGGCTTCTTCCCATGCAATCGATGCATGTTATGTGTCTATAATGGCATTCACAAAACACCCATTTTTACTTTTTGCTCTCGCTCTACTGGTAAACAATACACGATAGACTCTACCATCACATGTAATAGCCTCCACATTGTTTATCTCCTTGAATGTTCCTGCGGAAAACAGTACATTGGCAGGACCACCAGGAGATTAAGAGACAGGCTACGTGAACATCTCACAAATATAAAGAAGGGTTTTAAAGAACACTCTTTATCTATGCACTTTCTCCAACAACACAATCGGGACCCACATTCCCTTAAATTTATTGGCATTGATACAGTCCATAGACACTGGAGAGGAGTCCATAAACGAAGAGCAGTCTCTAGGTTAGAAACAAAATGGATCTATTTATTACGTACATCATCCCCTTTAGGCCTTAATATTGAGCTGAGCTGGACATCAATTGTTTTATCGATACTAGTTAATCTGCATTCTATTACAATTTTTACTATACATTTTTATGACATGCGTTTTTGTCAGTTCGTTTTTGTGAGGTTTGGTTGCTCTTTTAATGCTCTCTTTATGAAGTTTATTATTGAGTCGGTCATTTTTTAGCTTTCATATATTTTTTAGTATATAACATTTTATATATTTTTATGTTTATTGTTTATTGATGCGTTTTGCTATGTGGATTTTATTCTATTCGCATCTTTATCATTATCCATTATAGTGGATCTTTTACTCTTTATTTTAGTTTATTTTAACTATATGCATTTATCCAAATCTTTTATGTATATATTGTGGCCACATGCGTTTATGTATATATAGACGTTGATTTTTTCTGACATAATTTATATAATAATCTGCTATGCCTTAGTGGTATTATTCCACAGTGTTTTATTTCAGTTTTTAGGACCCATTGACATATTGTGTAGTATGAGTTTGTTTTAAATACATGGTTATACTACATATATGACGGGTTTTTTATCAACTATATACCCCACGTTCATGTGTTTGTGTATATATATATCCACTTGGTGCAACACCTCTCTGAACGGTTTCCATTGCTAGGGTACTTATGCATGCTATTTTATATGCTATTCTTATAGTTATCATTTGATCCATCTCCACAGAGGCACTTTAAAATAGTTATAGCAGTAAGAATACTGGTTTATTACCTCAAGCTTAAATAATTATATGCCCTTTGTATACAGGTTCAGTGTCCCCTCCTATATTATATGCTAGACACTCTACAGACTTAATGTCCCCAGCTGTATCCATTAACATGGATTTCTGGCTTCTTCTGTCCACCTGCACTGTTCTTCAAGAAAATGGCCGCCGTATGAGCGTACTGCGCATGCGCGGCTTTGCCGCAATGACGTCATCGGTGCGTACTGCGCATACGCACCGCGGACTATAAAATAGATCGTTTTTTCTGCAATGCACCCCCTTTGAAAACGTGTGTGTGACACGAAACGCGTCAGGAAGGTGCCCCCCCACTGTCTGGACATACCACTTAGCTGCCCCATGTTCCTGTGATCAATATTTGTAAGTGTGTTTTTTATCATTTTGTAATTACTACGGAAATAAATATAATATAATACTACTACACTATCAAAGCTTCTGGCCTGTGGCTCTCTTTTTTGGAGGGAGCCTGGGCCTTTTGAAGGTGCTCGGTTCCTCTTGGTCTCCTGTGTGTTGCTGGCTGGCTTGCTGGATTCATCTTCCTATTGGCTGATGTATATCTCTGGAATCATCCTCCTGCTGTCCTGGGAACATGACATCTAGTGGCGAGAGATCAGATGACATCATCCCCTCCAGTGGCTTCCTTTCAGAGTACCAGGAGTAGGTCTTAATTACTCCATGCTCCATGTGCTGAGACATCTGGTTAGTGCAAGCTATTTTCAGCTTTTTCAACACAAGAGTCACGAACTTTCCTCTGGTTTTCCAACCCTGGATGCACCACAGAAGTCACGAGTTTAATATGTTTTATATTTTAATGTTTATTTTTATTATGAATTTTACCTAATTCAGATTCACTATATACGATCAGGTTTCTCTAATATATGAGATCTGGTTAATCTCTAATTTATGAGCGCTGCATATTTTTATGACATTAAAATATCTATGTCAGCAAACACTTGGGTGAACCTGGGCTACGTTTAAACTTTTAAAAGTAAAATATCTAAAAGCAGACACCGCAAAATGCCTCATATTACTTTTAAATGACCTGTTTCAACAAGCTTTGGGATTTGTCAATGGCTTCACTGAACAGCAGTATAAAAGATACTTCTTTGATCATTCAGAATTCATTGAAAGGTGCATTTGACCACCTACACCTGACCATCTGACCAGCATTTAACCTGCCTCAAGCAGGTTTTGCATATCTACAGACCTGCATGAGAATGCAAAACCTGTTTGAATCAAATAAAAGCTTGTTGGCACAGATCCAAACACATTTTTTCTGCACCTCTCTGATTAAGTTTTACTTTGTTACTGGTCCCTGACTTCATGACCAAGCGCCAACAACTGTTATGCCCCTGTCAAAACATTGCTCTTACTGGCTACAGAATCTCAATGGACAGTTGAATGGTAATTGCCAGCTTTGAAGCCAGGTGCAGTAATAAAATAAAACCAAATTAGAGAGATCATTATGAAAACACTGAAGAGGCTTTTCTGGATAAAAAAAGGTAACAGCAGCCATTTCCCATCCAATTGCCCTTGGATAGGACTTGGGTTTTCTAAATATTAAAAACAAAAACAGGCTCATTTAATGCACATTTCTTATTGTAAGTATAAGGATAAAAAAAAACGTTGTCTATACCCTGAAGCAGGATGATATGGTATCATCAACTGTTAATATGTAACTCTTTCTTTCTTAAACCTTAGGAATGCCCATTGAAACTAGATTCTGGTTGGCGCCATATGCCAATGCAGACAGGGACACAAAAGAATCTGTTCCAATTGTACCACGTACTCTTCTGATTGGAAACTTAGTTTTCTATAGTCCTATTTTCTGTAAAAAGAAACATCTCAACATATTTACTATGCAAAATGCTCCCTAATCTTCAGGAGTCAATCTAGGAATGACAAAAAAGAAGTCTGTCTTGTCTTATATTATCGGCTTTCCTAGAAATTGAGTTGGGTTAGTACAGCCTAGCATTCTGCTTGGCAGGTCATTACATTTCTACACCAGGTGAAAGCATACTTAGATTTGGAAGAGTCACTGGCCAGTGGCCTTTTGTGGTCATCCTCATTGCTATCAATATGGGAGAACGCAGAAAACTCCTCCTGAGGAGCAAACAGCAGACCCCTCCTTTCTTTCTCTTAAAATACTTGATTTCCTAACACTGTGAAAAATCTGGAGCAACTGTGCATGGTGGCCAATCAGCTTCTAACTTCAACTTATTCAATTAAACTTTGACAAAAAAAACTGTAAAAAACCTGATTTCTATGCAGACCGGCACTAGATTTTGCACTCTCCAGTTTTAGTAAATCAACCCCTTTATGTCACTGTGGCTAGCTACATATTGTTTTCTATCACAATGTAAAAAGAACTTTACCAGCCAAAACATGGGGGCAGGACTGGGCCTACAGGTTAGTCCTTGCTTCCATTTCAAAAGAAAGATTTTATGTGTACTATTAGGAGACTGTTACTTAAAATCCCTTTCTTGGATAGGATAGAATAATCATCAGACCAGCAGACATAGGAAAGTTGACCTTTCCACAGATAACACCCCAAATAGACATTCATTTCAGGGTTTGCTTACCTTAATTCTTCTGTAAGGGCTTGTATAATGACTTCCTTTTCTTCCACTAATAGGTGGGTCTTTGTAAGTGTCTCTTGAAGTTCTTCAACATGTTTGAGATTCTCCTGCAACTGCTTCTGCAAATGCTGAAGCTCCATTTCCATTTCTTCTTTTCTCTTGAGATCCCTTTCAGCTCTATTCACTCTTTCTTGTAACAAAGTGACTAAAAACAAGGAATATAAATATCAGAAGAATAACTGAGATATTTATAAACAACTGTAAGGGACTATATGACTGGATAAACTCTAAATATTTGAGAAAATCTGACCAATAGCATGGAATTGGCTTCCTTTGTGGCTATGCCAGTCTCTACCCTTCTACAAATGTCTTCCACAAGATTTTGGTGTGTCTGTTGAAATTTGTGTCCATTAAGCAAAATGAGCCTTGTTGAGGTCAGGTAATGATGTTGGAAGAGAAGACCTGGCTCACAAGTGGCTTTTCAATTAATTCCAAAGGTGTTTAATAGGTTCAAAGTCAGAGCTCTGTGCAGGTCACTTGAGTTCTTCCACACCAAAAACTCATCAAACCATGTCTTTATGGACTTAGCATTGTAGACCTAAACGTAATAGCTGCGTAGATTGTCTACATATTTTTGGCAATATACTGTAAACTGAATTGTTTTGGTACGCTCCTGCATTAAACAGTGTGCATTAAACCTAAAAAACATTATGCAGTGAAATTTTAATGTCCATTAACAGCATGACTTAGTATGACAATGGGGTTGAATTACTAAAACCGGAGAGTGCAAAATCTGGTGCAGCTCTGTATTGCAACCAATCGGCTTCCAGGTTTTTTGTGTCAGCTTAATCGAACAAGCTGAAGTTTTGAAGCTGATTGGCTACCATGTACAGCTGCACAAAATTTTTCACTTTTTGGTTTTAGTAAATGGACCCTGATGTATTATTACACAAGCCTGAACCTGCATTTAAAATGGACCTCTCAGAAACTTAAAGCGGAGCTCCAATCTCCTGTGAAAAAAAATAAAAGTCAGCAGCTACAAAAACTATAGCTGCTGGCTTTTAAAAAACAGCCACTTACCTGTCCCTCGATCTAGCAATGTGCTCACCACAGCCAGGTTCACCTACCATCCTCTGTCCCTGGCGCCGGCATTTAAGTGTGGGCACCCGACTGACAGCTTGAGGCTTCACAGACCAGTGCCCATTGTACATCCGCTTATGATCGGCTAGGTCAGTGGTCTCTAAACTGCGGCATGGGGAGCCAGATGTGGCCCTTTGCTTACTTTTATCCGACCCTTGGAGCAGTATTTCATGCATTAGTATCAACAATGGGGCAAAATTCCCCCCCACTGACACCAACAATGGGACACAATTTCTACCAATGACACCAACAATGGGGCACAGCTCCTCCCACTGACACCAAAGATGGTGTTGGTGTTTTTTCTCACTGACATTGGGACCTTTTCTACACACAAAGGCCACAAAAGGCCCTAAACTCTGAAGGACAGTAAACTTACCCTTTGTTTAGAAAGTTTAGAAATTCCTGGCCTAGGCGGTCAGAGAGGAAGTGGGAGCGGGTACCTGTCATAATTGGGTACCCATTCCCCCCCCCTCGCTCCCCTAAGGTAAAAAATCCTTAATGGGGAGCAGGGGACGATTCTTTAAAGCGGAACGTCCCCTTTTGGGTAGAGCTCCACTTTAGGTAGTCTACATTAAAGAAATGGTATTATGTCAACAGTATGTTTTTTTAAAGCTCTACCTTTTATACTAAAGCCTTAAGTAGCCAATGTGAGACTGCAGCAGTTGTGAACACAGCTAAGGCTTCAGGATTTACATGACGGTCATCTCTAAAGCTGGCTACACAGGTCTAGAATTTTGGTTAATTCCTGCTAAATTAAATGAAATTCAAGCAATGGGAGGCCCTGCAAACATCACCTAGGAATGACAAAAGTCGATTTAAATATTACTTATTTGGATGAAAAATGATCAGCTGAACAGTGGCTGTATCTTGTCAGAAATGGTCACTGTTCATGTATTTGCAATACAATAGCTGGCAGTGGAGATTCCTTGATCCACGCGGTTTAGCATAGATGGGGGGAATCAAGTGACTTTCTGTCTTTCAGGCTGTGGGAAACAAAGCAAGTATGGCTAAGCATATGCTAGGATATCAGTCCAGGGAAGTAGATGCTGAACCTGGTGATGCCTTAACATAAATGTTATCACCCTTAAGCTGGCCATAGACAGGTAGTTTTTTTTTTTTTCTGTTCAGCCAGTGGACAGATTTTGCCTTCCACACAAATGAGGTGGATGGAGGAATTCCTCCTGCTGGGACATTGTATTCTGACCGTGAGACTCATCGCTGTGAGAATAAACTGATCCGTGGCTGCAGCAGGTTTTCAGCATGCCTCTTCGACAGAGGTTGATCAAACTTTGACTTCCGTTAAGCAGGGATGGCCACACACGAATCAAAATTGAGCCTGTCCTGTCTGAACCAGCCGAGTTTTGAGCCATCTATGTCCAGCTTTATATTCCCATGTTACAATACCACATTACTTATCATGCATGCACTTAATGTAAAACATACTGTATATACGTGATGCAAGGTACAGAACTGACATCTTTGGCTGTTAAATATAACCTAAAGGGTAAATAAAATTAAAAAAAAAAAAAAAAAAAAAAAAACAACTGTATACATTTCACAATAGCAACCTGCTTAAAAACAGTGTTCACGGTTATCTCTTACCCAGCTGTGCTTTGTCATTAAGTTCAGTCTGTGTTTTCTGTAAAATCAAATCCATCTGACTCAGTCTGTTGTTCTTAGACTCCCCATAAGCAGTGACAGACAACAGCTGCTCTTCAGTGTGCATCAACTTCTCTCTGCAACTGTCCAATTCACACTGTACCTGCCTACAATACAAAAGACATTATTGCATAGTATACATTCCTACAAAAATGTGTAATCGCAGAATTGTCATGTGATAATAGAGAGGAATGCTGTGACTTCTTGGAGCAGTTGGTTTATAATAGCACTTTCCTGATGAAAACGGCACAGTCCTTTCTTAGCAGAACCTTGTGTATATGGTTTTGTAGCAGGATTCCTACTGCAATTAAAAAGTACCAAGCAACCATCAATATTTCTACTTCCATTCGGTGGCATCAATTGTCATCCATCGACATGAATATGACTGAATTTAACAATACAGTGCTTCGCCTGCACTGAACTCTAAAGCAGTGTTATGTGCCTTGCCTACTTATGTGAACCACAGAAAAAGTACCCATTATGCCACAGGTGTCAAACTGGCGGCCCTCCAGCTGTTACCAAACTACAAGTCCCATGAGGCATTGCAAGATTAACAGCATGACTCCCAAAGGCAGAGGCATGATGGAACTTGTAGTTTTGCAACAGCTGGAGGGCCAGCAGTCTGACACCACTGCCTTATGCTATTAAGAGTGGCAGGTGTTCTGTAGTTCCTCCATAGGTACAGTATAGTGCGCAAATGTTGTCATCCTATGAAAGGAAGTGTATTTTTGGTGGGAACCCCAGGCAAAAATAAGGGAAACACTTAAAAAAAACAGATTCTTCTTCTTCTTCTAATTTGTATTATTATACAGGATTTATGTAGTACCAACAGTTACAATTTGACACAAGCGGATGAATGCCCTACTCAAGGAAGCTTACAATCTAAAATGGAGGAGCAAGTGGTACAAAGGGTAACAACTGTGAGGGATGAGCTAATGGAGAAGACTGAAGTACAGGTTTTAGGTGTATTACATTTTTGTTCTTTGTTGTGTATATACCTTAAAGTGGTTGTAAACCTCGGACATAAAATATGAACAAAGTATGTCTCCCAAAAGTGTGTACTTGTCTCAATCCAGATCACGAAGTGTTATTTCTGTCTGCTGCTTTGTTCCTTTGCTGTCTGCATGGGTCATTTCTGACAAATTTTCCCAACACCGAGAAAATAGGTGACAGGGGAGGGAGCTCCAGAACACAGCCTGTGATTGACAGCCACATCTCTGTGCCCCTGTGCTGTGTGAAGGACGGGTTTGTCCCATCCCTCCAACTAGATTTCACTGAGCCCTACAGAGTGAAACTTCAGCTCCCCATCCCCTGCTTTTTGATAGCTCAGACAAGCTGTATAAGTTCTGAACTTTGAACAGCTGTAGAGAAGACTGCAGATAACCATATACAACTTATGTAGGAGGATATGTTTCATCTCTGTGTATCATCTGTGGCTAGTCACTTCCCTGGGTATATTTAGGGGGTTTGCAATAACTTTAAAGTGATAATAAACCCTTAATTTAACCACTAGCCTACAGGGCACTTATACCCCCTTCCTGCCCAGGCCAGTTTTCAGCGCTGTCGCACTTTGAATGACAATTGCGCGGTCAAACAACACTGTACCCATATGAAATTTTTATCATATTTTTGTGACAGATAGAGCTTTATTTTGGTGGTATTTAATCACCTCTGGGTTTTTTATTTTTTCTTAAACAAACCAAAAACCACTGAAAATTAAAAAAAAAAAAGTTTTTTTCTTAGTTTTTGTTATAAAATTTTGTAAATAAGAGATTTTTCTCCTTCACTGATGTGCGCTAATGAGGCTGCACTGATGGGCACTGATAGGCTGCACTGACGGACACTGATAGGTGGCACTGATAGACACAGATGAGGAGGCACTGGTAGGTGGCACTGATGGGCATTGACAGGCATCACTTGTGGGCACTGAAAGGCAGCACTGATACATTGCACTGATAGGCAGAACTGACTGGCACTAATAGGCGGCACTGATAGGTCGCACTGATTGGCATTGGTGTGCACTGATATGTGGCACTGATGTAGCACTGGCACGAGGCACTGATGGACACTGACAGGTGGCACTGCTGGGGCTACACTGATCATCAGGGCACACTAATCATCAGTGCCCTGGTGATCAGTGTACATGTCCCCTCCGCAGAAAGCAGATTACCGGCTCTCCTCTCGAGCTGTCAGCGTGACAGCTTGAGAGGAGAGAAATGCCGCTAACCGGCATTTCCCTGTTTAAATGTGATCAGCTGTGATTGGACACAGCTGATCACATGACCGAGCCAACATCTTCGGCTCTTTCCGTGATCAGTGATCCGCTGTGTCCGAGGGCCCGGAGCCGCACATGCGCAGTGAGAATGGGAGGACGTCATTTGACGTCCTCCCAGAACGAGAGAACCACCTTGCGCCCGTCATATTACTATATGGTGGGCGGGAGGTGGTTAAACACTTTCAGCAGCTGTTATTGTCTATTTTCCAATTTAAGCTTGTTCCATGACTGCTGCCCTAGGTTTCTTGTTTCAGGGTGGCCTCTTTTCTCTTGCAACATTTTATGGAGCCACCCTTGTATGCAGGGACTATACCGGTGGCTCCTTACAATATGTGCATCACACAGCCCCACAGCCTAGGATGGCAAGGCACTCCCTTGCTCCTTCCTCCTTTTCTCCTTCCCACCAACCTAAAAGACTGACTGGAGAACTCTTTCTTGAGCACTGAGAGGAACAGTAGCCAGCAGCATGGAAAGCTGTAAATTGCAACGGCTGGGGTCAGTATTTTAACAAATTGTTTACTAGGGAGTGTTTATTATATTGTGCTTAGGTGTTTAAGTTTAGGTGTTTAGGTGCAAGTTTCAAAAACACTGAGGGCTTAATACTCCTTTACCCTAGGTTCACACATAAGTGTTTTCCGCAGCATTTTGCAGAAATGCACTACAGTCCATTTAACATGATTTCCTATGGGACACATTCACATCTCTGTGTTTTCACCCAGTGCATTTTTTGGAAAGGGTCAGGGAATTTTTTAAACGCAAAAAGTTGCGTTTTTTGGTTCAATAGACATCAATAGAAATGCTGCAGAAAAGCATGTACTGAGTTTTTGATGTGTTCTAATCTGCCTAGCAATATGCCCAGGAAGAGAAAAATCTGCTCTATCCACATGCAATGAGTAAGATGGGTACTCAAAATGTTACTGACAGAGCATAGGAAAATAGGACAGACATTTAACCCAACAAAAGCCTAAATTCAAGCATTTTAAGTTCTTTGGGGAAAAACATTTTCTGTTAACATGTGGTTGTGGCACCAAGATGAAAGTTACTGCTCAAAGAGCATGCTAGCCTTGAAGCATTAGTGGGACACATTCATATAAGCCCAAGAGGTTTAATGGTTTTGTCAAATTAATCATATGTCATTCTGTGTTCTTTCTGATCACCCTGTATGTGAAACGGAGAACAAGCTCATTTAATGACTCTTGGTTTTAAAGAAGCAATACAACTACTATATGGCTACATAATAAAAGTGTGTATTCTACTTCATGTAATGCATACTTTCATAATCTTATACACATTTTACAATGATATATACCGTATTTGCCGGCGTATAAGATGACTTTTTGACCCTTGAAAATCTTCTCAAAAGTCGGGGGTCGTCTTATACGCCGGTACACATGTTAGGGGGGCTGCGGCATTAAGTACAGGGGTTTGCAGGGGCTGACGTCTCTTACCTGGATCCAGTCCCACGACGATCCGGTCCAGGAAGCGCGGCGTCTCCTTCAGTTCGGCCACTGGATGTTCGTGCGGCTGCGCGGCTCCGCCTCCTCACCGGTGATTGGCCGCCAGAACTGTAGCTCAGGAAAGGCACACAGGCGGCCAATCACCGGCGAGGGGGCGGAGCCGAGCGGCCCCGCGAAAATTGAGTGCCGGAGCAGCAGGTAAGTGCTCTGTGTAGAGGTGCTGCTGCAACCACATATGCTGGCTGCAGCAGCACCATACGAGAACAGGGTCAGCAAGTCTCAGTGGGAGGAATAGTGCCCCATCATTGGTGTCACTGATACCAATGATGGGGCACTATTCCTCCCACTGACACCAACGATGGGGCACTATTCCTCCCCCCCACTGACACCAACGATGGGGCACTATTCCCCCCCCCACTGACACCAACGATGGGGCACTATTCCTCCCCCCACTGACACCAATGATGGGGCACTATTCCACCCCTCACTGACACCAATGATGGGACACCATTCCTCCCACTGACACCAATGATGGGGCACTATTCCTGCCACTGATACCAATGATGGGGCACCTATTCCCCCCACTGATACCAATGATGGGGCACTATTCCTCCCACTGATGCCAATGATGGGGCACCATTCCTGCCACTGATACCAATGATGGGGGGTACCTATTCCCCCCACTGATACCAATGATGGGGCACTATTCCTCCCACTGATACCAATGATGGGGCACTATTCCTCCCACTGACATCAATGATGGGGCACTATTCCTCCCACTGATACCAATGATGGGGCACTATTCCTCCCACTGACATCAATGATGGGGCACTATTCCTCCCACTGGTGTGCATTGGAAGAGGGGTAGTCTTATACGGCGAGTATAGCCCAAACACTACATTTTAGCAGGAAAAGTAGGGGGGTCGTCTTATACGCCCAGTCGTCTTATACACCGGCAAATACGGTAGGTTTTTTAAAACTGTATAGTTCTTACTCCATGCTGTTGCTCAGCTGGTGAATGTTGCGGGTTTTCAGAGCTAGTTCCTTACTGGCTGCTTGTAATTTCTTTTCTGTGGTTTTCAATCCTTCTTGGAAAGATGATCTTTGCTTCTCCAGATCAAATTCCAACTTGGAAATCTAGATTAAAATAAAATGATGATATCTAGCAGACAAACAATTCCAAAACAAGATGTCCTGATCCTTTCAAAACAATAAGTGAGTATAAAAGAAAGTAAGAATTGGGTATAGTCGATAAGCACCTCCTTCCCAATACAAATCTGAGACTTAAAGTGTAACACCAACCACTTTTTCAGTTTTGGATAGAATGAGACAAGAATCAATCTTCTGTCAGTTGTTATTGCTAGCTGTGGCTTGATACGAAAATTCTCTTTCACTATGTGTCCTGGTGACACATTGTTGGGCACACAAGAGAACAAAGAACACAAAGCAATAAAAAAAAAATATTTTTTAATAAAGTTATGGAAGATTAAAACCCATACGAGTTCTCTGTATCCCTGTTGGCATATATTCTCTCAGTTCTGGGTAACATCATTGTCATCAACAGGAAGTGAAGGGAAATTTGCCTAACAAGGCCTAAGATAGCAATAAAACTTGACAGAAGTTCTTGTCTTTGTCCACTCTATCCAAAACTTGCCTGGAAATATTCTCTATGTATAATTAGGTAAAAGCTATAATATAATAATTTTAGTATGTACAATTTTTCAAGTTTAGCTAAAATAATTTTTAATGGAAGATTTCATGCGTTAGGATTTTTATTTTCATTACTTTTTTATTATTTATAATAGACCTGTAGCTTTATCCTTAACCACTTGCCTACCGGGCACTTATACCCCCTTATTTACCAGGCCAATTTTCAACTTTCAGCGCTGTCGCACTTTGATTGACAATTGCGCGGTCATGCAAGATTGTACCCATATGAAATTTTTATCATTTTTTTCTCACAAATAGAGCTTTCTTTTGGTGGTATTTAATCGCTGCTGGGCACTTTACTTTTTGTGCTATAAGCAAAAAAAGTGCAAAAAATTTAGAAAAAAAAAAAAAAGTTTTTTTGTTTCTATTATAAATTTTTTCAAACGGGTAATTTTTCTCCTTCACTGATGTGCGTTGATGAGGCAGCACTGATGGGCACTGATAGGCGGTACTAATGAGGTGGCACGGATAGGCGGCACTGATAGGCAGCACTAATGAGGTGTCACGGATAGGTGGCACTGATATGTGGCACTGATAGGCGACACTGATAATGGGTACTGATAGACAGCACTGATAGGTAGCACTGACTGACATCACTGCTGGGCACTGACTGGTGGCACTGCTGGGCACTGACTGGTGGCACTGACTGGCAGAATTGCTGGGCTGCACTGATGGGCACTGGTGGGTGGCACTGATGAGCACAGGTGGTGGGCACAGGTGGGTGGCACTACTGGGCACAGGTAGGTGGCACTTATGGGCACAGGTGGTGACACTGCTGGGTGGCACAGGTGGGCGCACTGCTGGGCACAGGTGGACGCACTGCTGGGCACAGGTGGGCGGAATTTGTGTGTGGCACTGCTGGGCACCGATCATCAGGGCACTGGTGATCAGTGACCCTGATGATCGGTGCCGATCCCCGCTCTGACAACTGCTGGTTTTCGGCAGTACTTTCCTCACGATCTGACAGCGTGAGGAAAGTGCAGCCGAGAACCGGCATTTGCATTTTCCCGGTGATCAGCGTGTCATTGGACACAGCTGATCACGTGACGTGGTAAAAGGCCAATCACAGCGGCCTTTTACCACGTCACGTGATCAGCTGTGTCCGTAGGACACAACCATCACGGAGATCGCCGGGTGCGCGCCCCAGAGCGCGTTCTGGGAGGACGTCATATGACGCCCACTCAGAACTGGCCGGCCGCAGTGCAGCCGTCATTCGGCTATCTGTGGTCGGCAATTAGTTAAGTGCCAACCCGCAGTGCAACCCTATACATCTATTGCTACTTAAGTTATGAATAATTATATACATGTATTTTTTCAATATTATCATTCTAAAAAAAAAACCCTTTGGTTTTGTTTCACGTACAATGTACAAGTATTGGAAAGAAACATTAGTAAGAGCAACTTGGTGAGATGTGCACCTGTTGCTGTAGCTGTGCCTGGGTGTCCTCAAGCTCTCCGATTCGAGCAGTTTCCTGCTGTAACATATGTTGCTGCTGTTGAAGTGCCTGTTGCAACCGTACATTTTCTTCACTGGTTTCCTGAAGACTTTGAGTCTTTAACTTCATTTCCTTTCGCAAACACTGAACCTTATGAAATTTCCAGAAATAAAGTTATTTGGTGATAGTACAATAAATATCTGACAATGTACGAGTTTCCATGCAAAAAGACAGTTATTGGTGTATGTCTATAAATGACACCTCCTCCTTGCCTAATTTGCGACCATGCTACACTAGTGATCCTATGGCTGACAAGTTGTTAAGAGATGGGTTTGCTAAATACTCATCTGGTTCCACGCGTTGCTGTCTCACTGTCTGATGAGTATTATTTGGCAGCATTTCAATCAGCTACGGAGTGACATATGAAACAGGCAAGTAATGACTTTGCTGAGCCTAGCAATCTTGTCATTGGCCAGTTGTCACCAACAACAGGATCAATAATGTAACATGGCTCTTTAGGTGTCCAATGTAACTTTACCTTTTAATTTTTTGCCACACTTTACAGTTGGTTTGTACAACCTCTTTTGCGTTGATCAAAAACACACAATGAAGTGCAAGGAACAAAAAAATAAATAAAATGTTATATATATATATATATATATATATATATATATATATATATATTTATTTATTTATTTATCATATTCCAAAGACACGCTGGCAGGTTAATTGGCTCCTGTCTAAATTGGCCCTAGTATGTGTATGTATGAATGTAAGTTAAGGACCTTAGACTGTACACCCCTTGAGGGTTAGGGACTGATGTGAATGTACAATACATGTAAAGTGCTAAGTAAATTGACAGTGCTATATAAATAATGGAAATAAATATATATAGTGAAGGAAATAAGTATTTGATCCCCTGCTGATTTTGAATGTTTACCCACTAACAAAGAAATTAGTCTAAAAATCGAATGGTAGGTATATTGTAACACTGAGAGACAGAATAGCAACAAAAAATTCAGAAGAAATGCATGTCTAACAAATTATGCACCGATTTGCATGTTTATGAGGCAAATAAGTAGTTGATCCCCTTCACAAAACATGACTTAGTACTTGGTGGCAAATCCCTTGTTGGCAATCACAGAGGTCAGACGTTTCCTGTAGTTGGCCACCAGGTTTGCACACATCTCAAGAGGGATTTTGGCCCGCTCCTCTTGGAAGATCCTCTCCAAGTCATTAAGGTTTGGTGGCTGACGTTTGGCAACTCGAACTTTCAGCTCCCTCCACAGATTTTCAATTGGATTAAAGTCTGGAAACTGGCTAGGCCACTCCAGGACCTTAATGTGCTTCTTCTGGAGTCACTCCTTTGTTGCCTTGGCCGTGTGTTTTGGGTCATTGTCATGCTGGAACACCCATCCACGACCCATTTTCAATGCCCTGGCTGAGAGAAGAAGGTTCTCACCCAAGATTTGACGGTACATTGCCCCGTCCATCGTCCCTTTGATGCGGTGCAGTTGTCCTGCCCCCAATGCAGAATGTTTCCAGCCAAGTCCAGCCTTGTGTAGGTCTACAATCTTGTCCCTGACATCCTTTGACAGCTCTTTGGTCTTTGCCATGGTGGAGAGTTTGGAATCTGATTGTTTGATTGCTCATGTGGACAGGTGTCTTTTATACAGGTAACAAAATGAGATTAGCAGCATTCCCTTTAAGAGACTGCTTCTAATCTCAGCTTGTTACCTATATGAAAGACAACTGGTAGCCAGAAATACTGTAGAATGATAGGGGATCAAATACTTATTTCCCTCATGAACATGCAAATCAGTGCATAATATGTTAGACATGCATTTCTTTTGAATTTTTTGTTACTATTCTGTCTCTCAGTGGGACAATACACCTACCATTCAATTTTTAGACTGATCATTTCTTTGTGAGTGGGCAAACATTCAAAATCAGCAGGGGATCAAATACTTATTTCCTTCGCTGTATATACACAAACACACACACACACACACTGTATGTACATCTGAAGGAAACTGTACATAGACTGAGGGTAATATTTTGCTAGTTTCTTAGCAAAAGCCTAATGATTATTGGTCAAATTTATTTTACATTTTTCTTTGAAATTTTTTAGGATTAGAAACTAGGCAGAACTAGGAGCCTTCAAGCTCTGTTGCATGCACACGAGCTGACAGGGAACATGTCAACAGGAGAAGAACTCCTGAGTGTGCAAAGTTAAGGGACTTATCATTGTATTGCTGCTCCTTTAATGTCCATTCAATATACTGCAGGCATGGGAAGTGACACTCAAATCCTGCCTTTGCTGTTTGGCAGAGGTGTATGAATTAAAAAAGTGGCTAGGCAGAATTACAAATCCTTTGGCAGATCAGGCAGCTCAAATTTTGTATTTTAACTATGCATTTTGCCGTTTGTCTAGAGTTCAGTTTTACAGTTCTCACTCTGTGACAGGATTTACCTCCTCTAATTTTTTCTTTATCTGATCTTCAAAATCTTCTCTGTTGCCTTCCAGCTGTTGTAAATAAAGGCTCAACTCTTCTTTACATATAGCCAGGGCTGATTCAAGCTGTTTCACCTAAGGCAAAAACACTCAATACTGATTTTTCTTAAAAGTGCAGAAACAAAGGGGGGGTTAAAAAATTAAATAATTTGGGAAGGAATACGAATATGACAATACATTAGGTAGCTCACCTTTAATGTTTCCTCCTCAACTTGATTCTCAAGCACTTTAATCGCATCTACTGTGTCTTTCCTTTCATGATCCAGTTCCTTTGGGCAAAAAACATTTTTATTAGGAGGAATAACAGACAAAGAAATCAAACAAGTTAACTAAAACCAAAATATAACAACCTGCACTCAGGTGTGGTTCTCAAATAAGGGTGAACTGTCCCTATTCAAAATCTCCTGGATCAACCCACTCCAATTTCACTGTCTAGTGTACACACAGCATGCCTTGCTGCCCTCCTTAGACTGGGGTAGTCCAAACGCTACTGTATAGAAAAACACAGAGAGGGTGCATTGGCCTACTGCATTTTCTTTAAAACACTATTAAGATGAAAATAGGCCATCATACTCACAAACCCATACAAATGTCATGCTCATAATAAATATCCACATAAAACTGCCAGAACTGCTATGCATGCTTCTTGCTGATGAAGAAGGGACTCCCCTCAAAGCCTGTCAGCAGACCCATGTGGCATCTTCCAAGCATACAAGAAGCATGCATAGCAGTCCTGATGGTTCTTCATGTGGATACTTATGATGAGGATGACCTTAGTATTGGTTTGTGAGTTTGATAACCTATTTTTCTCTTAATAAAGAGGTGTTTAAAAGAAAATGCACTAGGTCAGGTGTGCCCTCTCTCTGTTTTTTTGTATACATCTGAAACTGCTAAGTAGAGGTGTGGTTTAATTTCAAGGGCAGAGCTTAGCTCCAAGTCAAAACAGGATGAGTTCCCAATGAATCCCTGCTATCAAAGGAATAACCTTGTCAACATATGTATGTTTTTACCTACTTGTCAACTTTCTTCCACTGTATAAAAGCTTGCCACCACTGGCAATTACAGTTAGGGTTCCCAAATGCTACTTCATTCAGTTGTGATAATATACCAAAATGTAAAATCAGAATACAAAAGATCCATTATGGACAAATTATAAATAACTCTGAAAAATGGTTTCATTGAAAAGCATTCAATCCATCTAAATGAGGGGTGCTCAACCCATGACCAGCAACCTCATACTATGGGATGCCGGGTTGGCAAGCCCACATTGCGGGTTGCTGATCCACCATCCCAGAGCAACAGAGTGCATAAAGCCAGTACCAGCAGCAGAGGAAGCAAGCAGTCAAGGAGGGAGAAGCAGCCAAATAAGCTGATGCTTCCTCTGTAGCACCGACTCCTGTCCCTGTTTTGCTAGAAAACAACTTAGAACCCCCAAACATTATATATTTTTTTGCAGAGGCGCTAGAGAATAAAATGGTGGTTTTGTATATTTGTATGTCACATGATATGTGCACAGTGGTTTTTCAGATGCAAGGTTTTAGAAAAAAAAAAAAAAACTTTTTATAATGCACAAAACCACAAATCTAATACCCAATTGTTTGGTACAATATAAAAGATGATGTTACGTGAGTAAATAGATACCAAACACGTCCTGCTTTAAAACTGCATGGTTCAGAGATGACCGAGAACACCCTTCCCGGCCAAGAATGAATAAATGCATGGCGGGCGGGAAGTGTTTAAACATCACATAGTTTTGCAATAGACATATTAGAACTTTTAAAAAAGGGTTATTAGGCTGCTTTAACACTGATCTGCAGGTGCAGCGCAGTGCACACGCAGCTTTCCAACGTGTTGGATGTACTGAGTCATAGACATATATTATATCCTGCAGGTTTGGTACACTTTCTGAAAGTGAACCACACCTACAAGATATAATAGAAATCTATGGAAATGTGCAGTTAACCCAGAGGAAAGCTGCAAGTGCACTGCGTTGCATCTGTGGTGCGGGTAAACATCAGCGCATCACTGTTAAAAGCAGAGGGCTCAGGACAGTAAGGACTCATTTACAGTTGCGGTTTGGGGGGAGGTAAAACCCTATAGTTGAAATGTGTTTTTACACCCCCCCTAGTGTAGTGTCAGGGGTCACAATGGCAACCCCACCCCATGGTCCAGGGGGCTCATGCAGCCTCCCTGTCACATTCTGTTTTACACTTGGATAGGAGGGGATGGTGGGGGTGGCATATACAGGAACTGATCCTCTCCATTTTCCTCCTGTAACCACTGAAAGCCAGCTTCTCCTCCTCTCCCTCTGACCAACATTCAGTGACTTGCAGGAGGAAAATGTTTATTATGCTATTCAAAATAAAAAAATTTAAATTCTGAACTATTTAATTTCATTGTGTCCCATGACTGGTTACCAAATCACTTAAAGTGTTACTAAACCCAGGACCCTGCATTCATTATATCTGGTCTCCCACAGTACACAGAACATGGAAATGCAATTATTTTAGTAAATATAAAATGCTAAATATTTTCTTATCAGCAGTTAGAGCAGTCTTGTGACTTCTATCAGTGTCCAGCAGAGCACTGGTTAAAGGCTATAGGAGTTTTTATTCTGCTTTAGGAGGATGCAGAACCCCTGACCTCTGTCTGGACAGTGCTAATCACATGTACTCTCCCAAGAGAAAGAAAATAAACGCTCTCTAGCAATACACACCAAGCTGAGCATGTGCAGAGTGACTCCACACGATATGTCTTATCAGGAGATAAGAGGGGGACACTGGAAGAAGGGGAGGATCAGAGAAAACAGGATCAAACAGCATTTTTACACAATGCAAAAGATTAACCCCTTAGGTTCCACAGTGAGTATAACAAGCATGCTTTACTGCATATACAGACTGATTTTACTGTTGTGGGTTTAGTAACACTTTAAGTGTCCCTTGCTCCTCAAAAGGTTGAGCATCCCTGACCTAAATTATTTTAATATCATCATAAAGCTAAATTAAGAATGTTTTAGCTGGAACTGAAGCCTCCTATCAGTTATCTTGAGCTGTGTACCCTTCCCTGTCTCAGAACTACAGTAAATCACTCTACATGTAACACATCTGACAGAATATAGATTAGTCTGTGGCATATATTTCATTTCTGAATAGTCTGCTCAAGGATTTAACACAACGGACTGACCAACTGTATTCATGAAGACAAATAAAAAAATTCTGGTCATGTAGGCTAAACTCCCCTTGCATGCAATTCCTGCTAAATTTCCAAGTTTGCCGGGAATTTAATCAATGCAACCTGTGTAATTTTTATTTTAGTTCAAGATATCAATATAAAAAAAAAATAACATAAAATACCTTTCTAGTTTCCACTAGTAGGGTTTCCAGAGATATTATCTGCTGTTGCTTTGCTACAGTGTCTTCTTGTAACATTTTAATAGTATAGTCTTGTTCTGCTATTCGAAGATTCTTCATCTCCTGCTGACACTGGAGCTGCAAAATATAATGTATGAGCATAGCAAAGAAATAAGAGACCAGGCCTATATAAAACTGTAGGCATCATTAAACCCATAGTAGATGCTTAGATACTCAGAGTAGGGTGGTAGTTCAGAGCTAATTGGCACCCAGGAGACTACTGACAAATTAACCAGTAGTGGTAGCCAACCAGCCTGGTTTAGAATGTGTTTTATTCCCCGTTATAGTTTAACAATAAAGATAGTATATTGGGTTAACAAGTTTGCTGTGTCTCTCTCTCTCTTCTTTGTTTTTTTTTCTTCCTTTTTTGTTTGTTTGATTGTTTTTCTTGTTTTTTTCCCTTTTGTAGATGGGATTGGTATTCTTTTCTGTCCATATATCATATACTTTCTTCAACTGTTGATGAAATGGTCTTTCCCCAAGTGAATGACTGGGGTTCTCCTTTGCTGCGATTGTTGCAATGTGGTGAATTTTGAAAAAACAGAGAATGCCTCTTTGTATATATGGATATATTGTTCCAAAATGTAAAACTGTATTTTGTTTGCTTATTATGTCTCTGCTTATAATTCCAGAGACAAATATTAGATCTCCCTGAGGAAGTGGGCTTTTGACCTGCTAATTGCATCAGAGCTATTTACATCAAGGCGTTATATACAGCACATTCTCCTTATGCACTTTATATGTAATCTTGGAGCTATTTATATCAAGCTCCATGCCTGTATTGTTACAACATGCAAATGGTAAATGTGTTTAGAGAGCCTGTTGATGCTCTATTTTTTTACTATAATCATGTTTTTTTTAATACAGTATGCAGTTATGACTTTTATAACACTTATATTTTTTGTTGTTGGTATGGTACCTATAGAGTCCTGGTAGTTTTTTCAGTTAGGGTTTTTGCACTTTTGGTGTCTGTATAATAAGGGACGTGGTACCATTAAAAAACCAGTGACCAGGTAGAGACCAATATATATATATATATATATATATATATATATATATATATATATATATATATGTATGACTCTCCTTCCCTTAATATAATTTTGATAAATGTGAGGTGCTGTGTTTAACAAAGAATTTTAATTCTGTGAAGCATGTTCTGTGATCAAGGCACCCATGCCAAAAAGCAAAACATATCCCACACCTACTGACTGGAAAATGCTCACATTGATAGGATACACAGCAGTCGTTGATAGGGTCTTAGTTCTGCTCCTCCCACTCCTAGCTCAAGTAATGCAGGGCAAGGGAAAATTGGAGGCCAATATCAAGAAACCTCATGTATATTATTACAGCTGCATCCAGACTTTAGATCAGCTTTCAAGTGTAGTTGCACTTTCACAATACAATTATTTCAGGGAGAGACACTGCACTGGTTCTGGGCTGGCCAAGCAGTGATACATTGGGTCTGACACGCCTAATACCCTCCTCATAAAAAATATTTTCATGAGATGGACAGGAAAAAGGGGTGTAAAAGATAGTTATTTCTACCGGGTCAGCAAAAGGGCCAGCTAAATAAAAGTGCAGTTATATTTTAATTCTAGCAGTTTGTTCAGGATGTTGCACAAAGGGAATACTCTTAATCAGGAGTTATACATAAACAGGATTGCATCTTTTCTGGAAATCCCTTAAAATGAACACTAAAGCAGTAAGAAATGAAATGAAATTTGCTAACCATTTTTAACCAAAATTAAAATTATTTTGTTTTGTTTTATAGATGCAAAATATAAGAGTTTGTAGCTCTGTGTTATCTTGTATCCATAGATTCCCAACCAGTAAAACACATACAGCAGGGGGACTTCTGCAAGTAATGGTAAACTCACTATGACAGTTAAGAGTTGTTTCAAACAATAAATCATATATAAAACCAGAGTCAAGTGGGCATTTCTAGCTGAAAAAGAAAAAAAAAAATATTTTTTAAATGGTTGAGAAATATTGTACCTTGGCAGTGTACTCTTCATGGGGCTTAATAAATTGTAGCAAATATTACTTAGTACACACAATGAGAAAATCGTACAAAAGAAAAAAAAAAAAAAAAACGCATTCGGAGTGATAGCCTGATGTTCTGTTGGTTAGTACACAGCTTTCATGAGCTGATTACAACAGTTCATGCAAATTTATTCTAAGGGACATGCACAAAATGTTTTCTCGTAAAATAAGAGAATGAGCGATTTTCATTCAAAACAGTACAGTATTTGTCCATTAAAAAAATAAAAATCGGATGATCAAGACCACACATGATCAAAAACATGAAAAAAAACCCAGAAGGAGAAAGGGCAACAAAAACAATCTTAGTATACAAAAAAAATGCTCCTAAATACGAAAACAAAATTGTTTTCAGGATAGAAATATGTATAACAGCAATTATGGCGTGATAATCTTTTTGCTACAATTTTTGTAAGTATCTGCAGAGGCATCACAAGTACATGACATCACTTCTGATGACATGCTGTTACATTGCTACACAAAAAGGAAGATGTACTGGATTGTAAAATAAATTTTGTATGCTTAGTGGCACTCTCATATTCAATATGAGCGAAGCATGCAAAAAAAAAACCAAAACAAAACGATCATTCATCCGATTTTCTGATTGTGTGTACTAGGCATAAGCTTTGGTTAAAAGTAAAAGTTCATCTTACATGCTCTATTTGCTTCAAGAGTTCACTCTGTTGTTCTTGATGGATAGTTTTAGACTTTTCAAATGCCAGGAGAACTTCTCGATGCTCTTTGCTAATGTTTTCTTCCAAGTGAACTATCTGGGCTTTAAATTCCTGAAAAAATATAAATGTGTTTGTGAAATCATGAGAATATTAAAGCAAATTGCAGCCCAGCAAACAATATATACAATCATTTTTCTTGAAATGCTAGTTTTCCACTTAACAAAATTGTACTTCAGAAAAAAAAAATCAATCACAAGCAACATAATACTGTGAGGACCATGTCACATGATTGATTTTGTAGCAGGTACAGAATCATTTTTCATACCTTTATTTTTTTGCTAGAAAAAAATAAATAAAAACAATTCCATTCCAATGATTTGCAGCTTACCGCCATGCATTGTGTTAGGGCAGGTTATTCATGTGAATAGGCTGCCAACAAACTACAACAAGCCTAAAATTGCACCTGCACCATTTTTGCTAATGTAGTGCACCACAATGCACTTTAGCATATTATCATGTGCTGCACCACAGATGCGTTGCTTTAGTATTTTGGGATTACCATTCAATATACAGTAAATGGCACGACAATGCTCAGCACATGCGTGAAGCCGATTTAAAACCTTCCACTTTATAGTGCTTAACCCTTGCTTGTTATGATTTTTAGTTGATTTTTATTTTTAACCTGAAAATGCCTTTAAAACTATTATTTTTTCCCCCAAGAGTAGAAAGGTTTTTCCTGCTCATCCAACTCCAGTGTTTTATGTTGCCATAGATCCACATGCTTTGTGGATCCACATGCTTTATCACGTATCCATACACAGGCTTGTAGTGTTGAGGAAAAGAGGAGGCCATGTCTGAGGACGTTTGTTAAATTATTGACTACCACAGTCCTTATTGAACTATGCAGTCATATTTCAACACACTGCACAACCACTGCAACAGGAAAGGCTTTTAAAATGGAGATTGTTAGCCCACTGTCTAACTACTTATTTCTGTCACTTCAATTGGGCTTTACCTTACCATTCTCCAATGTCCTTGCTTCCTTTCTTATATTTTCTCAGATGATTAAATCACTGCTTTCTACTAGAGATAAAATTTTGCCAAAATACATTCTGCAATAGAATTACCATCAGTTCTTCCTCCAGCTCTGCATTCCTAGCTACAGCAGCTGAGCAAGCCTGAGACCTTTCTTCCAACTGTTTTTGCAGAGAGGCATTCTTCTGTGATTTCTTTGCTATCTGCAAAACATATTTTAAGAGATAATTATATCACTAAAACAAATAATAATGCAAATTTATAAACATACATGATTCATATATTGCATGGAAAATGCATGTATACTATTTATGTGTGTACTTAAATTTGTATAAAGCAAGAAACAAGGAAATTCATTGGACGCCTAAAAGAGCAGTACCCCAAGAATGGCAATTAATGTATTCCATCCAAACAAAATGCATACAAAATCGTAACCTCCAGCAGTAGGTATAAATGTTATAGGTAAAGTAAGTCTAAGTCCTAAAATAAAGGAAAGGATAGCCCACATTATTCAACACAGAGACACTTTTAGATGAATTCCTTTATAATGTAGCTTAAGAATCACCATTGAACTACTGTAACTGTACCTTTTTTTTTTTATACAATGCTTTGGGTGAGGGTCATCCATAAAAACACAGAAGAGCAAAAGAAGATCATGCTAAGTTATCTTTCTGGCAGCCTTTATCTTTAAACTCTGGTGCTTTGCTGCTCCCCTGCCACTGCAGGTATTCTATGCATCTGGCGAATACATGTGCTTGCGAATACCTTTTATTATTATTATACAGGATTTATATAGCGCCAACAGTTTGCTCAGCACTTTACAATATAAACGGGAGACAATACAGCAAAAATACAGTTCAATATAAGAGGGAGAGGAGGGCCCTGCTCCTTGGAGCTTACAATCTAGGAGGTAGGGGCTAGTGGTACAAAAAGGTAGTAACTGTGGGGGATGGACTGGTTGGAAGAGTAGAAGATTCCATTATTAGCTGAGGGCAGGATAGGATTCTCTGAAGAGATAGGTTTTCAGAGATCGCCTAAAAGTGAGCAGAGTAGGCGATAGTCTGATAAATTGGGGTAGAGAGTTCCAGAGGATGGGGGAAGCTCTGGAGAAGTCCTGGAGACGAGCATGTGAGGAGGAGACAAGGGAGCTAGAGAGTAGGAGGTCTTGCGAGGAGCGGAGAGTACGGTTTGGGTGATATTTAGAGACAAGATCGGTGCTGTAATTTGGGGCAGAGTTATAAATGTCTTTATACGTTATTGTTAATGACTTGAATTTTATCCGTTGGGCAACGGGAAGCCAGTAGAGGGATTGGCAGAGAGGGGTGGCAGATACAGAACGGTTAGTAAGGTGGATGAGTCTGGCAGCAGCATTCATGATAGACTGAAGAGGGGATAGCCTGCAATTAGGTAGGCCAATGAGGAGGGAGTTACAATAGTCAAGGCGAGATATAACAAGGGAGTGAATAAGTTGCTTATTGGTTTCCGAGGTTAGGAACGGGCGCATCTTGGAGATGTTGTGGAGGTGAAGTCTACAAGATTCGGACAGTGAATGGATTTGGGACTGAAAGGACAGATGGGAGTCTAGGATTACACCTAGTACCCTGGCATGAGGGGAGGGACTGACGATTGTGTTATTGATCTTGATAGAGAAGTCAGGGGAGGGGGCATGGGCTGGGGGGAATACGAAGAGCTCAGTTTTGGAAAGATTGAGTTTGAGGAAGTGGAGTGACATCCATGCCGATATGTCACTTAGTAGGTTAATAATGCGAGAGGAGACTGAAGAGGTGAGGTGAGGGGTAGAAAGATAGGTTTGTGTGTCATCAGCATAGAGATGGTACTTAAAGCCATGGGAGTTTTTATCAAGTGACCAAGGGAGGAGGTGTAGATGGAGAAGAGAAGGGGTCTAAGGGCAGAACCTTGGGGGACCCCTACAGAAAAAGGGAGTGAAGAGGAGGAGGCAGCGTTACGCTGAAGGAGCGCTGTGATAGGTAGGAGGAGAACCAGGAGAGAGCAGAGTCTCTGAGGCCAAGAGAGTGGAGTTTTTTTGAGGAGGAGGGGATGGTCAACCATAATAAAAGCAGCAGAGAGGTCAAGTAGTAAGAGTATGGAGTAGTGGCCATTGGTTTTAGAGGTTAGTAGATCATTAGTGAGTTTTTAGTAGGGCAGTTGCAGTGGAGTGTAGTGAGTGAAAGCCAGACTGTAGAAGGTCAAGAAGGTTGTTGTCAGTGAGGTAGGAGCTCAGGCGATTGTAGACTAAGCGTTCTAGGAGTTTAGAGGTAAATGGCAGCAGGGAGATTGGTCTTAAGTTGTTCAGGTTGGTGGGGTCCAGGGATGGCTTTTTAAGTATGGGAGTGATGTGCGCATGCTTTAGAGGGGAGGGGAAGGCACCAGTAGACAGGGAAAGATTGAAGATGTGAATGAGGGAGCATAGGATGGAAGAAGAGGGTGACCGTAGTAGTTGTGAGGGGACAGGATCCAGGGGGCAGGTAGTGAGACGGGCTTCTGAGAAAACCTTAGTGACCTCTTCGGTAGTAGCAAGGTCAAAAGAGGAAAGTGTTGAGGGAGGTTTAATATAAGGTATGCTATGTGGGATGGATGTCTGTGCAGTGGCAATGCCCCTACGAATTGCGTCAATCTTGTTTTTGAAATGATTTACAATCTCATGAGCAGTGAGGTACTGGTTGGAGGTGGAGGTGGAGAAAGTAGAGTTAAAAGTAGAGAAGAGACGGCGAGGACTGGATGGCAAGCTATTAATAAGAGTGACAAAGTAGGCTTGTTTGGCAGCATGAAGAGAGGAATTGTATGTTAAGAAAGCAGATTTATATAGGGTGAATGCTTGTTGAGATTTGGTTTTACGCCACAATCGCTCCAGCGCACAAACTATGTCATTTAAGATTTCTGGTGTCGTCAGTGTGCCAAGGTTTTAATGGTCGGGGCCTAATGTTTCATGTTGTTAGAGGAGCAAGTGAGTCTAATGTGGATGAAAGCAAACTGTTGTAGACAGTAGTGGCCAGGTCAGGGCAGGACAGGGGAGAGATTCTGTCGTAGAGTTGGTCAGTTGCAGAGTGGAAAGGAGCAGGGTTCAAGTTGAGAAGGTTTCTGCGGGTAATTGTTTGCTGCTTGGAGGGATAGGTGTTTGAAGACGAGGACACTGTGATGAGATTGTGATCAGAGAGAGGAAAGGGGGTGTTTGTAAGGTTGTAGGGAGTGCAAAGACGGGAGAAAACAAGATCTAATGTATTCCCATCAGAGTGAGTGGAGGACTGTATACATTGTGCTAATGCAAAAGATTAGGTTATATTGAAGTGTTGGGATGTAGCTGGGTTGTTGACATTAATAGGGATGTTAAAATCTGAGAATGATAGTGGGTAGTTCAAGGGGAGAGAAAGTAGGGTATCAAGAAAGCGGGACACCGGTCCAGGAGGCCGATAGATCACTGCAATCCTCAGAGAAATGGGAGAAAACAGCCGGATGCAGTGAGTCTCGAAAGAAGAGAAGGATAGAGAGGGAGGGTTAGGGAGGACTTGAAAGGTGCTCAGTGGGGATAGAAGCAAACCAACTCCAACACCTTTCCGACCACAGGGTCTGGGTGAGTGGGTCCAGACAAGGCCTCCATAGGAAAGTGCTGCAGGAGAAGAAGAATCTGCTGCTTGAAGCCAGGTTTCTGTAATTGCTAGTAGGTTAAGAGAGTGGGAGACAAAAAGGTCATGGACAGAGGTGAGCTTATTACAGACAGAGCAGGCATTCCAGAGCGCACATGAAAAAGGGAGGGTGGTTTTTGGGAGCACAGGGACTGATATTAAATTGAGGGGATTGCGGCTATTCCCGAAACAAAGAGGATGCCTGGTGTGCGGGTGAAATAGCGGAGGACCAGGGTTTGGGGGAGATATTCCCTTAGGTTAGGAGAAGGGTGAGGAAAGTAAGATGGGAGCGGGATATACACGAGTGTACATGCCTTCCAGGCCTGGTGTTTGGGTCAGCAGGAGAGTAAAATAGCAGCAGGAGGTGATGAGAGCAGTAGTAGGGAGATGGTAGCAGTGGGGGTGAGATGTACAAGTTTTGGAGTGGAGCAGAGGGGTAAAGAAGTGAGATTTTGGGAACGCAGGATAGTAATATGAAAAGGAGGAGTAGAGGGGACTTATTAAAAAGGTACACGAAGTGGGACTCAGACTTGTAAGAGATGTTTCCCAGGGTGTTTGCTTGCAGTCTATCCAGTAGAGTTTCTTGCTGTTGTTGTATCTTCCTGCTGCTTGAGTTATCCTGCTTTAGTTAAACTGATGTGTTCAACTGCTTCTTAGCACTCTATCAAAAACAGCACTTACACAAAAGTAGCACCCCATCTGTGACTATGCCCCCGATCTGTGACCACCCACCATGAGCTGATCTAAATTTATAGGGAGATGGTCAAATGAGCACTCTTCCCTGCCCTAATTAGGAACTGAGAAGGATCACATGAATAGGGGGGGGATGTTTCTCAAACACAGACCAGACACAGGCCACAGTCATAAAAAGAGTGCAACAAGGGGTGAGAACTAATCAACATAGACAAAAATATATATACACTATTTGTTCTGAAATTAACAGGAGTCCATGCGTTGTTGCAGTTTAGAGTGGAGAGAGCAGATAGCAGCAATTTACCTGCTCTTCCACTGCATTTTCTCTGGCTAGCTCATATGTTTCTATAGGATGTAAGAGCCAGTGGGAGGAACCAAAGAATGCGAATGGGTGGAGCAGGCATTCAACCCTCCTTGAAGTGTGGAGAAACGTCAGTGGTCCGGAAACAGCAAAAGCACCATTGTTTGTAGCTGCAGGAAATCTGAAAGACCCATGATTGAAGACAGAAGGCTGAGCCTCCTGATGCAGACTAGCATGTACCGCATCAACAAGAGTCGAAGTGGTCTCTTGCAATTCTCTTAGACAACAATCCCATCCCATCCCATCCCAAAAGATGGTGGCCCAACTTCTTCTAAGGCTTCAAGGAGATCAGAAGTCGACTTTGCAGAGGAAAGCGCAGGAGCACGCTTGGAGCTTCCGTGGTAAGCCCCAGCAAGGAACTAGGTGAAATTGGGCACAAAGTCTTATATGATTTCATAGAAGTCCCTGAGGATAAGGCAGGGGACTGGTCTTTACCAAGTAGAGCTAAGGAGGGCTCCAGTGAAGTAGAAGTAGTAGTAGGGTAACCGGATTCCAGTTTACAAAATGTCAGCGCTTTGAGGGAGTGTGAGATGGGGACACCCGTTGCAGCGGGACTGTCCCCTCTGTATTTATATACAGAAATGTTGCAACTGAACGCAGGGTAAAAGGCAAGGTCTCAGATACTCATTAAACCCACACAGTGGCTCTTGGCAAAGAAGGAGCAGCAGCAGCCAGCAGGATGAAGCTTCCTCTATATTGAAGAGCAGGAAGGAGAGCAAAGTATGCACGTGTGACACTCCACCCAGCAGACCCGGTTCAGTCCCTAAGTGTTAACCACTTCTGTGGCAAAACGACAGAGCGGGTAGCTCAAAAGATGTCCAGCAGTGCAAATAAAGAAGTAGCTCCCAGCACTAAGCCTGATTGGTCTTGAGAGACAGGGCAAGCAGAGAGGCAATGCCAATGGTTCTGAAACTGGAAAGTAATCCTTAGCTAACTTGTTACCAGAGCAGGGTCTGGACAGCATCTTACATGGAACACAGTGCCTGAAGGTCACTTCCAGGATAGTCCCATGAGTCCAGTACAGAGGGGACCTGGGTATGGCATTTTAAAACTAGGCTGATGAAAGGCTGATATGGATTGCTGTAATTTTAGAATCCAGCTCAAGCAGCGAGGTAGCAAGGAACCTCGATTAAAGAAACAAAATGAAATGAGAAATAAAAAAGGGCTAGTATAAAAATGATTTGACTTTTCCCATATTTTTTGCCAATCCTCATGTAGTCAGCAGTATACTCTGAGATGAACCACCTTATCTTATTTATATGTATATAGTATAATTGTAAAATCATAAACCATCTTATTTATATGTATATAGTAAAATTGTAAAACATATAATTCTTTCAACATTGTTTTTTTTCAATTATTTCTAGCCTACTCCTATTATTATGAATCATCTTGAAGTTTGTAAACTTACTTTGTGAAGATCCCACACTTTTACTTGAGTTCTCCAACTCGTATTCACTATATCCTGTGAGTAGGCACTGCTGTGTCACAAATTTCACAGAGTCTGCCTTCTGAACTACAGCGGTGATGAGAGGAGGAGTTTCAAGAGGTGGAGTCAGTACAGGAATCACTGCTTTCAGGCAGCAAGGAACATGGGAGTCCCTAAAGTAAACAGCAGAGGAGTTGCTGCAAAGCATGCAGGGAATCCAGGAAGTTGTGGAAAGAGATGGCCATGGCACGCAAAACATCAAAGGAGATTTTTCAATCAAGCTAATTTGGGATTGTCAAAAACTATTGTTGGTATTGCTATTATAAAGTTATAAAATTAAAGTGTATGCGGTGGTCAAATATTTGTTTTACAGTTTTTTACATATATAATGTAGCAAAAAATGGAAATATATGAGATAGTTTAAAACTTGCAAAACCAACCACAAAAGGAATAAATAAAAAAAAGACTGTGACATTTACACTTTTAACATCTCAATCTTTGCGTTCAGAATGCACTTCTGCATGAGTGTTATAAGCCTTTTTGTTTTTTTTACTGAGCTGTATTTATAAGCAATTGCGGTGCATTCATTTATGTGCAAAAAAATGCAGCAAGATGTACATTTTAAGCACACATGAAAGTACCGTAAGGGTGTGAAACAGACTCATTAAAATACATTCATTGTTCTTGTATACAGCATGTATTTCCAATACCTTTAAAATGCATTCAGCTGCATTTGTTGTAAACAATAAATATTTCAAAACTATTTCAACAATAGCTTAGTAAACTGAAAATCTTGCATAGAATGAACACTCACTTCCTGTTCTAGCTTTGTTGACTTTGATGCTTTCTCCAGCAGCTCTTCCTGTATGAGTTGAAACTGACTAGTTCTCTGAGCCATCGAAAGTTTTGTATTGGTGATTTCAGTTTGGGATTTACCAAGCTTCCTCTGCAACTCTTTCACATTTTCTGCCAGTTTCACCTTCTCCATCTGTAACTGTTCTATAGCGGTCTCGAACTGCAGATATTTTTCTGCTTCTGTCAAAACAGAAAAATTAAGTTAAAAAGAATTGATAAAACAAAAAAAAACCAAAAAAAAAAAAACAAAAAAAAAAAAACACTGCAATAAAAACCTATTTTTTATTTTTCACTATAAAAAAGGAAACAAAAATAGCAAAAATTTTGAAAAATAAAATCTGTTTCCTTTACTGCATGTTAAAATAAAAATGCCAGGACAGTCTGAAACCCCCTGATTTTCCTTTTTGGAAAGTAGACACCCCAAACTGATCTCATTTATTGACACTACGTTTTGGAACTAAACAAACATGCTGGTATTGAGTGGGTTAAACATTGAGCTTGGTAAATGTGCATTAGATACAAAAATGTACAGTCCATACATGGAGGAAGGAGGATGTGAACGGGTTACTGTACAGGTAACATGCAGTGGCAGGATGAAGATGAAAGGGTTAAGGTTCAGAAGGCCATGATAAGGAAGGTGAAAGAGTTAATATACAGGTCACAAAGACTCAGCATGAAGATAGGATCTGCAGGAGAAGGGGGGAGGCATGAAAAGCTTAAAAAAGATCCCCATGTCACTGCAACAGAATGAATGAATCTGCAGCTGCTGATCCCATCATTCTTTCCCCATTCACAAATACTCAATCTCTATTTCCCCTGTTATAAGGGGAAGGGGTGGGATCAGCACTGTACACAATACCATGTGATCACTGTGATAACATATCACAGATCACATGGCACCCAGCCATATGGATTGGCTCTGTACAGTGTCTCAGTTTACCGGGCCATCTAATCTACACAGCTATTACCGGCAGATCAGCTACTGATGGCTATTTATCCAGTGCCATCTTTAAACAGCACTGGGTAAATATAGGGTTGCTGATCAAGTATGCACTCAGGTAAAACAGGGGTTAAATTGTTGGTGCGGTATAAAATGTTTGTAATAAAGAATAACATTCTCTCTCATTTACCTGAACAAGATCATCTATTCTGCCTTCTCACTCTTTCCACCTACCATAGTCATCTACTCTGTGCCTTCTCTGTCATTCCCTTGTACAAGATCATCTACTATCTGTCTTCTTTCTGATACTCCCCCCAGTACTTGGCCAACTTGTACTTTGGCTCTTAGTTTAGTCTCTTAAAAAAAAAAAAACAAAACAAAACATGCAAACCACCATCTTCAAGGCTTTTTGAACAATCATAGAATAAAGATAATAAATTACAAGTGTTGCATATTACAGAGTAAATATATATCCTGACAGAACTGCTTACAGCGAGTTATAGTACTCTATCATTTTTTAACTAGGTACAAACATTACCAATTTGCTGTAAGGGCAACTTTACAGGTTCGGCATCCAGTGGGAAACAGGTATTTACATTCACAAGTTTGGCTTGTAATTCTTGATTTTCTGCTTCTTTAAGTGACAACTGTGCCCTGAAGGAAGGGTAAAAGACACATGTTTAATCTCAAGTCGGTGTATTAAAAGAAAATATATTATTCTTCACAAGGCTGTACCTCAGATCCATGATGAGCATACTGCTGTCACTGGAATAGGGTTTGTTTACATCGCTTGGCACATTTGTCTGGCCATTCTACCAATTACAAAAGCATAAAAGAATTTTAACAGAGAAGCATTTCTAGAAACAAGGAAATGAGTGCTTTGTAGAAGGATTCACGGTGCAAACTTTAAAACGGCACAAAGAGCAGTTTCTGTTACCAATGCAACCGACTGAGGAAAAACCCCCATCTCCAATGAAGAGTTGACTTTATGAATTTCTGACACTTCAGTTTGGCCACATGGCCATAAATGAATGATTTGCATGATTCTGCCAACTACCCTATAATCTGAACTAAACCCCTCATTTTATGTAACTGTAATGAAAGTAAGCCATGCAAACACCTTCAGTTTTAAAAAAGCTATATTGTGTATCCAACTAATTACGTTTGTTTCTTTTAGCTTGCATTACTAGGACAAGTCTGGTTGTTCCAGTCTACATTCATAATGTACATGAAAAAATAAAGCACCCTGTAAAAAGTACAATAGTACATAATTAAATTTTTGCTCTCTTGCAGAGCTATGCACTGTGAGCTGCAGTCTTCAGTATACAACTCTTCTGGGTGTGTCAGATGCCTGGATTTCCTCATGGCTTGCTGTCAGTTCCATGTACTGGCCACAATGTCACTAGCGTGTCCTTTCAGAGCTGCAGCCAAAGGGTGGACTAACTGCATGCACAAGCATCCAACACACCCAGAGATTAGATCTTCCAACCACTATTTCACGTCTATGTCCACATTTAGTGTTACAAAAAGCAACGCACCTTTGATTGCGACGACGGCCTGACATTGCTAGACTCGGAACCTGAATGTCTCATTCCATTTAGGTCTTCAAGTGTTGCAAGACGCTCTTTTAACTCTTTATTCTCTTGAAGAAGACTTGTGTTTTCCTTTAACACTTTCTCTTTATTTTCAAGTTCACTCTCGAGTCTTAGAACCCTCTGATTACACTGGGTCAGAAGTGAAATAAGCTCTGTGTTACTTGCTGCTGCACATTTCTCTTTCTCCCCTTCATCAGTCTTTTCAGACAGCAAACTCCTATCAAATGAGAGAAGCAGAATTAAATGTGAACAAATCCAAATTTTTCAGAAGTTTGAGACTGAACTCAAGGCAGAGGTATAAAGTCCATTTATTGTGGGAAGTTATAAAAAAGAAAAAAGGAAAAAAAAGTTTAAATAAAAATAATATCTGAATTTGTCTTGATATTAGCCTCCTGTAATAACACGTACAGCACTATACAGTTTGGAAAGAAGGGTGGGCAGCTATAGAAGCTAATCAAGCTCTTTTGCAATGCAGTGTGAGCTAAGCAACGATCTTAGCAGTGTCCTGCTGCTTCTTCACTGTCCATCAGCAGCTTGGCAGTGGTCTTGGCCAAGCTGTACTGTTGCTGCTGCACAGGAGCTTAGTTATATGGCTATACTTAGATGGGGTGCATGGATCACAAGACTTGTTGCAAAGAATTACAAATCCTTTGACTGGTAAACCATTCCCATACATAAATTTCTACTGTATATGTAGTTACTTTCTGGAGTTTGGGTTTAAATAAAGATATATTAGCAACTATACAGTTAAGTATTCCAAAATTACATATATTAAACAAAAAAAAAATTCATAATAAACTTGACAGCTACGTACATTATTCTTAGCACAAACAGAAAATCCTAACAAAAGCAAGAAAAGTTGTCACTACATCTAGTCTATTAAGATAAACATCTCAAGTTAATGTACTCATATAAGAGAATAATACAAAATATAGTAAGGGCTCTCAATAATTATAGCAGCTGAACATTAAAGGAAAACGCATAAAAAGTCCCAAAATTCATATATAAACAAAATGCAGCGCTGTTAAAAGATCATAAGAAATAATGATAAAACACAGTCCAATAAAAAGGTGCTCCTTGATTCCCAGTGCAAATGGTAGAAATACGCACTAACCAGAAAGCGTATAAGTAATACGCATGTGAATATATATCCTGAAGATTCCCCTCTCCTTTCTGGTCTGGTCATGGAAATAGCTGGGAAGATGGAGATCCTACGCCCTCATGTGGTGAAAGAATGGTCCAGCAGGTCAGAGAAGAATCAATCTAGATAAGCCTCCCCCTTCTCAGGAGCTGAACACAGGGATCACTTAGGGCTGTAAGGGTTGAAGAAGCTCCAATTTGCTGATGATCTTCAGGAAAACAAAAAAAGTCCCAAAATTCATATAGACATCCGCTGAACAGCCTCATGATGTCTAATGGCAGGAGCACGTGTCCTGAAGATCATCAGCAAAGGAGCTTCTTCAACCCTTACAGCCCTAAGTGATCCCTGTGTCAGCTCCTGAGAAGGGGGAGGCTTATCTAGATTGATTCTTCTCTGACCTGCTGGACCATTCTTTCACCACATGAGGGCGTAGGATCTCCATCTTTCCCAGATATTTCCATGACCAGACCAGAAAGGAGAGGGGAATCTTCAGGATATATATTCACATGCGTATTACTTATACGCTTTCTGGTTAGTGCGTATTTCTACCATTTGCACTGGGAATCAAGGAGCACCTTTTTATTGGACTGTGTTTTATCATTATTTCTTATGATCTTTTAACAGCGCTGCATTTTGTTTATAAATGTACTCATATAGGCAAATGTTAGGCTGCATTTGTTTACACATAATTTTTCTGTTAAGCAGAAAAAAAAGACCTTCTACTTTTTATTTTTTCATGAAAATTATTTATCTGCATTCCAGACACATGCAGCTACTCCCCTTCTCTGGATTTAATATCAGCCAAGGTCCTGCTCAGTGTTCGGAAAGCTTCACGCAATCTGCAAGTACTGTCAATACAGATTGCATGAGACTTCCCTGGCCACTGCCAGGACCTTGGTTGATATCAGAGCTAGGAATAGTAAGTAGCTGCTTATGTACTGCATGCAGAGTGAAAACTACCAGAGGTGGAAAAAAAACAAAAGGTTGACAGCGCAAAGCATGTGTAAACATATGCAGTAAAACAAATTCTTATACAAGTACATTGAAATAAAGAGGGTTAATTTAATAGGCATGACAGGGCGACAGTCTTTTAAAATGTACATTCACATCTTCATGCACAGGTAATGTATTCTGTACTTTAATGTACCTTAAATGTTTCCTTGCATCTTCAAGTTCACTTTCCAATTTTTTACATTTTTCCCAGGATTCCGTTCGTTCTCTTTCACAGTCTTGGAGCGCCTGGCTTCTTTGCTTCTCCTCTTTTTGAATCTGTTAAAACAAGTATGACTGACTTTTTTTAAAACACTCAACTGAGCTGGATAGAACTGTTTCCTGAAGAAGACTATTGCACATTTTCACAGCTCTTTAAGTGAAGAAGCCTTTTCATATGTGGAGGTTAAACCTTTTTCCTCCAGATGCCACTTCTTTCTTTGAAGGACTACAACTTAAACAACTTTGCACCAACTTCACTATGAATAATTTAAGTATTTATGCAAGGTGACAATACCCCCTTAAATGCTTCTTCTCAAGAGGGAATACATTCAGTTCAGCTAATCTTTCCCCATAGCGGAGGTCCTCCATGTCTCTTATTAGTTTGGTTCCCCTTGACTGCACTCTATCAAGTTTTACAACATCCATTTTGTGAACTGGTACCCAAAACTGAGCTGTATATTCAAGATGAGGTCTTACTAATGCTTTTTGGGGGGCAGGGGAAGACTATGTCTCTCTGTCTGTAGTCTAAATCTCTTTTAAAGCCTAATTCCACTTTTGATGTCCAAACTGGCCCAAACAAAGTATTTACAGCTGAGCAGGCTGTATTAATTGCATGTAGCCTTAGTTACATACAGTATACAACAGTGTTGTGGCAGTAGGATAAGAGCTGCCGACTCTATTTTGTTCTGTTCCACTCCTGGAACAAAATAAGAGTCGAGCCGAGTGCTGCTCATTCATTCATAGAAAGCTTTGTTTTCTATGAATGGATACAAAAATTCCTCTAACTGGCTGAGGCAAAGTTTGTGATGTCATCAGCCAGCCTTTCCACCTCAGCCAATCAGAGGAAGCTTTGTATTCATACATCCACACTGCCTAATGAGGATAGGGAAACCTGTGGACAGGGCCAAGGATAAGAGGGCACCACCAGTCCTCCTGTATGGGGCCCAGGCCAGCAGGGGGGCCCAGGTAGCTGGGTGAATCGGATGTGGGCAGGGAGAGTGATCAGCATGGCAGGGGTGGCAGTTACTGGAATAGGATCCTTCAGAATGGAGAGTGGGGGAAGGGACCAGTAAATATGTCATGTTTACTAGCTCCCTCCTTTCTTGAATGAACACAATGAGTGATCGCTACTAATCACTCACTGTGTATAGTAAACTTTGGGGTTTTTTTTTGGGGGGGGGGGGCTCTGTCAAATTGGCTGTATGGGGCCTTGTGGTTTCTAACAGCAGCCCTGCCTATGGATTTGCATGTTTACATCTATGGCCAGCTTTACAGCTGTGCAATAATTACAGTATAAATAACAAATTACTATGAATTTTCTCTAGAAGGTATTACTGTACTAAGAGTGGATAAATTGACAGCCTCCCAGTAGTCTTTTTTTATGACAGGGAAGGAATGTCCTTCCCTCTTTTCTTTCCCAATATATTTTTCTTTCCCAATATCTGGAAGTCATACAAGGAAATTAAACTTTCAATTCTCCATACCACAGATTCTTCCGAAGAACCATTTGGGAAAAAAAAATTCCTAAAGGGAATTTATAGTGGTTTTGTACTTTACTGTGGTTGGGGCTAAAAATATAGAACTTATTAGGTAAGCATTGTATATCAATATTTTGCCATTTTCTATCCAGCCAGCAGATGGAGTTCTAGTCTTTTATAAAAAAAGATTCAGACTATTTTGAATGGATTTCCCTTATTAGGTATCTAGTGTGTTACCCTGAGAAGGGCCACATGAAAACTTGCAGGCTTTAAGCCAATAGAGATTTGTTTGAAAGGCAGACCACACACTGTCTACACTAGTTATCGTGTACTAGTGTGACACACAGCGAGTCCAATTGTTTTCAGCTTCATTGACTTAGAACTAGCATGATTTAAAAACACAACTTGTCCTACTCCCACTTTTCGATTTTCTTTTTCCTTCTCTCATTCTACATTTTCTTTTTAATTTTGGTGGTTGTTGAGTTCATTGTTGATATATCATCCCGTGATGGGCCTTTCTGTACTGTCAGAATGTTATTGCTGTACCCTTCCTTATGTTGGTCACAGTGGAATGTGCCTAAATGTCCTCATTGACAGAAATATATTTTTGTTTTCCTCCTGTGTATTTCTGGGAGGTGTTTGTATTGTATTTTATTAATATCGGAAAATAAAACAATGGGGGGGGGGGGGTGAGAGACCACAGAATAGCCATCCAAATTTGTTAGGTTACAACACATACTCGATAGTGTGACTGAAGATTGTTTACAGTATTATAAACAAGGTAAATACCATTTTCTGTTCATACATGCAATTTCCATTCTCTAAAACATGCTTTGTGTTCATATGTTGCAGCATGTATCAGAAGGATTTCAAGCCATTCTAAAAAATCCCCAAACATCCTCTGGCTGAGCAACGTTGGGTGAAGAACTGATCATTTATTTAGATTTTCTACAGGAAATCACTACTGCACTGATAAGGTCATTTTCTTTCATTAACCATCAACTATTGTTGCTGAACAAATGTATGGATTTTTTACAGAAAAAAAAAAAAAAAACACACATTAATTGCACTTCCACTAATTTTTAGAGCTCAGTATATAATGTATCTATGGTTTGCAATGTCTACTGTATTCACTACTTCATAGTGGTGTATATATACAAGAAAAACAAACAAAAAAAAATAAAATAGAAGAAATTAAAAGATTACACCCCTCCAGGCAAATTGTAGAACTCCGATTAGCAATACTTGCATCTAAACTGGCAATAAGACATGCAATAATACTTTTTATAGGGTCTCCATGTGTACAGCTTCTGCACATTTGTCTAAAAGGTGCAAAAACAACCAAGAGCTGTGTGATCATTCCTCCTTCTCATCAGAATATCATATGCTGGCAGCAGCTGGATATGGGCAGAGACAAACTGGCTTCTACAGACACCTGGTGATCCTAAGGCTAGGTTCACACCTATGCATTTTGCATTTGATCTGTTTCTGTATTGCGTTTTGCAGTGCGTTTTTTTTGCCGTTTTTTTTGGCGCAGTTTGGATGCATTTCGAGTTTGGTTTTTTTTTTGTTGCTAGGCAGATTTAAATGCATCAAAAATGCAGCAAAAAACGCATTACATGCTTTTCTGAAGTGTTTCCATTGAAGTCTATACAACCAAAAACGCAACTTTTTGCATTTAAAAAAGTCCCTGACCCTTTCCAAAAAACACACCCCGGTGAAAACGCAGAGATGTGAACCTGTCCCATAGGAAATCATGTTAAATGAACTGTAGTGCATTTCTGCACAAATCTGCAGAAAATGCTTAGGTGTGAACCTAGGGTAAATTAAGACTTTCTTCAGTAAATAAATGTGGGTGTCTGGAGATAATATATATGTAGATAATAAAAATTGGATATAAGCAGGCCTACATTAATTCATTGATAGAACATTGTTTAAAAAAAAAAAAAAACCCTGACCTCCATAGGATTTGGTCCTGAGATCTCTGTAAAGGAGGGGTTAAAATTTAAAAAAAGAGCACATGGCCAAAGGTCTAGGATTTTGTTCAAATAACCAAGAGGGAGATTGGAGGTGTATTTTCATTGAGAAAGGTATTTAGGAGTTAAACATTAGACGTATTTATTTTAGGTGTCAAGATGGTCAAACATATTTCAATCTGATTTTGCAATCTATGTATAATCTTTTTTTTGAGTCTACCAAATATCCAAATGTAGGCCAACCAAAGCAATCCATTCAATTTGTATCTCCAGGCAGGGCCTTGTATGCCATGGTTTTTGGCAGATGTAAAGGAGATTGTACAAAGAAATTACAGTATGGGAGTGGCTGCTAAATGTTAAGGGATTGCTTTAGGAGTAAGTGCTCATGTCATGCTTTAGGGGAAAGCTGAGCTGGTGAACCTTGTGCTGAAAACTATCATTGCCAGGCTCCCAACAATGAAAATAAATGTATTTAATTTTTTTCAGCCGTTTTGCCATATTTGCCCTCCAGAGGATTTACCCCCCTTCCTGACGAGGCCATTTTTTGCAATATGGTCCTGCGTTACTTTAACTGACAATTGCGCGGTCATTCAATGCTGTACATAAATTAAATTTATATCCTTTTTTCCCCCCACAAATAGAGCTTTCTTTTAGTGGTACTTGATCACCTCTGCGGTTTTTTATTTTTTGCACTATAGAAACAAACACAAAAAAAAAAAAAGCGGCAATTTTGAAAAAAAAAATTAAAAAAAAAAAACAGTATTTTTGACTTTTTGCTATAAAATATATCCAATAAAAAATTTTAAAATATCAAATTTCTTCATAAATTTAGGCCAAAATGTATTCTGCTACATGTCTTTGCTAAAAAAAAATCCCAATACTTGTAAATTAATTGGTTTACATGAAAGATATAGCAGCCAAAAATAGCGGTATATATACACCGGAATTTTTTTTTTTTCCAACTAGTAATGGTGGCGATCACGGACTTATAGCAGGACTGCGGTGGGCATTCTGATACTGGGTGGGAACTGACTAAATGCCACTGATATCCCCAGGGATGCTAATGCAGTGATCAGTGCTAATAAAAAGCACTAACACTGTACTAATGACACTGGGCAGGAAGGTGTTAACTTTTGGGAGATCAAAGGGTTAACTGTGTGCTGTGTATGTTTTACTGTGTGCTGTGTTTTCCTAGAGAGGCATGCGGTTTTGTATCTCTCTGCTGTGTAGAGAGATACAAAAACAGCATGTCCATGCTGAGAGGGGAAGAGACCTGTGTTGTTTACACACAGGTCTCTCCCCTACCAGCTTTACCCGGTGATCACCGAGTGCCAGCCGGGACCCGGTGATTGACATCCCTAGCCACCAACAGGGGCGCGGGTAGGGCTCAGCGCATGCCCCCTCCCCGAAAATGCAAATCATGTATATATACACATATGAGATTTTGCACAGCCCTGCAGCAGTACTTCTGCTATAGGGTGGAGGGAAAGCGGTAATATTGAACCCTTCACATAGTATAACCCTGTAGCTAAGCAATAAGCCAAGGGATGTCAATTTATTATCACACATGGACATCTATGAGTATAAAAAAAATTTCTCATCTGCACAGAGTCTGCACATCCCTTTCCCTCTTAATTTATTATTACAGCATAAAGTCAATTATACACTTGCTGCTTTATCCTGTGTGAGGCTGGAGCCAAACGTTGTCAAAGCCTCACCAAAATCCCATATTAGAGGACTGTGCCGCAAGCAAAGTCCGCTCATCGGCCAGCAAAACCCACTTCCAGGTCTCATCAGTTCTACTGCATGTCTCTCATCCAAATCACTTTTTCCACTTGTGTCAGATAAGCTTGGTTCTGTATTAGCAATGTAACAAGGAGCATTCAAGCCGCAATAGATATATAGTAAATGCTGGATCAAGCAATCAAGATACAGAAACAAAGGCTGTGCAACAAGTAGTGGACAAAGCAACCAAGCCACTGTTGTTATGTTGTAAGTATTAAGCATCTAAAGCATTGTTTCTCCACCTTTTTTCAGTCAAGGCACCCTTTAAAATCCTGCACAATCTCAATGCACCCTTTTACAATCTCCACAATCTTGAGGCACCCATTACAAAATTTTAAAAATGAATAGTTTTACAGAACTCAGCAACATCTGCACATGTAGTACACCCAACATAGAGGCGATATATTCTTCCAAAGCAAATATACTTTTGCACACTGGTACTGACAAGTATTCCATTGTTTCTCTTCTCTCTCACTCAGCTAATGTGAACCCAGTGCTGACAGAGAGGGGCAGGGAAGGGGCAAGCAAGGATGCTGTGCAGGTGTCTGATGTCCTTATCAAATGAGTACATCATTGGTTGTTATGTCGCCGGCAGATAGAAAGTTGAAATAGTGCAGAATGAAAACCTGTGGCTTTGTGTAATTAAAAGGCAGGCTTGTATACAATTTTTTGGCCAATCTTTAGGCATTTTGCCAAGGCATCCTGGTTGAAAAAGGCTGATCTAAAAGTAACTTTGCAATAGTTATACAAGTTTCATTCTAGGGTACATGGCCGTGATTGAGATAATTCCAATGTTCACCAGAATTTTCAGCTTTTCAAGGGGTTCTGATGCCAGGAACTTACTTAGTCAGCTAATAAAGGTATCGTTTAGCACCAAGATTTTTCCTGTCAGTAATGGCTAACAAGGTACAGCACTATGCTCGGTATATCTCTGTGATACATCTTCTATGATATCCTTAATGAATAATCCCATTGAGTGAAACATGTTAAAAGGAGTGGACCTGGGGATGGGACCATGTACTAAAGCTTGTTGACTAAACTTAAAGTTTTTCCCGTGAAGACATCACTGGTTTGCGTCTTTTCCTTTGGATCATACTGAGCTATGTGAGAAGGAGTGGCAGACTCAAAGCCAGTACTTGATTCCAGTTTATGATGCAGTGCTTGGAGTGGTGCACTTTTCTTTGACTCTACATATGCTGCAACACTCTGCTATCTCTGTCCCAGAAAGCTTGTGAACATAGATGCAAGTTAACATTTAGCAAGATTATAAGCCTGTTTGTAAGTGTCATAATTAGAGATCTAAACAGCTTTGACTTTTGACAGCAATACTTATATTTAGACCACAATTCTCCGTAAACACATAGGCATTTTGAATCGCGATGATTTCAAAATGTGTTGTTAAAATGTGAAATCGCTGATCAGCGTGTTCAGGTGTCATTCATTTCATTTCAGTGACACCTGAAAACACGAGGCGATTCTGCCACGATTTCTCGCGCTGCAATCGCACAAAACCAGATCATACGACATGCGGCGCCCAAAAGAAGTTCAGGGACTTCTTTTTGGGCAATAGGCGTCGTGCTGCAATCGTGGCAGAATCACCCTGTGATTTCAGGTGCCATTAAAATGAATGGCACCTGAACACGCCAATGAGCAATTCAACATTTTAACAGTGCTTTGAAATCGCAGGCAGAATCACAGCGATTCCGTCTGCGATTCAAAACGCCTATGTGTGAATGGAGTCGAAGAGATTTTTTGTTTTACATCAGTTCAATGAGCATTGTCTTACTCACCTTTTCTATTTTTTCTGCCACATTTTTCTTGTACTGTTGGAATGCTTTGGTTAATTCTTCAGCATTAAACAGTGCTTTGTTTCTCTGTTTCTCAGTTCTTACAAGAAAAAGAAAATGCACTGAGGTTAGCAGTGAAATGTCCTTTAGAAAATAATAACTATTCAAGGCTGGAAATATTTTGCACAGCATAATTTAAAACACAAATGCAAGCATGCATTTCTTACCATCAAAAGAGAAAATCAATATTCAGCAATTGGTTTTCAATCCCTATATATGTTTAAAAAAACTTAGTTTGCTATGGGTTACCCTTCCTCACAATTTGCAAACTGATTTGATGCTGGGGAAAGGATCAGACAGTTTAGGCAAACCCCAGATGGGAGAACCAAAACGTGCCACTTTTGTCTCTTAGCAAAGTTGTAAGTCAGAGAGAACTGAGGCATGTTGCGCTGGAGGATTGATAGATGGCTCCATGCCTATCATGCTCAGGAAAACATCTGCCTATGTATTGCCACCTTAAATTCAGCTGCTTTCAACATCAAAATCTTGGAACCTTTTGTTTACGGCTTAGGGACTGGAAGCTTGTCATAATGTGCCCCAATAGTTTTAGCAAAGACATGTTTAAGTATTTTTCGCTCCATAAGACGCACTTTTTTCCCCCCCAAAAAGGGGGGGGAAAATGTCAGTGCGTCTTAAGGAGCGAATATAAAGCGGCCGGTCCGGCATTTCTGCCGCCACCATGTCAGAATATCGGGCCGGACGCTCAGCTCTTCTGTCCTGCAGGGCCTTACCTGTTCCTCGCTCCAGCGCTGTACAGTCTTCCCGCGCTGGCTTCTGTGACAGCCGGGTGCCCACTGCGCATGTGCGAGAAGCGCTGCACTTTGTGAATGGTCCGGTGTCTTCTGGGACACATGACAGGTCCCAGAAGGCGCTGGGCCATTCACAAAGTGCATCGCTTCTCGCGCATGCGCAGTGGGCACCCAGCTGTCACAGAAGCCGGCGCGGGAAGAAGAGGGAAGGACAACTCCGCAAAAGTGGGAGCGGGTACCTGTCAAATTCAGGTACCCGCTCCAAAGGTCCGCAGTCTATGGTCATCTCCTTTACTATCTGCAGTCTCTGGTCATCTGTACTATGTCCCTGGTATTTTCTCTGTACTGTGTCCGCAGTCTCTGCTCATCCCCTGTACTGTGTCCGCAGTCTCTGCTCATCCCCTGTACTGTGTCCGCAGTCTCTGCTCATCCCCTGTACTGTGTCCGCAGTCTCTGCTCATCCCCTGTACTGTGTCCGCAGTCTCTGCTCATCCCCTGTACTGTGTCCGCAGTCTCTGCTCATCCCCTGTACTGTGTCCGCAGTCTCTGCTCATCCCCTGTACTGTGTCCGCAGTCTCTGCTCATCCCCTGTACTGTGTCCGCAGTCTCTGCTCATCCCCTGTACTGTGTCCGCAGTCTCTGCTCATCCCCTGTACTGTGTCCGCAGTCTCTGCTCATCCCCTGTACTGTGTCCGCAGTCTCTGCTCATCCCCTGTACTGTGTCCGCAGTTTCTGCTCATCCCCTGTACTGTGTCCGCAGTCTCTGCTCATCCCCTGTACTGTGTCCGCAGTCTCTGCTCATCCCCTGTACTGTGTCCGCAGTCTCTGCTCATCTGTGTCCGCAGTCTGCTCATCCCCTGTACTGTGTCCGCAGTCTCTGCTCATCCCCTGTACTGTGTCCGCAGTCTCTGCTCATCCCCTGTACTGTGTCCGCAGTCTCTGCTCATCCCCTGTACTGTGTCCGCAGTCTCTGCTCATCCCCTGTACTGTGTCCGCAGTCTCTGCTCATCCCCTGTACTGTACAGTCTCTGTCATCCCCAGTCTGTGTCCGCAGTCTCTGCTCATCCCCTGTACTGTGTCCGCAGTCTCTGCTCATCCCCTGTACTGTGTCCGCAGTCTCTGCTCATCTCCTGTACTGTGTCCGCAGTCTCTGCTCATCCCCTGTACTGTGTCCGCAGTCTCTGCTCATCTCCTGTACTGTGTCCGCAGTCTCTGCTCATCTCCTGTACTGTGTCCGCAGTCTCTGCTCATCCCCTGTACTGTGTCCGCAGTCTCTGCTCATCCCCTGTACTGTGTCCGCAGTCTCTGCTCATCCCCTGTACTGTGTCCACAGTCTCTGCTCATCCCCTGTACTGTGTCCGCAGTCTCTGCTCATCCCCTGTACTGTGTCCGCAGTCTCTGCTCATCCCCTGTCTGTGTCCGCATCTCTGCTCATCTCCTGTACTGTGTCCGCAGTCATCTCCTGTCTGTGGCAGTCTCTGGTCATCGCCTGTACTGTGTCCACAGTCTCTGGTCATCGCCTGTACTGTGTCCACAGTCTCTGGTCATCGCCTGTACTGTGTCCACAGTCTCTGGTCATCGCCTGTACTGTGTCCACAGTCTCTGGTCATCGCCTGTACTGTGTCTGCAGTCTCTGGTCATTTCCTGTACTAGGTCTGCAGTCCATTGGTTCAGAATATTTTTTTTCTAGTTTTTCGCCTCTAAAACCTAGGTTGCGTCTTAAGGAGTGAAAAAATACGGTAGGTTATTCTGTAGGCCTCAGCTTTAAAGCTGATCTCCACCTTTTAGTGAAGTTTAAAACATTTGTTTGGATCAAGGTGGTCCAAACAAACTATTTACTTTGCTAACAGTTTCAGCGGTTGTGAGTGCTGTGTAAATTGTATGCAGCCTCAGCTGTGTTCTTGCAGAGAGATGGGAACTTCTTGTACTGCTCCCAGAACAAAATCTAATTGGGCTGAGTGCTGCTCAGCCATTCACAGGGAGCTTTGTATACTATGAATGAATACAAAGCTTCCAGTGGTTGGCAGAAACAGAGTGCAGGGAGGATGACGCCACAATCTTTGCCTCATCCAATCAGAGGAAGATGAGAGAACTTCAGCTCCACCAAAATGAGCAGGAAAAGGCAAATGTAGTGCACATAAGTCCTACAATTATATGCGTTTTCTCTAGTTTTATCCAGTGTTCTGAGAATAGCATAGTAAACATTTGTGTTTTACAGGTGTGGGAACTAATGCAAGTACTGGTGTGCTCCTTATACTATCTCAGTTTGTCCTTTTAGCTTTGAAGAGTATGTCTGGGCAAAAAAAAAAAAAAAAAAAACATCACAAATTTCAGAGTACATCTCTGCAATACATGCACATCTCCCCATGTTTTATCACTTTAAAAAGTACAGAAAAATGCCTACGGATCAGGTAGAAATGCTTCTAACTTCCAATCTAAGTTGACAATACAGTTCCACTGCTCCACTAAAAATCCAAAAAAGTGTTGTCAGCCATGCTCACTTTTCCCCTCTGGACTACAAAACCTTCCCCTCTTCACAGAACAAGAAGGAGATGTTCTGTAGGCCACCAAGGCAGAACACAGTGCAGCAGAGGCAGAGTAGTTAACCCACTACAGGGAGTTAGGAGCTCACTGGCAGCAGAAACATGTATATTTCTGTACTTGCAGCATTTGTAGAGATAAAACACGAGGAACACAGTTAAATATTTTTAAAAAAAAAAAATCTGTTTGCAAATAATTTTGAAGAAATCACATACATCACAACATGGATATACAAGAAATGTATTACCAAGGTGGTGCAGATGATACAGGTGACTGCATATTGTAACACAATATTAGAAATCATTGTTTATTTATCCTGTGAGTCAAATAATATTAAAAAGCAGACATAAGGAGATAAGAGTGGGTGGGTAGAAAGGAGGATGGCTGTGTAGCTTAAAGTCCTTACAGTACTTCAGTTCTGTTGGTATGACATGGGTTTAAGGAATTCTAGTTCTATCAACTTGCAGTCAAACTCTAAAACAGAGAAAATTGGTTATCCATGGATACCAGGTTTTCTTGAATTTGGTCATGGAAATTTAACAGTAGTTTTTTTTTGTTTGAAGTCTAGATTAGTTTAAGTATTCAAGACTTCCATGCTGGTGCAATGGTTTGTTTTGTTGTCACCAGAACATGCTGAATAATTATTTTATGCTAAAGCATACACTGGCTTTTTTTTTGCATATGCAGCTCAGTCAGGAAGTGAACATTTTCCTCTTCTGCATGGTCTAATTGTAGGGGGTTCGTACCGGCAGGAAGTTACAATTCCAGCAAGGATCTCTGCAATAAGATCAACTAATAGTGGTTGCTGCCTGATAAAGTAACAAAACAAAAAAAGTAAAGTAACCTTGCAAGCAAAATGACATGACTTGGTGATAAAGTGAAAAAGCTTTAGTATTTCCTGGCTTATGGTAGGCGGTAAAGGGAAGGGCAGACGAGCTAGACCAGAACAGACAGTAATTAAAAATTTCCAGAAGAGGAAAGGGCTATGAAGTGCAAGCAGTGAGGGTATGTGCTAGGGAATCTACTGTTCCTGGTGTGGTCAACCTTTCTAGGAAGTTAAATGGTAGACTGCAAATGAATAAAAAAAAAAAGGAAAAAAAAAAAAAAAAAAAAAAAAAAAACTTTCATGGAAAAGAAAAAACAACATTGCAAGCAAGCATTTAAAATACTTGCTTTTTATTTCATTTTACCAACATTTTTGGTAAGTGACAGGGTCTCTAAAAATTTACAAATTCAGTTAGGTTAAACTGCTCAAATGAACGCACATAACCTGTTTTTCCTAGCATGTGTACTATTGATATATTACCTTTTACATTGAATGCAACACTCATCTAACTCCTTTTTCATAATCTTCAATTCTTCTCTGAAATTCCGCAGAACTTGTTCTTTTTCAGCCATTTTGTGGTGGCTTTCCACTAGTTTCTCTTCTGCAATCCTAAAAAGTGTCATAACAACAATTTATTACACATTGTGTGCATAATGTACACACTGAAACATTTTTAGATTTTATAAAACAACACCTTTGGAAAAATGGATACCAACACTTGGCTTTTTTGGTGCATGCTTGAATCCTAAAACCATACCCATTTCACAGTCAACGTCTGTACTTTTACTCCTGACATAGTTGTATGACCCAAACCTGATCCATTACAGGACCTTTTTTTTTTTTCTTACAAATGACAAATGGCAAGTACATTTTTGCACACGTGGAGAACCATAGACTCTTTGAACAGCTGATCCATGCTGATTACCGATATCTAGGCTTTGCCCTATTTGCAAGTGGCAGGCTGTGGTTTGACAACTGAATTCCCCAGTGAAAACATGAATTTGCAAAACATACGCAGGTGCCCCAGAACTTAAAAAGTGAAGCTTTGCTATCTTATAGAAAACATTTGAAAATAGTTAATTGTGTCTAAGCAATAGTCTTCAACTCCATCTGAAAAACAGCTAACGAAAAACTACTGTGCTGCTCATTGTTCTCTTTGTTGCAGAGGAAGTTGTACATGAGGACTTACAGTACAAAGGATCTACCCGCTTCTGCTGTATTTCAGTGGATCTGTGCTTCCTCCACCTCTGCTTCAGTTTCTTGAAAATCAACCCACCTGCCATTAGATCACCAGTCATCGAAGGAAAGCTCTGATATGAGGAAGCAAAAGCTGGTTCTACCAGATGGCCACATCCACATAGAGGAATATTATGGAACAAGGCATGGCAAGCCAGTAACGGGGAAAGATCAGCTTCATGAAGACCACAGGGAATACCAGTAACCAGTTCTTTACCTTCAGGTCCCTTTTAATACCACACAAGGTACCCACATTTATTTACAATATCACGCTTTTACATATTGGTAATCCCTTCTCATTACTATAATAGCTACTCATTTTATTCTTCTACTTCACTGCATTTCTAGTGATGGGCAATACATTTGGCAGACCCATACTTTTGAAGCTATTAATCTTCTATTGATCCACAATCCTCAGCACATGCTGTATCAACCATATTAAAAATTTACATTCATATTTCCTTCTATTTATTTTATGGACAAAAGCATAAGGCTTTCAGTAATACTTTGTCACCCACACAATAATCAATATTGTTTTAATGTACCAACAGTACCAACCAGGGGCGGACTGACCATTTGGAAACTCGGCACTGCCTGAGGGCCCGGGGTCAGTAGGGGGCCCCATGAGATGCCTCTGGTACCTTTTTTATAGGCTTTTTTGAGTTTGGGCAAGGACACAGGGGCCCCATGATCCCCTATTGCCCTGGGGCCCCATGAGTTGTCAGTCCGCCCCTGGTGCAAACATGTTGTGTCTAGCTCTGTGTGTGAAAATAGGGTTAAGAACAGTATTACCGTAAAACATAGAAAACATTGGGTGATCACCACATCCTTCAAAACATACAAAATTACTTTGAATACAAATAGAACCTATGATTGCTTACAAGGAAACCATATGTTGCCACCAGCACCATTTTAAGAAATAAGCTAACAAACATAGGAGTACCTTGCTGCTGCAAGATTTGCCGATCTTTGAGCAGAGTAATATTAACCTGTTCCAGAATCCAAAAGCTGCAGAAGGGTGTAGGATATTGTAATAATATATATATATATGATTAGATTTGGAAAGGTCTTAAATATTCACAGTGTACTTGTTTATGGTGAAGAGAATTTCAATGTGGGTTTCGTGTCCACTTTTGTACAAGGATGTTGAAGATTGAAGTTTTGCCATAAACAAGACAAGGAGTATCTATTTAACTTTTTAATTAAAATCTATGTATACAGCTGTTCTAGGTCTAGACACATAAGATTAAACATGCTCATAAAACCAATCAGATTGCTCGACACTTTGGTCAATGGGAAAAGGTGTATATTAGGGAAGATTTTTTTGGTTGCGTTGTGTCAGGAGAAAGTGGGGTCAGGAGAAAGTGGGTTCTCTGAAGGTGTCTGATGTTTGCATGAATGTTCTAAGTACCCTGTCATCTGCCTTGTCTGTACCCGTTTTATAGATTGTCTCTGAGCTGATTAAATGCATCTCTCTGGAAAAAAAAAAACTGTTGTATTTGCTGTGAGATATAACGCAACAAAGGGGAGAGCTATTTCAACAGAATACATTTGAGGGCTATAAATAATAGTCTGGAGATAGAGGTCCGGGTATGAGGGGAAAAAAGCTCCTCATCCAGGAATCTAAGTATGCAAGTTAGTGGATCATTATATACAGTAGTTGTGTTTGAAATGCTTGATTTATGATAATTATTATATCGTGCCAATATCCAAATAGTTTCGGGCATTTCCAGACCATGTGGAGGAGATCCGCAGTGGAGCCTCCACATCTTGAACATTCCAGAGTCTCCCTACGATGCCATTGGTATAGTTTATATGGTGTTCGATACACTCTGTGTATCATACAAAAGCTGGGACAATTTTTGTGATGTTGAAATGGAGACCACTGAAATCTATTCCAGAATAGCCTGCCAAATCTTCCCATCCAGAAAATCTACCTGTGTTTCCCCGAAAAGAAGACACTGTCATATTTTTTTGGGCTCAAAAAAAAACACACTAGGTCTTATTTTTTAAATGTCCAGGTGTGGACAGGGGGTGCAGAGGTGAGCTGCAGGCAGTTGTGGATGAGGGTTACTATGGAGAGGGCTGGTTGATGACAGCTGTGAGCTGCAGTCAGGTGTTGCAGGGGTGACTTGACAGGTGAGTTTCAGGCAGGGTGCAATTATGAGCCACAGACAGGGTGAAGTGGTGAGTTGCAGACGGGTAATGCAGAGGTGAGCTGTGGCCAGGGGGTGCAAAGCTAAGCTGTGGCTGGGGAGTGCAAAGGTGGGTTGCAACTCAGCTCACCTCTGCACCCCCCCAGTCGCAGCTCACCAATGCACCCTGTCTGCAACTCACCTCACTCAATTTACCTCTGCAACACCTGACTGCAGCTCACCTTTGCACATCTCCCCCTCCCCCCTCCACTGACCTCATATGGTTAGCTAGTTTTGCAAAACACAGCTGTCAGCCGCCGACCCCTCTCTATAGTAACTCCCGTTTCGGGTCCTATCTTCCCACACAGTGCACCAAGCGCACTCACTCACCGCTCCGCCTCTTACCCACTGGCCGGTGATCACCCCTGGGGCATCGGCTTCCATGCATTAGGCTGCAGGAGGAGATGCCCCACCCCTAAACACACTGCATACTGCACCCGCAGATATCTGTTCCTTCCCTGTCCCACAGTGAGTACAGAGGTAGGGAGGTTCTGTGGGAGCGGATGGTGCTGTCACTTCAGCCACGCTTCTGTGTTTATAAGAGACAGTAAATATGGGTGTGCGCAAGACCAGTGGTGGAATGGCGTTCCGCCATGTTCCGGCTGAAAAAAAGCCCTGATCACAACTAGGTCTTATTTTCAGGGTAGGTCTTATTTTAGGGGAAATAGGGTATATCCTTAGCTCACCGACCTCCCAGGCAAGGAAGATGAGCAAAAGAGATTGATATAGAGACAAGATAAGACCTCTCTTGTTGTTGGAGGAAACTAATTGATGTATTAGCTGATGTACAACTGATGGAAAAAATAATGCCCTTGGCATACCATTCTTCAAAACCCTCCCTGCTTCTAATTGAGCCATTAATGAATATTTATCCACCCTAGACAAAAGTATGGCTTGCATAAGGTCCCGCATGTTAATAGTTCCACATCCAAAAAAGTGTTAGAGCTGAGCTGCCAAGAAATATAGTCTTGCCGAGGGAATGGACAGGCCTCCACTACCTTTGGGCAACTGCAAAATGGGTGAGCGAATTCTTGGATTCTTACCTTTCCATATTAATTGCCTTAAAAAGGGAGTCTATACTTTTAAACTATTTCTTGCTAACCCAGAATGGAGAGTTATGCAGCACATAGAGCAACTGTGGAGCCCAAATCATTTTAATAAGATTTGACCTGCCTACAACAGATAGGGGTAGTTTACACCAAGCCTTACTTTTCATTTTAAAGTTATCCAATAGGGGGTTTAAGTTGTAGTGTAAGTAATCCTCCACCGTGGATATAAATAAGTTTAATAAGAGATTTCCATCTAAACACATTTTAATCATTAGAGTTGTCTTAGGATGACAAACATCTATATTTGCTGTAACCAATACCACCGTTTTGTTCACAACGAGAATATTACAAACTCTCCACACGGTGACTTTATTACTATTTGAAAGCTCCCAACTAAACCATTTTTAGATTAGACTGTAAGCTCCAAGGAGCAGGGTCTTTCTAACCCTCTTGTATTGAACTGTATCGTTGCTGTATTGTCTCCCTTTTTATTGTAAAGCACTGAGCAAACTGTTTGCGCTAATAAATCCTGTATAATAATAATAATTTTTATTTGTAATAAACTTTTACTCAACAAAGTCCTAAGTCAGCATGTAACAATGTGAAGCACCCTCCTAGATAGGTGCTAGTTAGGTTAGGTAAATTTAGTTCTTTAGCTCTTCTGTAGTCAGTGGAGCAGCTTGTGATTGCTTTGGGCTGCTCTGTGTTTTACAGGTTGTCGGTTCCACTGCTTCCCCCTGCCCTCTGGAAGGTTCTGGGCTGGGAGAGTGAATCTATAGCCTGAATTTTTGTGTGGTCTCAGACAATCCCTGGGGAAGGATGCCCAGTAGGTGGCTGGGAGAGTGCACGAATAGTTTGAGGCTTAGAGCAGAGGAGTTCTTGTCCAGAAGGAGAAGCTCCCAGCCTGAAGGGTTACTGCCGTTCTAGGCAGTCCAGCTGTGTTTTGTTATCTGCTCATCGATGTCCCAGCTGTATTAGCTGGGGGGGGGGGGGGGGTATTTTACTGAACTTTGCTGGAGATGAATGAGGGATTTATCTTGGGATCTGGTCTGAAGAGTCCACGGGACACATGTATGGGTATTACATGGAAGCATCCAAATATCCAGAGACATTTGTGAGTACAGACTATCCCTCTTGCATCAGTGTCAGCCTGTGCTTGAAAGTGGACATTTCTTATGGTGTCCCTGGGTAGCTCAGTCCATTATTTGTTGCAAGCACTGTGCTAAGAAGCTTTGAGAAAGAGGAAAGTTGCTACTTTACATTGCTGTAAACAATAAACAACAAGAAAGGCGCCTCTTCTTTGACTCTTGAGAAACCTACCCCCTTTTAGCGTATCTGCATCCAAGGCCCATACCAAAGGGGCATAATTTCCTCTACGCATAAGCTGCTTTTAGACGCATGACCCCCTTCTATTGATACCCACCTTTATATGCGTAAATGGCCCGAATCCTCCAATGTGACATTGCCTTGGATCAATGAAGCAGGATTTGAGAGGCTGCCTCCAGATCTTCTAAATGTGTAGTATATAAAAGAAAACACTGTGGTGAGGAAACTGGCACTCTCTTCCACATTTTTTGAGCTTGCCAGTACATTATACCATTTTGGAGAGAGGTCCTTAACTTACTACAGCTACTTTTGCGGACTCCTATTTCATTTGAGCCCATCAATTTGTTCCTTGGGCCTACCTTTTTCAGGCCTCTCCAAGATTGCAAGGAAACTTTCCTCCTGCATTTTAACGGCGACCAGGAGATCCGTACCCATGCATTGGCGGAGATTAGAAAAATGGAGTACCTCACTGCTTTGCACGCTGACTTTGTACCCACGTTTGAAGCAGTTTGGGAAACATGGGATACTTACAATTCCGACTTGTCTACTCAATTGTCTGAAAATGATTGCTAATACACTGTTATGTATTGACATTGTATGTATCTATGTACCTCTCACCAATGAGCCTATTTCTCTGTCCTTTTGTTGTTTTGTGTTTGTCATACCGTGTTTCTATGCAACTCTGTTTGTTGTAAATGTTTGAAAATAAAAAAAAAGTGAATTACAAAAAAAAAAAAAAAAAAACCCAGCAAGGAAGGCACTTCTAAGGGCAATATTCAGCAGTTTATTCAGTCCTAAAAGGTTAAAAACACTCACAGGATTACAGCAAGGCAAAAGCTCACCAATTGTGTAGTTCCAGGGGACCACACTAAGCCGACCAGCAGTAGTGAGACAAGATGGCCGCCATACTTCCGGGAGAGGTGGGGAACGCACACACTGAACAAGACATCAATGGGTCGGTAACATGTTGTCAAAATGGTTGTGTGTGAAAATCCCAGCAGATCAGCAGTTTTTTTAAATACTCAGACCAGCCCGTCTGGCACTGACAACCATGCTACGTTCAAAGTCACTAAAATCCCCTTTCCCCAGTGTTCCCTGATGATCAGTGTAGCCCCAGCAGTGCCACCTGTCAGTGTCCATCAATGCCAGCTGTCAGTGCTCATCAATGCCACCTACCAGTGCTCATCAGTGCCACATCAATGCCACATATCAGTGCCTACCAGTGCACATCAATGCCACATATCAGTGCCCATCTGAGCTGCCTTTCAGTGCCGCCTATCAGTGCCAGTCAGCGCCGCCTATCAGTGCCAGTCAGCGCCGCCTATCAGTGCCAGTCAGCGCCGCCTATCAGTGGCACCTAACAGTGCAATATATGAGTGCAGCCTTTCAGTGCCCATCAGTGATGCCGGTCAATGTCCATCAGTGCCACCTATCATTGCCCATCAGCGCAGCCTCATTAGCGTACATCAGTGAAGGAGAAAAATCACTTATTTACAAAATTTTATAACAAAAAAAAGAAAAAAAACGTTTTTCCAAAAATTTCAGTTGTTTTTGGTTTGTTTAGCAAAAAATAAAAAACCCAGAGGTGATTAAATACCACCTAAAGAAAGCTCTATCTGTCTCAAAAAAATGATAAAAATGTCATATGGGTACAGTGTTGCATGACCGCGCAATTGTCATTCAAAGTAAGGCAGCACTGAAAGCTGAAAATTGTCCTGGGCAGGAAGGGGGTATAAGTGCTCTGTAGGCAAGTGGTTAATAAAGATTGCAATCATCAATAGAACCTGCCAGGGACATCATCCTTCCTTACTACTGTACATTATTTGTACAGTGCACTTAGCGTCATAGATAAAAGATCTCCAATATTTAGGGCCCATTCAAACCAGTGTGCTGCAATAATGCACACTTCAATGCTGCGCACAATAAAAACACACATTATGTGCACATTTCTAATGCACCCCCATTTCAGCTTTATAGTGTTATGTTGGAAAGAAAATATGCATACACAATTTTTGGTCCATTAGACATTCAAATTAATTGTTTCAATGTAAAGGTGCATTTAATAGGGTGTGAATGGACTCTTAGGATATTCAAGTTGGGGATAAACGTTGTAAACTGTCATTGTTAGAATTAATAGACATACATCTCCAAGTACATCCCACTGTGTACATCTCTTTCAAACTTAATGGATCACTTGAGCAAACACACATTAAATTTATAAAAGCAAACAGTAACACAAACTCTGACAGTGTCCAAATGTATCACAAGGAATTAGTCTAGAGGTGGAGGGGTGTTTTTTAGTAGCCGAATTTCGATCAATCTATGGCTTTATTGTCCACCCCAGGATAAGACCAAAACTTTGAAGATGTCTGTATAGCACAAAAATCTGCAGGCTCAGCCACTACAATTTATGACATTTCTGTGACTCACTTCACAGAATGATACTGCGATGGTTGGACTTTGGTCTGTGTTGACATGCTTATGTTCGCTTTAGAACTGCTTCTTGCTCCATACAAAAGGTAATGGGAGCTCAAAAGTAGCCTAAAGAAGGTTGATGCAATATATGAGGTCTCCAAATGCAGGTAAGGAGTTCAACTGCAAGTCAAATGCAACTGTCAAAGCACCATGGAGGATCTCAGAAGCTTTTTAAAATTATCTCAAATTCAAGACGAATGCATCTGAAAGTAAGGTTCATTTGACTATTAACACCACACCAAAGCTCAACAAGACAGGTCCTTATGGTGCTGCCATTTGTGTGACATTACAAAGTGTGGATAATGAAATACTACACTACCAAGATAGAGCTCACCTCCACGAAATGAAGTTCACACTTGTAGCTTAGGCCACAGTTGAGGGCAGCTTGGCTTAAAGAAAAACTGCACGCAAAAAGTGAATTACAGCTCATTCTTCTTCTCTACCCCAGCCTGTAACTGAGTTGCAAGGTTTTTTCAATTGGGGGGGGGGGGGGGGGGGGGGGGGGGGGGGGGGGGGTGGGGGGGGGGGGGGGGGGGGGGGGGGGGGGGGGGGGGGGGCAAGGGCAAGTAACTTTTTTGTCGGTACCTGCTCCAACTTACTACCAAATCCAAGATGGCAGTGCTGGAGATCCAGCAGCTGGGAGAAGAATCAGTTGCTGGAAGACAGTGTGGGGCTCTAGAGGCTGGTAAGCAGTTCTTTTTTAAAGTCACCAGATACATTATTTCTAGCTGCTAACTTTTAATTTTTAAAATACTGGGTGAAATTCCTCTTTACAATAGGTAATACATGAACAATGTTTATATACGGATATATATATATATATATATATATATATATATATATATATATATATATATATATACACACACACACACACACACACACATATACACACATATACATACATACATATACACATACATACATACATACACACATACATACACACACACACACACATACAAAAGACTGTTACCTGAGAGCTTTTTCCTGTGCTTCGGATTCTGCTTCTAAACCAACAATATGTTTCTCTAGCTCAGGGATTCTGGAGGTAGGCTTTCCAAGAGCAGATTCATAAAAACGAACCTGAAAAACATAACTAATTTGTCTAACCTTAAAAAGAAAAAAAAAAAAAAAATGTACAAACAAAACAATACAATCTTGTCAACATCTGCTATGCTGATATGTATACTACCTACACTGGTCACCCCCATACCTAAAAGAAGGTGATACTCCGGTTTATATAGGCAAATAAGAAACCAAGAATTAGATATGATGTATTGTTTAGGGTAAAAAGGAATGGAGGATTGGGGTTGCCTAACGTTAGGACATATTATTTAGCAGTGATTCTATAACAAGTTGTAGATTGGACATTTAATTCACAAGGGAAAGGATGGGTAAATATGGAAAGAATACTAAGTAAGGCACAGAAATTGCATACTTATCAAGCGTTAAAAGGGGAAAAAAAAAGATTTTTCACATTAGATGAGTGGCGGTATGGTCAATTAGGACACTTTGTTTCAACGCTCCTACATCCACTGAGTACCTCGGAGGATATGCACCCTTTTAAAAAATTGTTGAATGTAAATACAGTTCCGAAACAAGCCACCTCCAGGATATGTAAGATCCTAATAGATATCTAAGGGACGAATCCTCCTGGGTTCTTGGAAAAATGGGAAAATGAGCTTGGAAGAGAACTGAATGAGCAACAAAAGAATAAAATATTTAAATTAACACACGAGGTGATAAACATGTTTCACCTTTATGTTAGAGAGGCTGTGGGAAAAAGGGTACAATGGGTCAAATTCTGTGGGAGTGCCCAAAAATACAGGATTTGTGGAAGAAAATAATTCATTGTATCCAGGAAATCAGTGGGATCAGCATACAAATGGACCCGAGGATATGTTTATTTTTTGCAGAGCCCGCAGGCAAATTGTTTAAAATCAGGGTATTATATCATTTAATCAGTGGAGCTAACGGCCTGATCCCCAAGTTTTGCAAGCCCAGGAGCCAACAAGAATTAATGATTGGTTGAATAGAGTTGAAAATATCTTCAGGATGGAGGAGCTGTGTCATATGGAGGAGGACAAAATGGAAGAATTTAGGAAAACGTGGAGTAGTTGGCTAGATTTTAAAACATCTGAAAGATACATGGAATTGGTCTGGAGATTAAAGGGGAAAAGTATAGAGAGAGCTTGATGGAGAGGGTGAAAGCGAGAGTGAATGTGAGAGGGAAAAAGACACAGGAAAAGATAGATAAGTACAAGGGGAGTAAGAACTTAGCAAACAAGATCTGGACCGGGGTATTTGGGTGGGGAGGTTTGGGAGTGGTGGGGCAGGGGAAAAGCTGTTGTAAAATGGGATTTATGTACATGTGATTGTGTTGTATATTTGGGTTGTTATACTTTTGTACTGGATTACTGAATAATGTTAAAAAAAAAAAAAAAGATGAACTTATACTTTCTTCATCAGCTCATCCCCTTAAAGTTATTACCTTTTGTACTGATTGCACCCCTCCCTTTTAAATTGTAAGCTCTGCTGAGCAGGGCCTCCCTAACCCTCTTGCATTAAACTGTATTGTAACTGTACTATCTCCCTTCATGTCGTAAAGTGCTGAATAAACTATTGTCACTATATACAGTAAATACTGTATTAGATTAATAATAGTATTAAAAAAGATCAGAAACCCACCAACATCACGGCCCAATCACCTGCTCACTGTGGCAAAAGCATGCATCTTGAGTAGGTGGAAGCAAGCCTTTCCCCTCCATCGACTTTATGACACTAGTTTGCAAAAGTGAATAATACTATATGAATGGAAAACTTAACTGCCATAGGAGATAAAACAAAGGAATTCATATGAACATGGCTCTATTGAAAACAATGTACCCAGTGCACATGAATAAAAATAAAGGGGCTGCAGAGCACTTTTAAAATGCAGTGTCTACAGAGCACAGTTAACAGATGAGACACATTTGTCACCCAAAGTTTAAAAGGACTCTTCATTGATATTTTCAGAACACACTATAAAAACAGATAACAAGGATAACACATAAATGCAAGTAACCTTTGATTTGGATTTTGTGAGTTCCAGCTGCATGGATTTGATCTTGTTCACCAGAGAGTGGTTTTGTGAGACCAAAGAAGCATTTTGCTCTTGAAGAGAATCCACTCTTTCACTCAAATTCCTGTTCTGTTCAGAGCCCCTCAATGATCCCGCCTGCAATGGAAAGGCCTATGACGATGATGAAGCATAAAGATCAGAATGGTCTTTGTAACTTTTATAACTGAATAAGATTATTATATGTGGGCATTAATACTGCACCATTCAACTTAACAGTACTTTTTGATACACCTTCTACATATTTAGAGTCCTTGCACACTATACAGATGTAAGAACAGCAGATCTTCCTGGCAGAAACTTGCACAAAAAAAACCACAAGTGCAGTCTGTATAGTGAGCACATTTACACAAAACATTGGCCGGTAATGCAGATTTTTTAATTTATTTTTTTTTTTTAAAATGATATAAACAAAGGACCTAGTTTACTGACATTTACATGCTGGTGTGTAGAGGCCCAGTTAAAGCATCGGGCTACACTCAAATCAGTAAACCAAACAAAAAAAAAAAAAAAAAAAAAAAACAAACACCTGAACGGCTAAAAACGTGGGTTTTTTGTGACCTTGTGTTACAGGTTAGGTCTTTTACTTTTTTGTTAGGAGTTCAAATCCAAACCAATATAGAGGCAGCTCTAACAGATCCCATAAAGTCATCTTTTTTTTTTGAGCCGACCACATTAAGATCCATGTATGGTCAGGTTCAGTGACTCAAATCAGTTACTCTTCCTTGCTTAACAATTGCTGCATTGGGACTGCAGTATTATATGAATGAGCGGATTTATTCATTTATATTGTGAGAAGCAGCAGTAGAGCATAATTACTGCGTAGCACTGCAAAGCAATTAGTTGAGCCCAAACAGGATTTAAAAAAAAAAAAAATCCCTTTCGCAGAGACCAGTGAGAGTCACAGGTATCGTATATTGACCATGTGTTATATAGCTCCACCTAAAGGAGTCCATTGAGAGTCACAGGAATCGTATCTTGACCATGTAATATACTGTATGGCTCCACCTAAAGGAAATTGAACACTAGTGTAAGGAAGCCTGCAGCTGTAGGTCAGTCTTAGGGTATATAACCACTCACACACACAAAGCATGCTCCAGTAGGGACCAAGAGGAATCTGCACAAGAAAACAGAACTTGAAGGGCTGCCTACAAAAAGCTGTTACAAAAAAACTGGCACAAGCTTAAATTGAGACATTCCCCTGGTTAAACCCGAAAAAGATAAGAAACAAGGACCAAGCAGAAGCCTAACAGACCTGACACAAGCCCACGTGCTCCATGTTCTAATGGTCTGTGCTAAAGAAAAGTAGAAATATTACTCCCACAGGGTATGTCTGAACAATGCTTTGGTGAATCCACCTAGAATGGACACAGGACTGTGCAGATCCCACAAATCAATAAAAGTCACAGTTCCATAATAAATAGAAGATTAACAACATATACTCTCACCTATTCACCTTCTGCTCCAACGTGTTTCACAACACAAACAGTTTAATCATGGAGTCAGTGTTGTCACTGCTCTATTGCAAGGTTGTCAAACTGGTGGCCCTCCAGCTGTTGCTAAATTACAAGTCCCATGAGGCACTACAAAGCTGACAGTTACAAACATGGCTCCCAAAGGCAGAGTCATGATGGGACCTGTAGTTCCGCAACAGCTAGAGGGCCGCCAGTTTGACATCCCTGCTCTATTATATTAAAGCTGGAGTTACTTAGGTGATGCATCAATTTACAGCTGGTTCATTTCTACTTCACAAATTGAGCAGGTATGCAGTCCTTGAACATGCATTTGATGGGAGCTGGATGTACAGAGAAAGAGGCAGGTTTGGAGTGGTATAGCTACTATTGGTTTCACACCCCACTGTGGTTAAAGAATTGTATCCTTCTCTGTGGAGCACAGATCAGTCTTGTAACAATCACAGAAATTCCAATATGTGGGTACAAGTGATATCTAACATTTCCAGTGCTTAATCAAGTTTGCCAAGACTTGCAAGGATGCTCCTGTACTTCCCTTTTATCACAAACAACTCAACTAATTATGCCACTGACTGGAAATAGTGACTATGCATGCCTGCTACAGTAGCACAGCAGAAGTAGACACCACTAGCATTGATCATAAAGCTGAAGGTTCCTTACCATGAATGAAGAGTTTCTCGTATGCGGGTAGCTGCTATGTTCAGTTGAAATCCTCAGTTCTCTGCCCCCATACCCCTGCTGTACTGATCTTCCAGTTCTGTGGGAGTTAATATGAGCAGCCGCACTTGTGCCATACACTCAAGTACCGACTATACCCACACTTTCTGCCTCTGTGCTCCATTCATATAAGCCGTACTATCGGTTCCTACAATGAAAAGCATTTCATGATTGGAGGAGACAGACCTTTCATTCATTCACCTGTCCTCAAACATAGAACGCTACTCATCATAGACTCTAATAGCAGAGCATCTATGATTGGAGCACAGTGGGTGGGCATTGTCAGCACTTGACATGTGCTTCTCACAAGTGCAAATGCGCATATTACCCCAAGCAGTACAGGGAGATCAATGCTGCAGTGTAATTTGGAGCATAGGACTCAGTGTTTGAACATAACACAGCAGCCACCAGCACACAGGACACTCTTCATTAATCGTAAGTACCTTCAGTGGTTCGGTCTTATTTTTTAATTAAACTAAACTTCAGCTTTAACTTTGGAAATGGAAATAAAAGAAAATGTATTGTATTTAACTTGAAGCTGCAAGATTTGCACTGTTCATATACAGAGGATGCAGATAGTTACATACCTTATTTTGAGCACTCCTTAGAGAATCTCTTTCACTTAAAGCCATGGCGTTCTTTTGCTTGGAAACAAAGTCCCTTGGCTGGCAATGGCTGGGCTGCTGGAGATCTTCTAGAGTCAGGCCCAAGGGAGCTCTATGCAGGTAGTGCTCACTGTTATCACAGATAAACAGATGGAACAGAGAATGTATAAAGCAAATTAAAAAGAAATTGCTAAAAAGTACACTACCTACATAACTGGAAAAATACCAGGAGAAAAACAAACAATCTTCATGTAGAAATCTTTTCCCTTTCACAATTAGGTCAGCTGCTACACATTTCAGATATAACATAACAGTGTCATCCCCCCGGGAATTAAAAATGTAACGTCTATGCAATCCCACGAAACGTACTAATAACATTTGATTCTAAAATGGAAAAAAAGCAAAAAGGACAAATGTAGTGCACAGTATCTGGCTTGAAATAAAGCTGAACTCCAAGCAGATTTAAAAACAGAATTTAATACATTTACCTATTCGTAAAAAAAAAAAAAAAAAATAGTAAAAAAGTATTTTACATACAACTGGCATAAATGTCTGGATCTAACTGGACATCAGCCTTCTGCACGGCAGCACTCACAGTGGACCGCAGCATTTTTTTTTAGTGCGTTTTTGTTGTGTAACTTCACGTTTTTACACACGTTTCTGGTGGGTTTCCATTGAAGTCTATGAGCTGAAATCATGATGTAACTGCACCACAGTAGCCCCAGCACCTTCTTAAAAAAAACAAAAAAAAAAAAAAAAAAAAAAAAAAACTTCCTGCGGCTGTGCTGCATTGGTGTGAACAGGCGCCATAGAGAATAATGTGATTTCCATTACCATGCAGTGCAATGCAGCCTGGGGTTTAGCTCTTATTGATCAGTCAATACTATGAACATACTTATCAGAATAGAGAACATAGTAATAACTTTACCAGTGTGCTGTTCCTGTTTTTATTCAAATACAAGCTGGGCACAAGGAGGTCACCAAAGAAAGTGTGATATCTGGCAGGGGTACCTAACTCATAAGACTAGCTAATTACAATTACATATCTTTTAGAGGAGAAAAAAAAATCTGTACAGGTATTTCAGCTGTGTGTTTAGCAATTAGCTTAGATTTCAGCTTTAACCCTGAACTCTGGATTTTAAGCTTTAGATTGAAGGGAAAAGCTGCAGTTAAGGCTGGGATTTTTTTTAGGTTTAATTATTCTGCTTTAATTGTTTTTATTTAAAGTGGAACTCCAGTCTGCAGCAATCTACTTGTATATTTAATACTTCCCTTCTACATGATGGGCTGCTATCTTCCCTTATATTATCTTTTTATCTGAGGTTTTTCACCTTCAACATTAAAAGGGAAAAAAGTTACATGACCATCCTTGGCCTTTCCATTTTGCTCTGCAATGGCCTGTGGGAGGAGTCAACACATCACTACAGTAAAGCCCACTCAACAAATGGCTGACATTTAGCTGACATTAACTAACTATAACACGCAGTTATGTGATCAATAAAAAACAGTAAACCAGATGCAATGTGTTACATGGGTTAGCATTCCAGATCACATTGCATCACTGTAATTTTCTTTAAAAGTCAATGCAATATGGCAACCTGGAGGAGTTCTGTATATAGTTTGTGTACGGAGCATCCCTCCCAAAAATGTAATTTCCTCTTGTGTGATTGGCTCACTGATTTTTCCAGAAGTCTGCACTAAGATACAAGTCAGATTTTAGGCATCCCCTGCAACAAAAATGTCATTTTTGGTGAGATGCTCCTAAAGGGTTAATCACTTCTAAAGGCATGCAGGTCCTGCAACTTTGCTCACTAGAGCTCTGAAATTGCATCAGCTGATTAGTAATGAAACCGCCATCCTGAATTGCAATCAATATCCAAAAGGCACAGAAGAACAGCCAGCTTTTCCTCCAGAGGAGAAACAAGTAGGAATCTGCAACAAAGTTCGTTTAAATCCCTGCAGTGTACATTGATCACCCAGATAACATTGTTTTTTTTTCCTTAACAAAAGTGGAGTTACTCTAATCTTACATTGATGGCAATGCATTCTTTTAGACATGGCAATGCATTTGAGTGTACCTCTGAATAAAAATAAAATGTTGCTTTTTTTTTTTTTTTAGGGAACTGCTAGAACTGCCTAAAAATCACATTTGGGAAGAGTCCCAAAGGTCCCACTGTCACGAGGATGGATAGTGATGTAGGATCTGTAAGATACTGCCAGTAAAAAAAAAGAAAAAAAAAAATCTGAGGCCAAGAAAAAAAAAGTGAAGTGTTATTAAAGGCACATATTTTATTTAAAATAATAAACCCAATATACTCAACTGCTCTGTGCAATAGTTTAAACAGAACGGCCCTGAACCTCCTCTACTGGGGTCCCACCTTACCCTAAAAATCACATTTGGGAAGAGTCCCAAAGGTCCCACTGTCACGAGGATGGATAGTGATGTAGGATCTGTAAGATACTGCCAGTAAAAAAAAAAAAAAAAAAAAAATGACAGAGGCTCTAACCGCTCTTCATTCTAGCCAAGAAAAAAAAAGTGAAGTGTTATTAAAGGCACATATTTTATTTAAAATAATAAACCCAATATACTCAACTGCTCTGTGCAATAGTTTAACAGAACGGCCCTGAACCTCCTCTACTGGGGTCCCACTCCAGCGATCTTGGATGCTCCTCTTCTCCATGTGCCCCCATAGGAAGCCGCTTGCTATGGGGCAAATGCGAGTACTCGCTACCAAGCTATGTGTGTCAGCAAAACAACCCCAATGGAGCAGTGCTTTGTAGGCCTCATTCCGTTTTCCATAGACACACACAGTGCAGCAAACTTGGCCCTGCCCATCACAATGTCTTTGGAACATGCATTTCATTGACAGCAGCAGGGGTGGACAGAGTCCCTTTGTGAAGAGGATCTGCTTTCAGGTGTGATTTCTATAGAGAGGAGATTTTTGGAGGTTTGTGTGACATTATGTCGAATTTGCTTTCTTTCCTCCCTTTTTTTGTTTTGTCCCAATACACACAAAGGGAATAAACATGTGTATAGCAAAACATGTGTGTTAATGAGAAATACATGATTTCCTGGAGGGTGCCAACATTTTCGGCCATCTGTAATGGCAGTGCTCCATAAACGTATGTGCTCCATAGACCCACACAGTGTGCACAGTACTGGATCGATTACGGACTGAGGTAAATATTTGGTGGAAGAGGGCAGCAAAATGCAGGTAATGCATTAAGGTAAAAAATGTTTTGGCTTTAGAACCACTTTAATTTCAAAAACTGATTTGGCTATAGGACAAATTTAATAGAGAAAGCATACCTGGAGAGATGACCGTCACGGCTCCATAAGTTCTCTGTCTGCACTTGATGGATTTTTACTGTCTTGACACTTCCATCATTTAATCCTTGGTCTTCACACTGTGATGGATTAGATTCCATTTCACTAGAGCTCTCTCTAAAAAACAAACAAACAATCTAACATCAGCACACTATGAAGCAGATATTTATAAGCATAAGACAAAAAATAAAAAAAAATAAAATAAGTTGATACAAAACCTCAGACAATTCCCTAACCTGTACACTTTTTCTTTGTCTCCTCAAGTTACATGCAGCTGATGAACCCCGTCCTGAAGTGTTGTGCCCTTTCCATTATGAACTGAAAGTTCTTCTACAACAAGGACATTCTATAAAAACTGGAGTAGAGTTATGTTTGCACTGGATACTGTAAATAGTTTTAATGAAAAAATTAACTTCCATGTATTATAAAGGACCTCATCATACACACATTTGTTTTGAATGCACAGTAGCAAAACCCATCTGAAAGTAATAAGCTCCATTTGGATGAGAAGTTATTTGCAGCATTTGGCACGAGCCGGAAGTACCAGTCGATTCATCTACACTTCAGTTCTGAGAAGGAGCCGACAGTCAAAATTTTAATATTATAAGTGCATTTTTATTAAAAGAAATGGGTGTTATCTTAAAATACTACACAAGAAGTGTTTTTGTTCTTTGTTTTATCTTATTGCAGCGCTTGGCTGAGGAGATTAAAATCCTGATTCTGGAACCTGTTCAAGTGATAGAGGAGTTGTAAGCACATAGCACTTTGTGAAGCAGAGGAAGGTGTGTTTGCAGTATGAGGAGCTGATCTCCTGGAGGTAGAACTGGCCATACATTATACAATTTTCTTGTTCAATTTTCCTTTAGATTTACCAAAACCATATAAATATGAGGTCAGACCTAAACACTTTCAATTTGCATGCAATCAGCTAGGCCCTTGCACTATATAGTTAAAGGAAAGTCTAAAAGAAATTGAACAAGAAAATTGTATAATGCATAGCCAGCCTTAGGCTTATTTCAGAGATTCCATTCCAATCAGCAGTGAATCCACTCACAGATCCCCTGCTGACTGGACCAGAATGGGACATCCATGTCTGCTCTGTTTCTGGGAAGCGGACACAGACAGAGCCCTCTCTGCTTTATGGAAGGCCAAGTGTAAATGGATTTCACTGTCCATTTACACCCGACTTCACCTAAACAGAAGAGGATCTGGAGGCAGGCAGGTGTAATAGGACACAAGTCTATTTACACCTGCCTGTTCAAAGGAATGCATGGACATTCTGATCAGGTTTGCCTGAAAAATGGACAGGTGGACCTTACTGGATCACCCATGTAAAGGGGGCCTTCTTGACCTGCAGACCTGGGAACAGTTGGAGGGAGTCCCCACTGCTGTGAGCACTGTGCAGGAAAGCAAAAGGAAAATCAGCAACAGAACTTGTACTGTATGCTTTCAGATTCATGTGGATTGGGATGATTGTTGCTTTGGAATGCAGCATGAGAATGACTTTTCCTGTAAAGACTAAGCAATCTTTTCGAGTGGACTAGAGGGTCACCAAATATACAGCAAGAAAAGAAAGAAAAAAAACACAGCACATAGATGTGAACAGATAGATAAAATTTAAAGGGAACTATTTTTCATGTGTTTTCATGCTGGAAAGGTGCCTTTCAGCATGGCAATAGTGCACCAGTGTGAACAGGGCCTGAGGCCGGCCATAGACCATTTGAATTAAGATTCGAACTGTGTGTGGGCATGCTGAATGTACCAAGTTGATCGATCAATCAACTTGGGTACAACCAGCCTACTGGATTCACTTGCGATTAAAGCCACTATAGCAACTACCAATAATCACTGTCTTCTCCCGACAGGGATGAATTCCCCTGCCCTCGCCAGTCCCCGTTGGGAGAAGAGAATTGCTCGCCAGGAGGGATTCCCCGGTCAGCAAGGTCTGTGTTGATGGGGGAATTGTGCAAATTTCTTTCCTGCAACCCATGGTTGGAGTGAGAACGGTGTAAGGGTTGTATTCTTTGAATTAGCAATTTTTTTTAAAGAAACTGCACATTCCTGCAGTGGAAATGCTGAAATGTCAGTACGGTATGAATAAGCCCAAAAGAAGAATTGGAGGTGTAATCTACAGAAAAAAGTTAAATATAGGCAAAACTTTTTTTTTTTTTTTTTTTTAAAGTTTTAGGTTGTGGAGAATAGTTAAAACCCCATCCAGATTTTTTTTTTTTTCGCTGTTTTTTGGGGGAGATTTTCCTTTACATTCCTACCAGTAGATGCAACAGGAAGTGTGACAAAATCCCCTCTTAGCTGATACCCAAAGAGGTGCCCATTGGAAACTTCATCTCTAATCCTGTTCTGATTCAACTGTAAATTTTTCCATTTCCAATCATTTTCCTGTCGGTGGCAAGGATACAGACAATAATCTAATAAGTGGTCTTATTACTTCTTGAACACTCCAGCCAAAACTTTTTTTTTGTTTTGCATAGAGAAGCATTTTAAAATGATCACACCTAAATATTAGCCAGAGCTAATGAAATGCCTGTAACATAACCCCGTTAAACTTGCCATACATTATATAATTTTCTTACAATTTCATTTAGATTTACCTTCAACTATGTGCAAAGGCCTTCCTGATTGGATACAAATTGAAAGTACTGTTTAAGGTTGCCCTCATATTATATGGTTTTTGGTAAATCTACAAGAAACCCGTATAATGTATCTGTACTGAAGGGCATACATGGGTTGAATTCCATACAAATTTTCTTTCGAAAATCTGAAATTTTGTGTGTTTTGTAATCCGATGCAGCCACCATTGATTTCAAAATTTGACCAACCAGGCCTTCAATTTCACCTCATGTTGTTACAGAAAAGACATTTAGGCTGTATTTATACAAGAACAATTTGTAGCTTGAAGCTCAAAGCTCCAAAAATGCTAAAACTTAAAAAAAATCAATTGTTCTCTATTGTGCTTGTTTGCACAATCAGGTGTGAACAGGCACAACAGAACAAATGATTTTTTAAGTTTGAGCATTCTTGGAGCTTCAAGCTACAAATCGCTCAAGTGTGAATACAGCCTAAGTGGCCGGGAATCTTTTCTTTCCGGATCACAGCTCATGCTCATTTATTTTTCAATTAGATTTCTTGCATGATTCTCCCAACATTGATTAGAAATTTGTTCGTTTTTCAAAAAATTTACAACATGCCCGATTACTCTAGTTGGATGGCTGCACGAATATCGGCTGTTGCAACGGCCCACTAATGGTGCAAAATTCCAATGAAAATTCTTAGTTACAATTTTCAAAAGATAATTAATTTGGAATTCAACCCATGTATGGCTGGCTTAAGTATTACATGGTCATTATCCAGTCTAGCAACACCCTCTGATCTGAGTAGACAGTGTGGATCAATTAGACAATGATTGTGATAAACCTGGCCTGAAGGGCATCTACTCATTTTGCAGGCAAATATAAATGAAATAATACAAATATGATTATTTATGAACCCACTAAAAAAAGCATGGCTTTGAACTGAGCACACACACCTGACCAGGGAAAGCATTCTATTTATGCTACAACAAGCAAGGCACTCTGTTGTAATACATGTATTTCTGTTTTATTTTCTTGCATGCAAGTTATCATCAATAAAAGCATGAAATAACAAATAGGAGTTTCTTATCTTGGACAAGCCCTCATCCAGAGTTCCATGGAACCTTGAGGTTCCCCTTTAGAAGTTCCTAGGGATTTATGAGTGGATTGATCTCCAGTATGAGGGTGTCTAGTGCCACGTTGGAGCCAGTAGCATGACAGTGATTATATTTTTCGTTGTCTGTAAGCGGTGCATTCTTCGCATTGACTCTGTATGAATTCATTTTAGCAGAGGGTCCTTGAGACCTCAAACTTATTTCAAAAGTTTTACTGGGGTAAAAAGGTTGGGAAAGGCAGTACAGTAATAATCACAATATCTCTTTGCACAAGTTTAAATTATTGGATATATTTGTCTTTATTGTGTCTCATACGTACAAGAACCTATCTACTAGTAGTAGAACACAAAGATGTCAAGTGGGATGGAAGGTAACAGTGGCTTGGAATGGATGGAGAGATTTGGTAAGTTAGAGGGTACAAGCTCATGTCACCACTAAACATGCCCATTTGGTTCTGTAAGGGCCGGTCCACACCAGGAACTGCAGGAACTGCATGTATCATTCACATGCGGTTCAGTGCATTGCGATTTGAGCCCATTCATTTTGAAAGGGCTGAATTACACCAGACCTCAGCAAAAGTATTGCATGCGTTACTTTAAAATATGCAGTTCAACCGGATTCCATGTGATCTGGTGCAGGCAAACACACTGGACTTGATTTACTGAAGAAGGCAAACTCTAGTGCAGCTGTGCATGGTAGCCAATCAGCTTCTAACTTCAGCTTGTATTGTTAAGCTTTAACAGAAAAAATAACACAAACTAGAAGCTGACTGGATTCTATGCAGAGCTGCATCAGATTTTGCACTCTCCAGTTTTAGTAAATCAACCCAATTGCGTTTGTGACACAGATCGCAATTGTAGTGCTTTTCAAATGCGGTGCAAAAAAGCGCACAGAACGCGGGTTTCTCACACTGCGTTCTGGTGTGAACCGGGCCTAAGTACCTAAATACAAAGTGTCCAAATTTTCCTAATTATTTTTATGTTAATGTAAAAAGATACCAGAGAGTTTACTGCTCACTATAATCTAACTTGTTTTTTAACCAACTCCAGAAAGGCATGAAGGTGGATTTCCAGGAATGGGTTAAGGCTAATTTAGTTGCAAGAAAAACAAAGGATTAAACATGAGAATGGAATATTAGGGACGAGTTTAACCACTTGCCTACTGGGCACGTTTACCCTCTTCCTGCCCAAGTCAATTTTCAGCTTTTAGTGCTGTTGCACTTTGAATGACAATTGCACCATCATGCAACATTATACCCATATGAAATTTTTATCATTTTTTTTTCCACACAAATAGAGTTTTCTTTTGGTGGTATTTAATTATCACTGGGTGTTTTATTTTTTGCTAAATGAATAAAGATCAAAAATTAAATTAAAAAAAAAA